ATTTTTCCCTCCTCACTTAAGATAGCTAGAGTGATCCCTATATTTAAAAATGGCAAAAGAAATGATCCATCTAATTACCGACCAATTTCCATTCTACCAGCAATCGGCATTATTCTAGAAAAATTATTGTATAAGAGAATGATTAATTTTTGTTCAAAATTTAACTTGATCGACAAGTGCCAATTTGGATTTCAGACCAAACACTCTACCAACCATGCTATTCTAGATTTAATTTCGTCCATTTATGACAAACTTGACAAGGGGGAATTTGTTTGTTGTACTTTTCTAGATTTAAAAAAAGCCTTTGATACTGTCGATCATCATATTCTTTCTCATAAACTAAGACATTATGGCTTTCGAGGTGTTTCAGGCAACTTATTAACTGATTACCTGTCTTGTCGGTACCAATATGTAGAGGTCAATTCTCATAAATCTCCAATGTTGCCCATCCAGTATGGAATTCCACAGGGTAGTGTATTAGGACCTCTTGGTTTCTTACTTTTTATAAACGATTTATCGAACAGCTCTAATTTCCTGACAAAATTGTTTGCCGATGATGCCTGCCTTCTCGATAGTGCGAAGGATTTGATCACACTCCAAGCCAAAGTGAACACTGGAATTAATAAAGTATATGAGTGGATGATATGCAATAAACTCACTGTAAATGTGGAAAAATCCAAAGTCATGTTATTCAGCCCTAAAAGCCGGACTAGAAATTCAAGTCTTTCAATTAAAATTAATGGTATTCCACTAGAAATCGTCCAGTCTTATAGATATCTTGGGCTTCATATTGACCATCAACTCAAATGGAACAGCCACATCACTGAAATGTACAAGAAACTCTCCAGATCAGTAGGGATTTTGGGAAAACTCAAGTATTATGTGCCGAGCCCAACTCTGCGGACTATTTACTTTGCTCTTTTTCAATCTCATATCCAATACGCCTTAGCTGCATGGGGCTCCGCTACTCAAACTAGCTTGCGTAAATTAGAGATTTTACAAAATAGGGCTGTTAAAATTCTCTCCGGAGCACCAGTTCGTTCAAACATAAACACCCTATATCATAAAGCCAGGGTGCTAAAATTGTCTGACATCTATAAATTAGAAATTTCTAAGATTATGCACCAGTTCCACAACAACCAATTGCCTGCAGCTTTCGCTGATTATTTCACTGTTCTCAGTAATGTGCATGAGCATAACACACGCTCTTCGACAAAATCGAATTTTTTTGTTCCCAGATTTTCTCTAAGCAAGTCCCAAAACTCCTTGAAGTATAAGGGTGTTGTAATTTGGAATAGTATTCCCCAAATCTTACGTGACTCTTCTTATGAAACTTTCAAAACAAAATATAAAAATTCTTGCTGTCACCTTACCAGTCTGCTGTGATTGCATCCAAATGATGTGGCCTCGGCACTCTTTCCCGCTTGCTCCGCTAGGCCTATACCTGTAATAATAATACTTTTTTTTTTTTCAATTTTTTCATGTCCTTATCTTATTGCATTCTTGCCAGTGATTTGAATTATGTAAAGTGTGCCATGCTAATTGCATGACCTGTATTTGTTCGTAACCTGCACAATATAGTAAACTACTTTTCTTATGTTTGAGATGGTCCATGAAGCTTTGTACGAATTTAACCACATTGAAATTCTAAGCCCATCTGCTCAAGATCTTGGTTAATTAGCATAACATTGTGACTTGTTTTCTCTTGCAGTCAGTAAAGCCTAAATTGTTTATCTGATTGTCATTATACTCTTATATAACATTGTAAAAGTATTACCTGATAAATAATATTTTTTTTATGTACTTTTAAACTTTGCTTCATTGGTTCACTCAACTATTAGTCTACGGTACTTGACTCTTCTTAGTTTTGCTGTTTCATGTCTTGTAGTCTATCTAGTTTCCCACTGTGAATGTTGATACTAGGTTACATTCGTTTTGAATGACTGTTATGGAATATCTTTCACATTTTGATATTTCATGTCTTCCCTGATTTTATATTTCCTGTAACGGTATGTGAAGCCCTGACTCCAGCTGCCAATCACTAGATCCCATTAACAGGTACCTCAATTCCTTTCTAGCATAAAGGTATGGTTTATTCGTTGCTGATCCTGTTGTCGCCCTCAGCAAACCATGGGTTCCACTGTAACCAATAACCATGCGCCATCAGAATTTGACATTTATTGCCCATTGTTAGCTAATGGGCATCACAATAGCATTGTTGTGATACAATCCACTAACGCCATCTCCATGGCTACCGAATCAGTGGTGTTCGGAGTTGTCTTTTCTTTTGTTGAAGCCTAAGTGACTATTATAGTCACTTTGGTTGAAGCGAGCGATTGCTGGTTACAGCAGATCGTCTCGAGATATTTTATGTATTTTTTTCCTCAATTTATTTAAACTTAGTTCGTTTTTTTGTTTTTTAAATTATAGTGTTAGACTTATTTTATAGGTGCCGCTGCTCGATAACCAGTATTGGTTTCTCGCGTCTCCTTCACCCTGAAATATGGCCAATTTATAATTTAATTTATTGCAATTTGTATGTTTGTGCCTATTTTAAGTATGGTGAGAAATAAACTACTGATTACTGATTACTAAATGGGATCTAATAAAAATATATCAGTCGATATGTGCAACATGTTTTCCCGAGACCAACAAGAATAATTTGCATTTTATTTATAATCTTTACATATTGATAAATTTACTGGGTAGCCGACATAACAACTACGTTTTTACGGCACTTCATATTATGATTTTCGGATTAATGCGTTTCTGGGCTCTAAAAACAATCAAAAGAAGAAAAGGAATGGTAATGACTACTTTCATTCATCAAAACTTTAAACAAAAAATCGTATTTGTTTAAGTAGCATTTTAGGTAGCATAAAGTTAGGATTTAAATATTATACGAGTGAGTATAAAAGTATACCGAATCTCAGACATATAGAATATACTAAAACAGCTTTCAAATATGTTTATGTATGTATATATAAATTTCCTTCTTCTTCTCAAGATACTGATTGGAACTATTTGGACAGTAAGCATCACTTGCGGATTCATTCCATATTATATGTTTTTTGGAGCCAGAATTCGAAAGCGTTATCACCGTTCTGTGAACTCAAGATGGCCTGCTTGAACACTCAACAAGGAATGGTGAGTTCCATAATATTAAATTCCAAATAACGCGTATTCCATCATAGGACCAACAACATGATAAATATCAAAATCTTATAGGCGCGCAAACAAAAACTTGTTATAGGGATGTGTATGAGAGCTTGTTTAATGTATTCTTTCTTTGTTTTGTAGGAATGATCAGTACTTTTTATTGGTCAAAATCGCTTATCCGGTCTTTTTCCTTTTACCTTTTTGCAATAATGATCATCATGACAGTACATTTTGCAATCAGAAGCTGCAAAATCATTGGGACTAAGCATGAAATCGCACGTGGAAAGAACAAGAAAGAGTAGGCAGGCTGTGTTACAACAGATTCTCATTGTTCTCTCTTTTTTCATCGGATATATTCCGTTTACAAGTGAGTTAATTTTTTCAATACCATTACAATCGTGCCATTAGGTCACAGTGGTTCCCAACTTTTTCATATCGTGACACACTATGGAGATTTTGAGGCATTAAGTTTTTGTGTTCGAGATATGAAATAATCGTCAATTCTTCCACGCTTTCGTGAAGTAGTGCAATTTTCTGAATTTAATGAAGGTTTTATTATGTTTCATTGTATCAAAGTTTGGACTACCACGCGTTTTCTAAATCCTCATCCTAAAATCCTCGACTCCTTTTATCTCAAAGTACTGAAGATTTTAAATCTATTGGTCCAGTAGTTGCAGTGAAGAGCGATTTTCTCCAACAGTGAAAATCGTCTGTTTACAAAAACAAAATTAAAGCGAAACAATCAGTATATTATGTGCACATAGATTGTAATAATTACATTGGTTTTAAAAAATAGATGGATTTGAAAAGGAAATTAAGTGAACAAATGGAAAAAAGAGTTTAATTGATATAAAATATCGGTAAAGCTTCATCTGAGCACCGCGCATAAAGGAATGCCGCGTGGTTGCGCAATTTTCGAAAAAAATTTAAATTTAAATCGGACCACATGATAAATAGGAAAAAAGGGGAAAATAGCCTTTCGGCAACTTATTCAATCGTTGATTACTGAATATGTAAAATAGATTGTCGCTTGAAGATTGAATAGTTGTTCAATAGGTTCAATTGTGACGGAGAAGAGCGATGTTTTTACAATAACAACAACGTCAATTTTCCAAGCGGTCTATATTCATACTTTCTGTCCAATAATAAGTGTCATATAGCATAGGAACTACTCAATACAAATTTATATGGATGCTAATAAAGGTAACCTCACAAGACGAGCTGTGCATCATTTGGTAATTGTTATGTCAATATCTTTGTCGTTGGGCTGTTCTTAATATAGCGATTTCTCCTATATGCAGAAAATATTACTTTCTACCTTATATCTGTCATACCGCTTGTCAAAAATAAAACACGACATGCCTGAATTTTCACTATTACTGTATCATTGCTTACGTAGGAAACCGCTTTTGACACCAGATGTTTTGCTATTTTTGACTAAGTGTACTAAAAATAGTAGGCAATGTTTGAGGGGAAAAACAATGGTGTTTCATGCACCTGCGGCTTGAATAGTACAAATGAAAAAATGTTATGTTGAGATGTTAGGATTGGGTTTGTTTCACTCAGAGGCATTTGAAATAAAAGTGCAAACTTTTTGCCATAAAAGCCTCTCAAATTGCGGAAACTTAAATATGTGAGGTGAAGAGCTAATGATAACTCAAGATAGGTACTTACACACTGTGATACATTACATTGATCTTTTACATACATACAGATAAACGTATTATTACGTTATTTATTATTAATTATATATATTCAACGGTCATCGAAATTGGTCATGTCACGCTTGTCAACAACAAATCGATTCGGTTTTGGAACACATCGTTTGGTTCTTTCCCCTTCCATATGGACTGGTGATATAAATATTCCTCAGCACCTTATCGTCTACTATGGTCTGGTTGTTCCGAAGAAGAAGGGGTCGTATAAAAGATAAAAGCAGTGTTTGTTTACTTTAAACTTTACTTAAAGAGATTTTTCCAAGAAAGCGGCTGTCTTCTCATCTGAAAGAATATTAGTTTCTGCATGCTGTAGTTTTAAATACAATGAAATCAACAAATATGACAAACTACAATGCCGTTACTCCAGTAAACCATTTTTCGGTTGGCAATTCATCCTCGCATATCGAGTAAGTAAGAGTACGATGGGATTAACGGAATTTGGAATCGCTGAATTTCATTACAATACTATTTAAAGTTAGTGGTCGATAACAGAGTTAATAGTGAAAAGAACTTATCGCAGTGACGTGATTTTTTTTTCTGAATCGTTCAAGGCTAAATTCTTTGTTTACTCGGTTCTGAATACATTGATCGTAATGTCATTTCGTATTATCCAATTTCTCAAGTTAGAAGTTGCAAACCCATCTTTAATATCCTTTCCTCATATATATTTTTACGAGTAAAAGTCCAGAGAATAATCCATGAATAATTTTTTAACGGAACAGAAAATGAAAGTACTCCAATTTCTATTTCAGACCGTACCAACGTCCGTTTGATGATTTAGGAATCCAGTTGTCTGGAGTCATCATATTCACTTTTTTAATCATTGGAATAGCACTAAATTTATTGACAATTCTTGTGATATGCAAATACAAAAAGCTAAGGTCAGTACAAAATTTACAAATACTCACTGGGATCGACTATATATCAGTTACTTTAAATTTAATTAGGACAATCAAAAACATGTGAAAGCTGAATGTTTATTGTTGTCAAATAATGTTATGATGTCTATTCTCCAAGATAGCTATTTAGTTCATATCACACTGGTGGTATTTAACTTGTTTTCAAAAATATTAGTTAGGGAGTGAGTACACAAATCTACCAATGAAGTATTGTAGCCAAGGCGTACCTAGAGGGCAGCCATAGGGTAAACCGCCCCGGAAAGCACGTAGGGGTGTGTTTGTTGCTTGATTTGGATGAAAATAATAAAAACATTTTACTCGTACTTGAGCTCTAATTTGTTTATTCTCATGTATAATTTGTTTATCCCCAGGATTATTTTTGAAGTTAGGTATAAGGAGCATCATTATCAGGAACTCGCCCTGGGAAGCAGAAAAGTTTGATATGCTCCTATTAAAATTAAATGATTAATTATTTTAGTTGACTTATGATTCAAAAATACTTCATTTCATCGTTCACAGAAATTTGTTCGTGTATTTCATATTTTCTCTCTGTGTTTCTGACTTGATATCTGCAATCATCAGTTCCTTGTTTTGGTATCGACGAACTCTAGGATTTGATTTGTGGGAGATTCCAGATTTTTTCTGTAAGGTGAGCTTTAGACGGGACCTTGGTACGAGTTGAGAATGACTCTCTTTGCATTACTCACTGACTCGAGTTCGAGAAAATGGTTATAGCCTGAATAAAAAAAAGCCCGTCGTGTAAAAGTGGTTTCTGTACCCGGTTTCCCGGCATGTCCTTATTCCCAGAACGGTTGATTTTTAATCTATCAGAATAACTTACCTAACGTTGTAACGTGGCTACCTGCGTTTCTTTTGAAGCTTTAAGGTTTACGCATTATCGAAATAGCTTTATATTTCTGCATTTTCAGTTTTTTTGGGCTGCAGATATAACGACTACTTTTTCTACTGCTCTTCATATCATGGCATTTGCTGTTCTTCGCTGGATCTGGCTGAATTTCCCAACTAAAAAAATAAAAACGCGTACAGCACTGGTAAGTAGACGGCTTTTATCTAAGACTTATGAGATGTATGAATGTGTACGTTTAACTACTAGATCTTTTGTTAGCTGAGCTGATCATGTACTATAAAATGTTGCAAACAAAACCTTGCATTTTTATTGAATGTTAAAGTGACGATGCAAATTTGTCCCGTAGATATATAGGTGTGCTATGTTCCACTGTGTGGAAATGTGCTATACAAACATTAGCATGAGGCCTGATGCAATATATTACAAAATCAATCAGTGGGGGAAAATAACGACCTAATATATTTCTAATCAATATGCTGCTTCGTTCCTGCCGAATCAAATTTGTGTGAAAACAGTATTCTGGCTTGAATATAGTCAATTGAGGGTTTCGTACGTTGCTGTAGAAGGGATAAAAGTTAATTTGCTTTAAGATTATCATTTCCTTGATATGGTTCTTGTGCATCACCTGTGGATTTGTGCCGTATGCGATCTTCTGCGGGTCTCGAATACGTGATCGATACGGCAAGACAATGGATGCAAGATGGCCAGCCTGTACTTTAAATCCAGAATGGTTTGTAGTCAATAATATTAAAAAATATCAGTCATAAAGTCATAAATATCAGTCATGGTTTGCTGGTAATATTTCCACAGGTTTCCCTCGTGTTGCAAATTTGAATACTTCAGATTAGCTCCTAAATGACTGATGTCACGATAACACACAAATTTGCATAACTCGCGAAATTACACAATTCGAATAATGCATACGAAGTATAATAAGCCAGGCGATGTCAATATTTAGAGTTGTTCAACTAACATTCTCTCGTTTGACCATTGGCAAATTCCAGAAGTTAAGCATATTTTGTCATGAGTGCGGACTGTTTATTCTGGTGTGCAATGAGTGAAATATGAAAAAGTTGCAATATGCTGCTCAGTATTTTCGCAGCAAAAGCACAATAATAACATCGAGGGCGTTTCAATCTCAATAACGCTGCAATCTGGTATCAATGACCATATTTGCAGCAAAAGGTTTTTCAGTGCAGGTTAAAATTTACACCTAAGGAGTTAACATTTCCAGATGAAAAACTAGGATTTAATGTTTTGCAGGATTATCGTGAGGCATAGCAACAAAACAATAGTTTTAAATTTGAACGCCTATTAATCCAATAGTGGAAAAATACTATATGGCAAAAAGACGTAGTAAGCTAAAGAGACTTCTTTTTTATTTCGCAAATTGTTCATTTTTTTACTGTTCACACAGAAAGTACTATTGATATTACCGTTATAGTCCACGAATGTCGAACCACTGGCCCCTCACTTAGCACATTTTTACATTTTTGGCGCTTCCCTAGTATGTACAACAAGATGGCGGACACCTGAACATAGTCTGTGTATCAGATTAGGGTTAGGCCCTAATTTTATTCCAATTTTCCTTGTTTTAGTTCTATTACGAGTTCGGGGACTAGCCAAGTGACACCCGTAGTATTTGTACCTGATATTATGACCTAACCCTAACCTGATAAACATACTACGTTCCGGTGTCCGCCATCTAGTTGCACATACTACGGGAGTACCTTTTTATTCGGTGACCCGTCGAGTCACAACTTAATGAAATATACATTCCGATGATGAAAAATTGATAATAAAATTGAAGTCTAAAGTCAATAACTAAAAGGTCGACTTTGTTTTGACATCCAGGATCGAGGAGTATTTGTTGTTTCAAAGAATTGCTTTCCCGATTTTCCTATATGTGCCTCTCGGAGTGATTGTTATTGTTTCTGTTATTATTGTCGTCCAACTGCGGGCATCGATACAATCTGGAATAGGAGACGCTCTAGGTAGCACAGCTCGAATGAATAGGAGGAGGCAGATCATGCTGGCCGTTTTGCAGTTAATGTTGATTGTGATATCGTTCCTAATCGGATATGTTCCATTCACAGGTGAGTTCAAACTCTTAACTTGTCAAAGACCACGAAAAAGTAGTTTTATGACACTCACTCAGTCCTCTATGACGTCTCTTATAAAACAATACAATCAAGCCATAACACGTGAAAGACCAAAACTACACCGCATTGATAATTTTTTTGTCAACAAATTGAACAGAGGATAGATAGATACTCAAATGTTGATGATTCTAGATTTTTGTGAACTTTGGGTATTCAATTCTAGTTGAGAAAACCGTCAAAACATGCAGGTTATTTCCAATCATACATTTTATAGTATTGTATTATTTGACACATCTTCTCGCAGAGTTTTTTTTTCTTTTTGATAATTAATATTATATTTTAGTCCTAAATGCTATGGACGTTTCCCCGACCCCTGACCCCTGAAAGATTCTCCCTATGCTTTATCATTGCAAAATTTTTAACGCTGATTTTGAGAGGGTTTTGGAAAGTTTTCGCTTACAAACTGGCTCACATGTTCAAAACTATCTATTATATTCAAAACAATAAACCACGTGCCGCTTATAGATACTAATATCTAATTTTATGCTAGTCTATCGCAGAGCTTGTGGTATCAATTTTTGATGATTGTAGCCTAACTAAAAGTCCCCGGAAGACATAATGACAATTAATTTATTTGATTTACAACTATTTTTTGTAAACATAACTAAAAACTGTCGAATAACACCAAAAGAGGCAATGTTTACAACCACGGTTGAATTTCTGTCCGAGCGAAAGAAGTGTTTGAGCGGCGGCATAAATTCCAATTGTTACGTCATTGTTAATCTTTTGCTGATTTGTGATTGTTACGGAAATAAAAAATGAAATCGATGCTCGGGGAAACATCCATACATTTTTAAATATTGTATGAAAACACCTATTAATTTTGCATTTTAGCTTACGAATTTTGGAGTTTGCAACATCACCCAAATACTCGTTATCACCGAGTTTTCGATTACTGGTTCGGATTGTCTGAGTATCTTTGTATTAGATTTTCGGAATGCCTAAATCCTATCTTTTACAATATTGGTTCGAGTAAAATGAGAAAATGTACTATCAGGTATATCAAAGAAAAATTCGGAGTGAATGAGCCCCAAATTGGAAACACGTGGATCACTACAAACAACGCATCAAGAAGGCAGCTTTCTCGAATAAATAACAATTCAAGACATGTATGATGCCAAAAATAACACATATTTGTGGTAACAAAAAAAATCGCTTTTTGTTATTTGAATGTTTTTGGACACGTTTAGTGGCCATAACGATCGTTTCAAAATCTTGTTGTTATTGTTATTTTCTTTCGTCATTATCATTAAAAAATCGCTTTTCTCTTCGAATACTGGATAAATTGCTTTGGAATTTTCAGTGGTTCAAGATTGATTTTTTTGAGATTGATTTTCTCATGAGATATAATATTTCATCCAAAAATGCGCTGTATTAATTTTTAATTTTGGGAACACGGTTTTTTATCCGCCAAGCGTGACGGCTGACTGTGAAAATTCGTCAAAGGTAAACCCTGCTTCGCTCTAGTCCACGTGTCCATATATTTGAGCGTTGCTCTCTTGTTTTTTTTATATATTTTCGCGTCAATTCATAATTCATTATTGTAGGTATGTAGTCTACCGATTTCAAGTACATTATAGTGTTTGGATTGATTAAAAATGAAATGTTGATGGGAAGTTTAGTGAAAACACATCAATCGTTAACCGGTTGAAATTGACCGGAGCGTGGCGTTTGACGTAATGAGGTGAAATTTAGAATTGTTACGTCATAATGGTTCCAGAACAGTTCTGGTACACGGGAGATTGGAGCGATGAAGAGGCAGTGAATCCAGATTCAAATATATAGCGGGAATGGAGCAAAAATATATGTGTGTGCCTGCTATCAGAGTGTGTATTCAGAACGGCAATAAATATAGTGAATACAAAACATTCGTCACTACTTTCCCAAAATGTCGATTATGCTAATGTCCTTGCGACAGAAGGCGCACTTATTGGATGGCATTTAATAGACGTTCTTGCAATAAAATCGTGGAAATTATATTCTGATTTTATGGGAGGTGATTCTGAACTTGTTATTGTTTAGTTTTTTTTAATATTCACAGTCAAGCGAATGAGACGATTGAAAACTTCCAATCCTATAAATACTTTTTCATTGAACCTGGTCTAGTAGGTCTGCCAGATCATCAGCTCAAAAATGAAAGCAAGACAGGACAAACAGTGCAGTGCGCACTTATTAAATTTTCTGCTCTTAATAAATTTTAATTCTTATCTTTTCCGTAAATCCCTGTCCGTTATGTTTTCATCGTTTTTTACCTGGGTTGAGCTAAATAATTACGAATGAGAGATGATTTTTCGGTGTTTGTACAGAGTCACTGACTACTGGTTCGGAATGTCAGAATACTTTTGTCTTCGATTCTCGTAATGTTTAAACCCAGTTTTCTAAAGAATTGGATCTGTTAAGATGAAAAGATACACTATCATATATGCCAAGGAAAAGTTTGGAATTCGTAAGAAAAAATCTGTACATAAAATGGGCTGGCCACAGATTGCATTACTAAAAAAGGCAGAAGAAATCTGAGGTTCTGTTAAATTAGGAAACCAAATAAAAATAAAAAAATGTGAAACTCCTATGCTAGTAGGGGCTGCGCCCGTACTGTATACATGGAAATCTCAAAAGCATTATTTACTCAACATTACCAATTGAAAATGACTTGAATTTTTTTTTATCATTATCCGTGTGTATGTTATAATGATTAAAATAAACAAGTTTCATTTCAGTGTCTTTAATTCTTTTTTGATTACTTAAATATTTGCAGCATTTTTGTAATGATTTAAGACGCATTGACGCCGTTTCGTTGATGCAAAGTCGGTAGGATAAGTGAGTATTGCAGTCAAACCTGTAACTTGTGAGCACATCATTATATATTTTGATAATTTTTCTTTAAAAGGGTTGTGTATTAATGCGGAAGGAACAGCTCCATATTATGACTTAGGTGAAATAAAAATAAATAAATAAAAGTAATAGCTTAAAAGCGACTCTCAAAGTACTAAAAATTTTAAATCTATTAGTCGATTAGTTGCAGTGAAGTGCGATTTTCTCCAACAGCGAAAATCGTCTCTTTACAAAAACAAACATATAGCGAAACAATCAATATCTTATCTGCTCTTATATTGTAATAATAACATCGTGTTCAATGAAGAAGTGAATTTGAAAAGTAAATGAAGTGGACTAATGGAAAAAAAGTTTAATTGATGTAAAATAGTGGCTTTCCATTGGTCCATCTAGTCGCGAATCAGTAAAAAATTCTGATGCAACATGTTATAGTGTTAACACTAAATGATCGAATGCTTTTTTATACTAGGAAAGCATACTCATACAATATTACGCCTATATTCATATGTGCATTTCCAGTTTTAAGTTGTCGAATACCGACATGGAGAGAACACCTTATACAAAAGAAAAATGCATGGACACAAAAGTCGAATGACTATCCGAAGTACAGCAATGGCCTATGTGACATGAAATAGGTTGTCTGATAACAAAACATCTTTCAGTCAAAATTTCAAACCAGGTCATCGTAGCAAGTTACGGTGGTAACGGTAAAGCTTCATCTGAGCACCATGTCTTAAGAAATGCCACGTGGTGACATAATTTCCGCAAAAATTCAAAATTTGGGGTAAAATACCGGACCACATGAAAAATAAAAAAATAAATTGCTTTTTAGCAACTTATTCAATCTTTGATTACTGAATATGTAAAATAGATAAGTTCAATTGTGACGGAGAAGAGCGATGTTTTTACAATGACAACAACCCAACAACATTTTTTCAAGTGGTTTATATTCATACTTCTTGTCCAATAATAAGTGCCATATGGAAAAGGAACTACCCAGTACACATTTATATGGATACTAATGAAGATAACATCACAAGACGAGCAAGTACATCACAAGTAAATCATTTGGTAATTGTTACGCCATGTCAATATTTTTGTCGTTGGTCTTTTTTTTAGCGGTATCTCATATATGCAAAAATGCTTACTTTTTACCTCATTTCTGTCATACCGCTTGTCAATAAAACACGACACGCTTGAATTTTCACAATTAAATGTATTATTGCTTGTGTGAAACCGCCTTTGACACCGGATTTTTTAGTAAGTATACTCAAAAATAGTAGGCAAATGTTTGAGGGAAAAAACAATGGTGTTTTATGCACCTGCGGCTTGATTAGGACAAATGAAAGAATGAGATGTTGGATGTTAGGATTGGGTTTGTTTCACTCAGAGGCATTTGAAATAGAAGCGAATACTTTTTGCCATAGAAGCCTCTCAAATTGCGGAAACTTGAATATGTGAAGGGAAGAGCTAATGATAACTCATTAGGTACTTACACACATTGATACATTTTTACATAGCCTACATTAAATTGACCTTGTACATACATACAGATAAACCTATTATTACGCATTCAATGTTAATTATATATATTCGTCAGGTCAGCGAAATTGGTCATGTCACGCTTGTCAACAAACAACAAATCTTATCGATTCAGTTTTGAAAAACATCGTTTGATTTTTTTCCGCTCCCATATGCACTGGTGATATAGATATTCCTCAGCACTCTATCCGTCTACTATGGTCTGATTGTTCCGAAGAGGAAGGAGACGTATAAAAGATAGAAGCGGTGTTTGTTCACTTCAAATTTTACTTTAGGAGTATTTTTCAGGACGTCTGCCTTCTCATTTCTGACGGAATCTTTGTTTCTGCATACTGTAATTTTGAATACAATGAAATCGACAAATATGACAAACTACAATGACGTTACTCCAGTAAACCATTTTTCGCTTGACAATTCCTCCTCGCGTATTGAGTAAGTATGAGTACGATGGGATTATCGTATACCATGGTGAGATCGAATTGATTTTGGAGCCAAATTTCAATTACAATACTATTTAAAGTTAGTGGTCGATAACAGAGTTAATGATGAAAAGATCTTATCACGGTGGCGCGATTTCTTTTTCCAAATCGTTTAAGGCCAAATTCTTCGTTTACTCGTTTCTGAATATATTGATTGGCTGGTCGTAATGTTATTTCGTATTATCCAATTTCTCAAGTAAGAAGTTGCAAACCCATCTTTAATATCCTTTCTTCGTATATATTTTTACGAGTAAAAAGTCCAGAGCATACTCCATGAAGAATTTTTAACGGAATAGAAAATGAGGGTAATCTAATTTCTATTTCAGACCGTACAAACGTCCGTTTGGTGATTTAGGAATCCAGTTGTCTGGAGTCATCATATTCACATTTTTTATCATTGGATTAGCACTAAATTTATTGACAATTCTTGTGATATGCAAATACAAAAAGCTAAGGTTAGTACAAAATTTACAAATATTCACTGGGATCGACTATATAGCAGTTACTTAGAGTTTTGTTAAGACAATTGTAAAACGTGTGAAAGCAGAAAGCTTATTGTCCTCAATTAATGTTATAATGTCCTTTCCCCAAGGTAACTATTTAGCTGATATCACACTGGTGGTATTTAAATTGTTTTCAAAAATATTAGTTAGGAAGTGAGTACACAAATTTACCTATAAACTATTCTAGCCAAGGCGTATCTAGGGGGCAGCCATCGGGTCAACCGCCCGGAAGCCACGTTGTAGGGGTCAGTTTGTTGCTTGGTTTGATGATTTGGATAAAGATATTAAAAACATTTCACTCGTACTTGAGCTCTAATTTATTTATTCCCATGTATAACGACATGTATAATTTGTTTATCTCAAGGATTATTTTTGAAGTTAGGTATAAGGGGCATCATTATCAGGAACTCGCCCTGGGCAACAGAAGAGTTTGATACGCCCCTGATTGTAGCTTATATTTAAATTGAATAATTAATTTTTTTAGTTGACTTATGATTCAAAAATACTTTATTTCATTGTTCACAGAAATTTGTTCGTGTATTTCATATTTTCTCTCTGTGTTTCTGACTTGATATCTGCAATCATCAGTACCTTTAATTGTTCTGGTATCGACGAACTCTAGGATTTGATTTGTGGGAGATTCCAGATTTTTTCTGTAAGGTGAGCTTTAGACGGGACCTTGGTACGAGTTGAGAATGCCTCTTTGCATTATTCATTGACTCGAGTTTAAGAAAATGGTTATAGCCTGAATAAAAAAGCTGCCTGGAGTACTCGTCGTGTAAAAGTGGTTTCTGTACCCGGTTTATCGGCATGTCCATATTCCCAGAACGATTAATTTTCAAGCTACCCTACCTAACGTTGTAACGTGACTATATGCGTTAGTTCCAACCTTTGCGGTTTACGCATTATTGAAATAATTTTATATTTCTGCATTTTCAGTTTTTCTGGGCTGCAGATATACCAACTACTTTTTCGACTGCGCTTCATATCATGACGTTTGCTGTACTTCGCTGGATCTGGCTGAAATTCCCATTTAAAAAAATAAAAACGCGTACAGCACTGGTAAGTATAGACCGATTTTATCTAAGACTTATGAGATGTATGAATGTGTGAGTTTACCTACTAGATCTTTTGTTAGCTGAGCTGATTATGTACTATAAAATGTTGCAAACAAAACCTCACATTTTTATTAAATGCTCAAGTGACGATGCAAATTTGTTCCGTAGATATATAGGTGTGCTACGTTCCACTGTGTGGAAATGTGCTATACAAACTTTAGCACGAGGTCTGATGCAATATATTCCAAAATCAATCGATAGGGAAAAATAACGACCTAATATACTTCTAATCAATATGCTGCTTGGTTCCTGCCGAATCAAATTTGTGTGAAAACAGTATTTTGGATTAAATATAGTCAATTGGGGATTTCGTATATGTTGCTGTAGCAAGAGATAAAAGTTAATTTGCTTTAAGATTATCATTTCTTTGATATGGTTTTTGTGCATCACTTGTGGATCTGTGCCCTATGCATTCTTCTACGGGTCTCGAATACGTAATCGATACGGCAAGACAATGAATGCAATATGGCCAGCCTGTACTTTAAATCCAGAATGGTATGTAATCATTATTATTAATAAAAACATATCAGTCGTAAAGTACCTAATGGTTTGCTGGTAATATTCCCAGAGGTTTCCCTCGTGCTGCAAATTTGAATATATACTATAGATTAGCTCCAAAATGACTGATGACACGATGACACACAAATTTGTATAACTGGCCATGTTACACAATATAAATAACGCATAAAAATAGTACAAGTGCGACTGGCCGCATGCGATCAAGATTTACAGTTGCTCAACTACCATTTTCTCGTTTAACCATTGTTGTTGTTGTTGTTGTTATATGTTTTATGGCGCTTATAACTTCAGTGGTCTTTTGCGCCATTGATCAATTCAAATTTAAAAAATACTATACCTTATACTAACATATAATACAATATTTACGAATATATAATTATACAATTGAATCAATTGCAATTAGTAATTATTTCTAAACATTTCTGCCCGTAGACAAAACAAATTCGATAACAGTTTCAATAATGTCCATGTTACTAAGCACTTCTTCCAAAGTCATTTCCAGTTTAAGTTTTCTGGCTTTGCTAATGACTGGGCTCCTTTGATGATTATATCGTTGACAATGCAATAGGTAGTGGGCTACGGTCTCGGGTACGAAACACTGTTCACAAAATCCGTCTGAATGACAGCCAATTTTATGTAAATGTGCATTCAGGGCACAATGACCACTTTGCAGTCGGAATAAAAGAACTTGATATTTACGTGACAAAGTTTTGTTTTCTAGTCGTGACATCGTGGTAGGATGAAATCCTTTATAATGGCTTGAGTTTACCGAGTTTATTGTAGCTATTTTCACAATTAATATGTTTTCGAATGCTGAATAATTAAGAAGAGCTGAAAGGGCATTGAGACAATCTGTTATTATCAATACACGTTCCGGTCTTGTTGTTGCGATCCATCTGAGACAGCCCAGAATTGTGTATAGCTCCGATGTATGTGAGGAGACAAAACGATGTTTAACCATTGTCAAATTCTAGAAGTAAAACATACCTTGTCATGAGTGTGGACTGTTTATTCCGGTGTGCTGTAAGTGAAATATGAAAAAGTGGCAATGAGCTGATCAGTCTTTTCGTAGTAAGAGCACAATAACATCGGTTTTTCAACAGAGGGGGATGTAATCTCAATAACGTTGCAGTCTGGTATAAATGCTCACATTTGGTGATGTTCAGCAGAAAGTTCCCCAAGTTCTCCGTCTTAAATTTATCCCTATGGTAGCGGTTCCCAAACTTTTTCTTCGCGAGGCGCCAAATTATCAGGGAAAGAACTCACGGCGCACTTAACACCTAAAATAGCTGCTTTTAAATAAAGTTCAATTTCATGATCGATAATGCGTACATTATGCCTTTAAATTTTGTAAATATATAGATCTAAAGGATGAAGGCCAACGATCAACTCTTCTTCATCATCTCTGCCTGAGTTTCCTTTGAATTACTAAATAAATCATTCATGCTCGCTAAACTCGGTTCAGAAGATAAGAAAAAAAAATGCAGCTCGCGGAATTGCATCAAGTCGTATCTAACTATATATATTGTTACGTAACAATAGAGACACTAACTATGTAACAGAAAGTTATCGTAAATAGAAAGGTAAAATGGATTTATTGATTTATATACAAAGCATTTGAATTAAGAAATAATAAAACATTCATTATAATAAATACAAGAAGTAGAATATTCAATCATATATTAGTTATGTTTAACATAATTCTGTTAATATTCGCGGCCCCATTAACAAATCGCTATACCATTTGGGGACCGCTGCCATAAGAAGTTCACACCTTCAATGGAGAAACTAGGATAGGATTTTTTTTGCAGGATTATTGTGATGTATTTTGCAACGATAGAATATTTTAAAATTTGAACGTATATTAGTCCAATGATGCAAAAAAACAAGATAGCAAAAAGAAACAAACATAGTGAGCCAAGGAGGATTTCGTAAATTGTTCCATCTTTTACTGTACAACAAGAAAGTACTACTGATATTAACGGTATGGTCCATGAATTTCAAACCACTGACCCCTCACCTAGCCAGTTTTTGGTGGTGATAAAAAATTGATAACAAAATTGAAGTCTAAAGTCAATAACTTAAAAGTTGACTTTGTTTTGGCATCCAGGATCGAGGAATATTTGTTGTATCAAAGAATTGCTTTTCCGATTTTCCTATATGTGCCTCTCGGTGTGATTGTTGTTGATTCTGTTATTATTATCGTCCAACTGCGGACATTGATACAATCTGAAATAGAAGACTCTCTCGGTAGCACTGCTCGAATGAAGAGGAGAAGACAGACCATGCAGGCAGTATTGCAGTTAATGTTGATTGTGATATCGTTCCTGATCGGATATGTCCCATTTACAGGTGAGACCGACTCTTAATTTATTGAAGCCACGTAAAAGTAGTTTTATAACACTCACTCGGTCTTCTATGTCTCTTATAAATCAATACAATCAAGCCATAACACGTGAAAGACAAAGCTATACCGGCATAGATGATATCTTGTCAACGAATTCAACAAAAGATAGATACTGGAATGTTGGTGATACTTGACTTTTGGAAACTTTGGGTCTTCAATTCTAGTTAGGAAAACCTTTAAATTAAGCAGGTTATTTTCAATAATACATTTTATAATATTCGACACATCGATTTTAAAGAGGTATTTTTACGATAATTACTATAATATTCAGTCCTAAATGCTATAGGCTACTTTTCAAATATTGAATAAAAACACCTATTAATTTTGCATTTTAGCTTACGAATTTTGGAGTTTGCAACATCACCCAAATACTCGTTATCACCGAGTTTTCGATTACTGGTTCGGAATGTCTGAGTATCTTTGTATTAGATTTTCGGAATGCCTGAATCCTATCTTTTACAATATTGGCTCGAGTAAAATGAGAAAATGCACCATCATGTATATCAAAGAAAAATTTGGAGTGAGTGAGCCCCAAAATGCAAACAGATAGATCACTATAAACAACGCATCCAGATAAGATCTTTCTCAAAAAAATACCGATTTAAGGCATGCATGATGCTAGAAATAATATATATTTGTGAAGAAACATTTATGATCCAAAGGATGATGTTCCTCGTCAAGCCAATATGGATAATGAGAATTATAATTTTTTGCCCAGTATTACTTTTACTAGAGATTGGAGGAGAATGAGGCCAAATTCAAGATATTATAGTGATTTTGTGAAGTGAATATTGCATTTTGTAGATTAGTTGATTACTGACTACTTGTTGTAAATGAGATGTGAACATTCCGATTGGCATTGCTACAATGTGCATTAGTGTTGTGTTTTTGTTTGTAGATATTGATACTATTTCTTTAAAAAGGGGGCATGTAGCATTAAATTTATGACGTCATATTGAGGATTTCATTTATGTCGCTCGATGTCACTGTTGAGCTCACTCTCTTGCTGTACTCAGTGTACTGCATGCTGCTTAGCGTTATACCCTTAATAAATTAGACTCTAATAATTGGAGCATCCTGCAAAGTTGTAGCAATTGAATTAGTGATATCGATATGAATTAAAAGCGCTCCAGAAGTATGTGCACTAAGATGGCGGACACCGGAACGTAGTGTGTGTACTGGGTTAGGGCTAGGCCATAATTTTATTCCAATTTTCCTTATTTTAGTTCTATTACGAGTTCGGGGACTAGCCAAGTGACTCTTGTAGTATTTGTACCTGGAATTTTTTTTGGCTTAACCCTTATCTGGTACAGATACTACGTTCCAGTGTCCGCCATCTTGGTTCATATACTTCCGGAGTACCGAATTAAATGGGACGGAAAATAATTTTGTGACTCACTAATCATTTTTGCACAGATTGTACGGTATAAGGTGACTATTACCTTGGATGTCAAACAATGTTCAAAAAAACATCGTGACCGTTAACCTTCTAAAATCGTTCAACTGGGTAACCATTCACAGCCATGATTATTATAGGCTTATACTTGCATTTGAAATTGCACCCTAACTGCATAGAATTATATCTGTCACGGTGGGTGTAAGAAAATTTTTCAACGCAAAGTCACGCACACTCATTCAGAAGCAAAGCAAACTGATATCTAGGCAAAAATTTTGTACCCGCAGAAAGTGCAAGGGCTACAGCCTACAGATATACTGGTTCAAGTGAACGGCACTTGAACCACTGACGACTGCGTTGGCAGGCTTGTATTGTTAATTGCACCAATAGCGGGTATATTTAAATAGTATTCCTTATTTTACGCGTATGTTTCAATGGTGTTTCCCTATCTCTGGGTCGCGACCCAAAGCTAGTTTGCCTGAAAATATTTTCGGTACGATTTTTTTTACAAATACCTAAAAGTTATTGATTTTATTTCCTAGTAAATTTGGTGCTTCCGTAGTATGTGCATCGAGATGGCGCACATCCTGAACATAGTATGTGTACCAGATCAGGGTTCAGGTTGTGCGTGATTACGGTGCACAGATTTTACGAAAAACACTAATGCAAATATCAAGCCGTAAGAAAAAAATTGCTCAAGGCTGCAAACTTCACACTCATGTAGAAATGATCGACAATGACCCCAAGATGAATAATCACATTGAAAAAAAAATTATGTTTGATAACAATGTTGGGCCCAAGAAGGCCCCTTATCTGCCAGATACACAGACAATAAACGGATAAAAGAGTTCACAGCCGAGCGAATATGGCGTCTAAAAAAAGACAAGTCCAATAAACACAATCTATGACTTGATTGTGACGTCGTAGTGGCGTAATGTTTGGATGATGTAGTCAGGTGGGGGTTAGGAATAACATATTCAAAAAATTTTGTTCCACGCCAACTAGAAGTAATTACGGCGTTTAGTAAACACGCTCCCAAAACTTCGTCTATGCAGTTCGGTCGCCAACTGGGAGTCAATCATATGTGATCCTATTTTTACCCGATCGAAGAGTCTGTAAGTAATAACTGGTGCTATCACCTAAATATGATAAGAAGTGATACTGTGTGATTCAATGCGCGGGTGACATCAGAAATACTTGAAAAGTCCATTCCCAATTAGACCATCCAACCTTTGTTGCTGTGACTTTGTTGCAATAGAAATGCACATCAATGAGTCAGTTTATTCCGGCAGTTACACACAATTTAATCTATTTAGATTTTAGATGATCATCACTCCAAATATTAACCCAAAAACAACGAAAAGCAGAATTTACAAAAAAATAACAAATTGCAGAGCTTGATGACAGAGGTGCGCCCACTAAAAACACAGAAAAAAGAGAGCGACGTGCGTGAGAGATTTTACGGATGTCAGAATATAGGTCAGAATAGACAGAATCGTTGGCTCAATACAATATATTTGAAATTTCGTGTGTTATAAAGCATGAAAATAATACATGCAATTGATTATAGTATCAAATTTTGGATAGGAAATTAGTTTATTTAACTAAATATGGATGCACTAAGCTTATATGATCAAATGATTATCACAAGACTGGCATGACAGCAACAAATAAATATTGCGAAAGACTTTTCTAGAACACAACCCTTAGTGCCCATATTTAAAATGAGGGAACATTTCTTACATAGTTTTACCCGCCTAAGTATAAAATATTTACTTCATCCAAGAGAGGGCAAAGCGGAGATTTGTACCGAAATTTTCTACATTTAATGGAAATTAATTCTTACTTTTTCACGTAAATCACTGTCCGTAATTATTTCATCGTTTTAATATCAGGGTTGAGCTTAATAATTACGAGTGAGAGATTTTTCGTTGTTTGTGTGTATGTGCCAAGGTAGTAAGAATTGATCACAAAGATCACGCTATAGAGCTATAGAGATCGAGGCAAGTCTAAAATTAAGTGTTATACTGCCGTCATGTGATTATTATGACACGAATAAGACCTATAGTTCGTTTTGCTAAATTATTGTGCTTGCTGTTTAATGCATTAGTATTCTTCTTGGTAATCTTTTCTCCTATTGTTTGTGTGAAAACGCTTTTCGTTTAATAGCTTTGGAATTTTCGTTGTTTGAGGTTGTTGTTGTCGCTGCAAGGCTATTAACTACTTTTGATTACTTCAAAAATTTCTGTGGGCTCTTTCAGATTCATTTTTCACTTCAAAGTTTTCTGTGATAACGTCACAAAATTGAATAATTCCGCATCGTGTGTCGGTCTTGTGGTCAGCGGAGTCGTAGGGGTACTGTAAAAAATTGATACTATTATGGAGTTTTGGCTTTCGTGACCATCTATTTGACTATTGCTCTATTTTTCAAAGCTGCCGATACGGAAAGATTGGCGTTGAACGCAATGACCGATTGCGTCCCAGGAGAAAGCCTTTTTAGTCATTATTCGTGATGCTACAATCTCACCAGATTATACGCTACTACTCTCGCATTATTCGTTTTTATTTTATTACTTTGCACTTCATGCTAACGCTTTGGGCTTTCTTCATAACGTATGGATATAAGCCTAAGCTCATTACGCAGGCTTGTCCATGGGACATATTTTTTTTTGTCCAATTCCCATCCCATAGCAATTATGCCTGTCCCATCCCATTGCATGTGATTCCCATTGGAATAAATTTCGTTAAAAATTGTTAAAAATAGGTTTCGCGTCTACTTAAATAGGACTACATGCACAAAGAGACATGCAAAACAACAAAATTTACGGACTTTGTTAACTTTATATTCATAACTATTATACACGTGTATATCATCCCCATCACGAAGTATATTTTTAATGCTGAATATATTTGGCTCTTTGTAACTAACAGGAGAGCTATGCTCAAATATATGGACACGAAATCCATAACGAAATGTTTTACCATCATTTCCCCGAAAATCACACGGTTTTCGTGTCCCACGTGTCCCATGGGAAATATAAATGTGTGCTATCCCATCCCATCCCATGGGACGTTTCCCATGGGCAAACCTGTCATTACGTGATACTATTCAATGTCTTTTAATAATGTGGGGATGAGGCACCTAAGACACACAGGAAGGACATAGGTTTAATTGGTTGGTCATCTAAACATTCATAAAACGTTGTATACAATTATACAGTATATAGATAAATGAATGGGTAGAACAAATCATGGATGAAATATAACATTTAGGTAATGGTTGGTGAGCGCTACCACAATTGTGGGGTGGCCATGTATATTGATGACCAAACTTATTAGAAAGAGAAAAATATATAATTTAATCAAATAACAATGTATTCAAGAATAAAATTGTGAATAAAAAAAAAAATCGAACCAAGTCATTTGCATCTGATGAAGAATAGAAAATATCAGAGAGATAGTTTTTCTATAGAAAATGGCATATTTTTGATATTCATGGCCGGAGGCTTTCATGCATCAGGCTTTATCGCCATCTTTTAGGTAAATTATTTGTATGTTCTACGTTTACACATTCAATATAGCAGCCATTTAATTTTGGCAAAGCGTGTAAACATTGTAACCAGTGGTGGGATTCATAATTTTGGATCAGGTTCTCTTTTGTATCGAACTTACTATCAACAAGTTCTCTCATTTCAGAAAATGCATGAATCTCACTAAATACGCTATATTAAGACAGGCACGATCTAACTAAATCTAATACATAACTTTTAAAACGCTAAACATAACGCTGCTTCGTCATCAGCGATGCACTATAGTACCCATATGCTAAAGTCATCTAACACGGTGGTTTTCAACGTTGTTCCCCAATCGACCCGCTGAATTCCACTATTGATTGTAACCTAACCGTGTTTATCGGGTAATTCCATCATACCTTTCCTAAATCGACAACAGGGCGAAACTGATATTTAGACTGCTGAAGACATCAAGGCCTGAATGATCATATATATTTCCCCTGTATTTCTCCCAGACGTGAAATGCGTCCGTCATCTCACTAATACGATTACATTGCATAGTCTACATTTTAATGAGTATTTGGTGGAAGATTAATCGAAACTTTGTAAACCATCACGTCACACCCTGACCTACGTCAAGCATGATTGTCGAAATTCACCGACAATAATGCTTAATGTGTTTTTGACGACAATATTTCTATGGTTGTAAAACGAAACAAGGAAATCGGAAGTTTCAAATCAAACTCCATGAACTCGACGCGTTGAAAATATAGCACGAACACGGCGACATATAATCACTGCTTCGTGGGTTGGGGAAAAAATTTGTTTTTCAAATTATTATAATAAATATTGAAAATATTGCTTCACCAACGTGACAGCTGTTTATGTGTATTATTTATGCCCTTTCCATAATATTATTCGAAAGAGTGATGTATCTGTAGTAGATGGATCCACCAACTGTATAAGCAACAGAGTTTGTGTTGGATTGGCGACTAACAATGGGCCGTTTTTCAAAAATTTCTAATTGGATTCATGATTTGCCTTCGTGAGTACTGGAAAGAATTTACTATTTCCAATTCCAAATTTCATTGAAATAATGTAAGATTATAAGATCCCTTAGAGCTCTAAATTAAATTTGTTACGATACATTTCAAATTGAATTTAGACATTAAATCTGATTCTCGCATTTGTCATTGGTGCAAAATGATTCGAGAGCAAATAATCGGGTAATAATGCTTTCAAGTTGAATCATGGTGAAATCGTAGTAAATTCAGTCTTTCTTCTCAACAATAATAGTAAGCCATATTCAGTGAGTCATCCCACACATGTATATTGTAACAACAACGTAAACGCAACTTCAGATGACAATAAATATAATCTTGTGTGAGATAGTAGAAGAAGCATTCTCGGTAGCGTGGTTGTGGAAGTATTTAGTTCGTTCAAAGCTGCGAGCCGTTCGATGCATTTCTGATTTGAAAACTTATTTCGTCTTAATTTTTAAACATCCAGTTCTGCACAGTAAAAGATTGATTAACTCAAATTAACTACGAATTAAAATAAGTTTATGGGAGAGAAGGGCGCATTGAATAAAATAGGTTGCACACTATTTCACGAATGGTACTCGTAAAAAAATTAATTAGTGTATTAACAGAAAATATGCTATATATAAATATTATATAACCGTACAATCTGATAATTCAAGACAACTATTAAGATTGTCAATGCTTATTTTTGCTGAATTAATGAAAAAAGGTTAAAAGGTGGTTGTAAACTATGCATTTCCCTTTTGTTGCGTTGGACCCTAATTGCCAAGTCAGTATTTGTTTTCTGATTGCCCTTTTTACAATACTTTTCAATGAAACATGGATGCTCCATATTGAAGAGCCAAACGATAGCCGCTGAGGAAGTGTTGTGTTTCCGTGTTCTATTATTCACACCGTATGTGAGCAATTTGATATGTCTACTATAACATATCTTGTCCTTTCCATAGGTTTATAACCCTGTTCATAACCTCACTCAAAGCAATTCAAAACCCTTTAATAAAAGATGAAATAATTTTTGTAATCTCCTCGCCTTTCAGTGCTGTTGTTTATCAAATAAAATTTGTTAATAATGAGGAGTGGGCTTATTATGACACCATGTTTTTGTTCAAGAAGCTGGCAATGAATAATTATGTAAATATCTGCGAAATAACTGTAGTTTCATTTCGTAATCGTGCTTCGTGTAATCATTATATATTCAAGTATGGGATACACATGAAAAAAACTTGGCATTGGCGGATGCTGATTAAGTCATTATTATCGAAATCATGATGTGGTAACGCCAAATGCTTAGAAAATAAATCAAAGCCCTATCTACCTTGTGGGCGTGGGTATTATCAAATATGGTGTCACATCTCTGAAATGTTTTCCTACGATGCTCGAATACACAAAAACGGGTTGATTTGCATACTGTCAACCGATATGGTTTCGCTTGGCCTGTTTACTAAGTTATCTTATTTTTATCGACATCAAACAAGAAACGTATATTTCTTTCAATTGAACGTGTTTTTGTGATGTAAATAAATTTATGTAAAGTGATATTGGCTGGAGCTGGCCTATATCAGAAAGTGTTTACCCCATTATGTTCCGAATGTTCAAGATTTTATGTTAGAAGATCATATACAAGGCTGTTAAAGTCAACTTTTGACACCAAGCTCGCTCCGATTAGAAATATTGAAAATCGTCTGAAATTCGAATCACGTGTTATGTCGCGTTGTATTCCACGAATTCAGTGTTTTATCTCATTGCAAAACAATAGCTGTTTGAAATACCATACTGTGATACTAATTTGTTCATTCCAACTTGATTCATAGTATACCTAATATGAGCCGGATGTTTTGCATCCCGATTTTCCATTCCAGTCGTTCAAGCGTTTCCGCTCATGAATTTGGCCCATAAGCTGTACTTATGGCCTGATATATCAAATTCTCTCATTTCAGACTCATTTGATCTACTTAGCATCTATTTTTGTAATAATGGTTACTGATTTTGATGTGGTGTAGGTGGTAACCCACTAAGACCTGTTTCGTGAGATTCAGTCATTACCACTGAAATTAGTCTTCACAAATTTAATTTAACCGAAACTAAATCCACAAAACTGATTTGATTTGTTGTAGGTGGTATACGAAAAGCAAGCTGTCAAGTTGGAAATCAGTTTTTAAACTTTCTTACTTTTTGTTTAATAGGACAATTGTAGGCCTTAGTAATATTTTCATGTTACGTTAACGGAACATTTGTCAAATTTTATATCTATCTTCATCACTGTCCTCGATCATATTGTTGAAAAGCTTGAAAACTATTTTCAAACATAAAGCTTCTTATGTGAAGAATTGAAGATGAATTTCAGTGATTCAACTACCGATATTGTGGAAATTAGGAACACGACTGCACAGTAAGTCAAACTATTATATTCACCGAATGACAATTTGAAATTATAACACAAATATTCCATATTCCAATGAATTGAGCGTTTATCAAAAAAAGCAAGCATTACAAAACCTTAATATTCATTTATATAGTACTTTTCATGAGCGGTATAGATAAGTGGTTCTTAAACTTTTTAAGCCGCGGCCCCTTTCAGAATTTGACAAGTCTCGAGAGCCACTTCAAAAATAACTAGCTGACAATAAACTACAAATGCCAGATAGTAAGGCAAAAGTATGAATGGACTGAAACCTATGGGCAGGGGGTGGGTATATTGACTTGGCTAACACAGACAGTCCCCGAACTCGTAATAAAACTAAAATAAGAAAAATCGGAATAAAATTATGGCCTAACCCTAACCTGGTACACACACTACGGGAGCACCAAAAATTGTCTACGCTCACCTTGAGGGGCGCGCACCACCGTTTGAGAACCACTGGTACTATAGATAGTACATTTGATTGAGTATCTTTGATAAATGTTACATAAGTTACAAATGGCTACTTTACTCAGAATATCATGAAATATCGTATGCCTAATTAATTTGACATACTTGTATAAAATATACCCACCAAATAATATGAACCGTTTTGTAAGTTTGTTCTAATATAAAAATGCGTTCGAACGTGAGCGGCATCATGTAAAGCTTGAAATGGAATACATCGCCGTAGACCTATTATAAAATAAGGTAAGATATGAAGGCATTTCCAAGAGATGTCAGTCACAACCATAACGATATATATATCCTGCACATGGTACTGTATAATATCAGACTCTGTTGGAGATTTACTGAAACATTCAACTGATATTACTGCAATTTAATTATCGATGATATAGAAACTGTCAAAAAGGCAATATGTTTTAAAAACAGTCTGCTGTAAGTAGACGTGTGAGATTTTCATATATGGTAAAGAATAATGCAATGTCAAAAATCAGACAATAATTTTATCGTTTAAAACTCCTATATTTTTTTCTATTTTCCCTTTACACGGGAAAGGGAGAGGAACAAATACATATGAAAACATGTTGTTATTTAAGTTGAGTCGGTTAAGATTCAAAGGGTGATAAAATTGAAAAAGATGTTAATTTGTAGCATTATGGGAGCGACTTTGAAACTTTCACAGTCTATGCTCGTTAACGAACGTTATTTGCGCAACATAAATTAATCATCAAAAATCATTTCTCGCCCAAAAATGTGAAAATATAATTTCAATTTGAAAAATTTCGTTATTCAATATATGTGCATGCATTCGGTTAAATGATATTTTTGGAGATATTTCACTGTTATTATAAGTATGGCCAAGACAAACAATTTTGCGTTGGCTTGGTCTAACATGTTGCTGTCGGATCGTTAGATCTCCACGGAGATGATAAATGCTTATTCCTAACTCGGAATTAGAATAACGCGAAGCAATATACCTCAAGTTTATTTACACTAAATTGTATTATGTTAATAATAATTAAATACTGTAGATATAAATATAACTGTTTGGTTTCTTGGAACCAGAGTTTCAGTTTCCGTGTATTACTCATTGAACTAATATAAATAATCTTGCGTTAAATTGAAGATGATTGTTAAATCACGATTATGCCAAATAAGGCGGGAAGGGTATTTGAGTTGACGTAGTGAAACAATTGCCTTGGCAGCTGCAAAAATATATATATGTTAGTTGCAGTTCTCATATTCTTGCATAGTTTGTTTGTTATTATCGGTATCTAATGAAGTTTAATTAACATTATTTTTCAGAGTTTATCAAAAGCCATTTGGCGACGAAGCTGTTATATTGGCCGGTATCATCATATTTACGTTCGTTACTATTGGATTGACTTTGAACAGTTTGACCATAGCAGTGATACGAAGAACACCTCAACTTCAGTGAGATATTTTGCTTTTAGAGTTATGATGATCTGCCTGTAATCATGAAGTTTGTCTTCAACTCGGTCACCAACTACAATTTGGGGTTATAAAAAATTAAATACTTAACCCGATGTCAGACGGTTCAATTTAGGACAACAGTCATATAGACGTGATTCTATGAAATTCACGTCAAACCGCTAGACTTGGACGGACAGCACAATGCATAGAAAACTCCAAAAATGCGTAGCTTTAGTTCATCAGTATTGTGACCTAGGACTAGTGTGATATCTCACCCCGGTTTCGTTCTTGTGACCTAGAATAGATCATGGGTTTCCCCAATTTTCTAATTTCCAAGTAAAGCAGGAAAGCCCATTGTAATATCACCTTGGTACGTTCTTGTGACCTAGAGCCCTAGATCATGGGTTTTCCTTAATTTCTAATTTCCGAGTAACTCAATCCAGCCAGCCTATTGTAATATCTTACCTTAGTACTTTTCAATGGGCCTCCTAGCTTTTGGTGACCTGACTCACCATAGGTAAAAGAAATGCGTGAAAAAATATAGAAAATTTTGGTAGAAAGAGCTGGTTTTATGTGTGATGCTTAGGGCTGGGCATTTTCGAATACCTGATGATTTCAGGTTCGAATCGAATATCTTTTTCGAATCGAATCTCGAATACTTGGAAGATATTCAATCTATGTGACTTTTTACTGTGATGGGTCCTCCATGTTCATAAATTACTGAAAACATAGAATTTATCACTCAGACGGTTCGCTGAGCGTTCACAAACAATAACAAACATGTTTCATCAATAACTACTAGAAAGAAAAGAGTCATATGTCAGAAATGCATTATAAAAATATGGCTTCAGTAAAAAAATTGAGAAATTCACATCGACCTTTGGCGTCCAAGTAAAAAACAAGATGGCGGCGATTTGAAAATTTCGTCTGAATCGATTCGAATAATTTACTATTCGATTCGGAAAGCCCAGCCCTAGTGATGCTATAAATCAAAATCGATCCTCGAGTGACGTGAATAGAAAACAATCATGTGGTGTATGAATATTCGTTCCAATTAAAAACTTCAATAAAACTGTTTCAACCGAATCAACTTTGAAATGCATGATGCTTGCCTGAATAAGCTCGTAAACATTGTTTAGTCCTGAATCATTCGTCGTAAATCACACGTTGGTGTTATTCATACTGGATTGACTGATATTGTACTGTATAGTCTATCTGCAGAGACCGTGACAATATCCGGATAAATATTTATAACGTTTTGCATTTCGCGGTGGGTGGTGACTTTCGGATTTGCCTTTGAGCAAACGAAAAACCTATACTTTATAGTTCATACCATGCACGATTGGAGATTAAATACTTCGATTTATGTCAGGGAGAACTTACTTAATTCGGTTTTGAAAGTTGGTAACACAAACATACTGAATTGTTGTGGATGTAACATATTCACTTCTTCATTTTTTCAGAAATATTTTCATGTCCTTCATTGTTTCCCTCTGCGTTTCTGATTTGTTGTCTGCGACGATCAGTCCGTTATTTTGGTATCGAAGAACATTGGGGTTCGATGTTTGGAATCTTCCTAATTTCTTTTGCAAGGTACGCCATCGTTTATTATATGATACGTTTCAGTGATAACATGTATATAATATACCACAAAGCCTTTCCCCCGTACTTCAGTTCAGCAATTTTTGTTAATTTAAATTATATCACTGATCACACAAACTTTGGTAAAACTTATGTCATGTTTCGGAAATTGAATATGACCAGAGGACGTAAAAGCACAGAATAAAAAAAAAAAGAAGACAACGTCTTTAGAAGTAATAAGTCAAGTAAATTATGGGAAAAAATGGGTACATCCCGTACAACAAATGGTTACATCCCGTTCGAATCAATATGCCCCCGTTATCAATCAGATTTCAGTGGAATGGTCTTTTGCCATGAAATTAAAAGTGAAATACGTTAGTAAATATATTTTTAAAAATTATTATGTTTTCTGTGCTCACCTCTTAGCAATTATGTTCTTATGTTTTCATAGCTGTACTGGTCTGTCGATATTTTGACGTCATTTTCTACCTCGATGCACATCTTAAACTTTGCTATCCTGAGATATATTTCAATCAAACATGCACCGACATTTGGAAGAATTAGTATGAGAATGGGAAACGTGAGTTCTATTCATTAATATGATATGAACATTAATTTCTAGCAATGCTGTGCGAGGCCCCTTTCGTAAATATTGCTGATGTAAGGAGCAACACATAATCTGCTGCTGTATGATGTGCCGTTGCCACACACATTGACAATTTGTCTCACCTGTAGATACATTAAATGAATTCAGAATCAAACAATAATGAAACTACGACTATGGTATTATTATCAAGTATTATTCGCAAGTGAATTTAAGATTTTTTAGATGCACATTTATACACTTTTGTAAAGTATAGTTGCCAAGCCTCTCGTCTAAAAAATACATTTTTCTCAAAATCTTATATTGTTGGGGATAGTCTGACATATAGTAAATAAATAGAATACGCAAAAGATGCTATACATAAACGTGAATATTACACATGTACAATAACCACAAGAACATCTTGCAACATGAAATGTTGGTACGCAATACATTTTTGCGGTTCAGGAAAAATTTGCCGTAGGAAATCTCGCCGCATAGAAAAAATTGCAGCATGAAAAACCGCCGCAAGAGCATTTTGCTGTAAAACAAGTATTTGTGATAAAAACAGTTGGGTTTTTGAAGTACCTTTTTATTTAAACAAGATTCGTTATCTAACAGCATAATCTAACACTAATCCTATAAACCTAACTGTATTTATCATAAATACTTGATTTACAGCAAAATACTCTTGCGGCAAATTTTCATGCGAAGAATTTTCCGGACACACATTTTTGCAATACACAAGTTGACCATTGCCTTCAATAATTTGATATACAACGAATTTTATTTTAGATTTGGATTGCAACTATTTGGTTTATTGCCTTCACATGTGGATTCATCCCATTCTGGATATTCTTTGGAGCAGAACCCGGCGTTGAACGAGATCGATTCAGTGATGCCACAAATGCGAAATGGCCGGCATGTACGTTGGAATTGACTTGGTAGGTAGGAAGTTTCTGATTATATCTTGCCCAATAATACGAACGAAAAGCTCAGTAACGCTTGGGCACGAAATCTCCATACCGTTCTGACACTTCCTCATTACAGTTTTTCGAATCTTTTATTACTGAATATTTGAAAGAAATAACAAAGGAATTTTTCAGAATAAACTAAATGAGACAGAATGAGGGAAAAATTAAAAAAAACTGTGTCAAATTATTTGTACACAGGGAAAAGCATTACACGTTATATACGTACATTGGATACACGATGTTCCTACTGGTACCGATGGCCGGAGTTATCATAATATCAATACTAATAGCAAAAGCGGTGCATTCTCACTCGGTTTCTTCAGTGGTTACGAATGACCATGCGATGAAAAGAAGATTACGAAAGGAGAAACAGGCTGTCTTGCAACTTGTACTAATTGTTGCTTCGTTCATGTTTGGATACATTCCTTACGTCAGTAAGTAACTAAAATTGGATAGAAGTTTATTTGAAAGTAATAAAGAAGAATTGGGTGCTCCAGAAGTGTATGTATCAATATGTAGGTAACTAATTTTGTTCGCCTACTTTACATCGAGTTGTGTAATTGGACTGAAACCTATTGGCAGAGGGTAACACAGACAGTCCCCGAACTCGTAATAGAACGGAAATAAAGGAAATCGCAATAAAATTATGCCCTAACCCTAACCTGGTACACACACTACGAGAGCACCAAAACTTGTTCTAGTCAATGCAATCCAATTTCGATTTTCATTACTTATCGATCTTAAGATCAGTAAGTATGTTGATAGGTATTTGACTGTTTGTCTGTTAGATGCACGCGATATCTCACGAAAGCGAGGTTGAATTTGCCCTCAACTCCGCACGTGCAATCATCATAGACCAGAAACCTATTGATTTTGGATGAATTATGTCGTATAATTAGCGAGTTATTAATCAATCAGTGATGGGACACGCGGTTTCACTATAGAGTCAGAGTAAATGAATGGGGGATCCCCTAACTTTCGATCGATAAGTCTTCGGTCTCCGACTGATATTCTCGTTTATTGATTTGTGGGTGTTTTCCTGAAAGCATTTATTTAAAACAAGTTCCATTTTTTCAGCTTACGAAATCTGGTCTCTGACATCTTCCAATCCCGTCGCCGATTACTGGTTCGGACTGACGGAATATTTTTGTCTGAGATTTTCGGAATGTATGAACCCGATTTTTTACAACGTCAGTTCATCAAAAATGCGAAGACACACGAAAAGGTTTTTGAAAAAATTATGCAGATGTTTCGATGCCATCAAACCATCTACGATAGTGTCTAATAGCTTTGGTCCATCTTCTACATCCACTAGCGCTGATGGAAACAATCGAATGGGAGTGTGATAAACTGTGAAACTAAAGATTCAAACTCTACTGAGAAATTATATGGTAGTCCCATAAAGTTGTAAAAATGTTGATAAATCCCTAAAATTAATTTTGAACACTGTATCTTAAACGTATTTTTATATTATATATACAAGTTCCAAATCATTTCCTCTTAGTTATTCATTTATTTTATCTTATATATCTGGAAAGACTTTATTGGCAATACAATAGTTACTGAATCATCTTATTTACCCCGCCATGGCTTGATAGGATACAAACACAAATTTTATAGGAAAACTGCTTTTCCTGTTCACTATATGGTTAGTACCATTTTCAAATGACAAAGGAAGTATGTTCAGTAAGTTTACTTTTAGTTATGGTCTGCATCCAATTTCGTAACATATAGTTCTTTCTTATAAAATTGTTGAATTTTCATAATATAATTATCTATCGCGGAAAATGAAATAAAATGCTTTTTTTGAGTTGTAGAAGTCTAAAATATTCCCTTTTCCAAAACAAAAAAACAAAAGACAACAATTTTATATATGAAAACTAGGCAGGCTCACGTGCTTGATATTGTTCTGATCGATGAAGCAATATTTCCCCTAAATATAAGGTTCAGTGTTTAAGAGAATCTTTTTTGGGCATCGGGTAATGTGGTGCACCAATCCCACTGTGAAATATTTGACCCACGTTCAACACTGAGCTTCGACAGTAAGTTAAGTGAATTGTTCCATAAGATCGATAAATCAATAAAGTGATTTCAAATTATCAACAAGTTGCAATACGCCGGTATTAAATATTTATAGTTTCAATGCATCTGTTACAATGACGCTCAATTAAATTCTGATACCTTATTTAACCTCCAGGTTGGTTGTTATACTATTCGAAACAAACATTACAAAAAAGTAAGATGTTTGCATAGAAATGACACCACGGAAGTGCGTTTTATATAGAATCATCACCAGTCCTAAGATTGAATTCGACCTGCTTTCCTCTGACTCCTATTTTGAAGACCCAGCAGGCAGAATCTTGGCAACAGCTAAATCCTTATAGATACCAAATGAATAACCTATCCAATATGCGAAGGTATCAACAACAAAAATTCGGCATGCTGAACCAGTGTAGTAAACCCTGGTAGCGCGAATAGACCTTATTCATTAAAAACCCATCCTACGCGCAAAAAGAAAAGTTTTGCAATTTTTTATCATTAATTGACTATCGGGCCATGTTTTAAGCGATTATAAAAGTATCTTCCCCCCATACAAACTTTTTCAAACTCGCTGTATAAACACTTTATTATATGTACTACTGCTGGTCTTGTGTAAATGTGGGGCCCGTAATTGCAAGACACTCATTTTTTGAAGCAAAGAAGATCTTTTTACTATTTCCATCATTAATTGGGCCATTTTTAAGCGATTATAAAAATATCTTCCCCCCATACAAACTTTTTCAAACTCGCTGTATTAACACGTTATTTTATGTACTACTACTGGTCTTTTGTAAATGTGGGGACCGTAATTGCAAGACACTCATTTTTTGGAGCAAAAGAGGTCTTTTTGCCATTTCTATCATAAATTGACTAGCGGGCCATGTTTAAGCGATTATCAAAATATCTTCCCCCCATACAAACTTTTTCAAACTCGCTGTATTAACATTTAATTATATGTACTACTGCTGGTCTTGTGTAAATGAGGGGCCCATTCCGGCAAGACACTCATTTTTTGAGGCAAAATAGGTCTTTTTGCCATTTCTATTAAAAAGTGATTATCGGGCCATGTTTAAGCGATTATAAAAATATCTTCCCCCCTTACAAACTTTTTCAAACTCGCTGTATTAACACTTTATTATATGTACTACTACTGGTCTTGTGTAAATGAGGGGCCCGTAATTGCAGGACACTCATTTTTGGGGGCAAAATAGGTCTTTTTGCCATTTCTATCAAAAATTGACTATGGGGCCATGTTTAAGCGATTATAAAAATATCTTCCCCCCATACAAACTTTTTCAAACTCGCTGTATTAACACTTTATTATATGTACTACTACTGGTCTCTTGTAAATGTGGGGACCGTAATTGCAAGACACTCATTTTTTGGAGCAAAGAGGTCTTTTTGCCATTTCTATCATAAATTGTCAAGCGGGTCATGTTTAAACGAGAATAAAAATATCTTCCCCCCATACAAACTTTTTGAAACTCGTTGTATAAACACTTTATTAAATGTACTACTGCTGTTTATGTATAAATGGAAAGGTTCATGATTGTAAGACACATCTTTTTGGGGACAAAATAGGTCTTTTTACCAATTTTATTAAAAATTGACGACTGGGACAGGTTTAAATGATAATAAGTATCTCTTCCACCTATCCAATCTTTGTCAAACTCGTTGTGTTTACTTCCCTTTATAAGCACTTATACTTATCTTTCTTATACTAAGCGGATATATTTGTGAGACACTTATATTTGGGGGAGAACTGTGATTTTTTTGGCAATTATTCACAGTTTTTATGATTAATCTGGCAACGCATAAAGCATCAGCTGATTTTGCATCGATGCCTTTTTCGTTAACTCTCGCATCGCTCAATTGAAATCTGAGTTCTGGCAACAGTGATCGGCGCGTTCAAAAACGAGAGATCTGGCAACGCATAAAGCATCAGCTGATTTTGCATCGATGCCTTTTTCGTAAACTCTCGCATCGCTCAATTGAAATCTGAGTTCTGGCAACAGTGATCGGCGCGTTCAAAAACGAGAGAGATGTCTGCTAGGGTAACTTTGGCCCCCCGCCCCCCATGTTCGCTATCAAGATTAACAGTTAATTAATATGTTTGAACAATTTAACAAAAACTCCTTGGAGGAAGAGTTGACTAAGTTACGGAATATTTTCGGATTCGGTTAAAAATGTAGTCCATTATTAAACCACTGCTTTTTTTTGTAGATTTTCACTTAGTGGACACTTAGCAAGTACGGCAGTTAATTTATAAAAAAAAAATTGTAAATTAATAACAAATCAGTAGAAGTCAGCTCGGGTATTCAAACATGTGATGATTGGAGTGAGAAAAAAAATTGAAGTCACGTTTAGGATATTACATCAAACAACAATGGAAAAGGTACATTGGAATCAGTCAAGCTTCAAATGCTAATGGCATTAATGAAAAGAATATGCGACATGAAGACTGAAGTTTCCATCTGAGATATTGGAAGACGCTAAAACCTTAGACTTGATAGTGTGGGAAGCCTTCTCACAATGCAGTAATAATGGGACATATATTTATAATTTCATTATACAGGCTTTAAGTTGAACCATATGTTTAATTAAAATATCTATCTTTGCTAATAAATGCTGAAAACTATTTATTTCAATCTGCTGAGTGATTAGGGCTGTAGGGACCATCACCAGGGCTGGATTTACCAATAGGCTAGGCAGGCTGAAACCTAAAGCCTCGAAATTCGGTTTCGAAGTTTGTAATTCTTTTGAAAACTTGACAAGTTTGAACCCTACGAAAAGTATATATATATATATATTAGGCTTTTCAGAATAGAAAATTCTGTACACAACTGGTTTCAACCATATTGTAAACAGCCATTATTGCGTCGTTTGCATCATAATTAGGGGAATTATTATTATGCGCATTCTGCTGGAAGTTTCTATGTTAAAGTATGGCTGTAGCGGTTGTTTGATCAAAGAAATTGAAAGCAAAACTGACTGCCTCAAGTAAATTTTTTATCCTTTTAATTAAAAATTCGCACCCATGAATGGAGAGAATGAAAAGTTTAATGCACTCATATTTTAAAATCTTAAGCAATGACACGTGATGTTGTTTAGAGAGAAATTCTGAGCTCAAAAATATGAAGAGGCCTGTCATGGTCTAAATCCAGCCCTGAACATCACCAATTTTGGGATAGGTAGGTACATGGTGTCAACATATGAACTGAGTTAGGCCATTGGATTTTGAAAGGTGTACCAGAAATGTACATAGTTACATGGAATTCATGAAATATATAACATCCAATAAAAACCAAAATAGGTCTTTCGTTAAACGCCAGTTGTGGTCCCGGTACCGGTATTCCAGTATTCTGTCATCACAAGCAGTTGGAGCGCATATCCCACAGAGCACGGCGCGTTGGCAGAATCTCATGGTCTAGTGAGAATGACGTCATCGGAAACACCGCGCTCATTAAAATTTCAATGAACGATTATCAAAAATCTTGACCATGTTTATCATGATAAAAATATCAAAAAAGATGTAAAAAATATTCTATCCTCAAAACTGCTCACGTATACAATTGAAAATATCTAGAAAATTACAAAAAATGCAAATTTCGGCTCTGATGATCACATTCCCCATAAGAGCTAATGTTAAAATTGTTTTTTTTACATCACTTTCCTTTTTGCGCGTAGGATGGGTTTTTAATGAATAAGGTCTATTGTAGAAGCTTGACGGGGTGTGACCTTATGCACCCTGCTTGCTACGCAAAGACGAAGGGCGCTGAACCGTGCGCCAATATTTTTCAGTCTAAACGCTCTTAGAGTCTAGCCTATCCCAATACAGCAATGGTCCAGACAATCCTCTCCAAATTATCCCGTCTTATAACTGAGATGAGCAAACTGAAGTACACAAGCCCACAATACGCAACTTTGAACACAGGAGAATTGTAGCCTAATGTGTCGTGAAATTATCAAGCACTTGATCAGCACAAAATATATAATCAGGATGTCAGATGGAGCCAAATAGATTACGGAAACAGATGACGAATACAGATAGAGATGAGATATAGATAGAGAGAGGTTTCCTAAAGAAAAGAAAATACACTATAAATACTATGAATTTGACGCATAAATAACTAACATGCAATCAAATTATATCGCTTACCGACTGTTTTTAGCCAAGGTCAACAATATATCGAATCTTTTATGTAACTGCAGAACACTGAAATAAACATGAACAAATAAGCACCACAATAACAGTACCTAACCCTACAGCATTAATTGTGGCAATAAATATAATACCAACAGTATTTCATCCAAATAAGACTACTACATAACAAGCCAAATGCAATGAAATACAGAAAACTCACCAAGAATATTTCACAAAACAATCAAAACGCAGGACAGATTTACAAAATGCAGTTCAATAATCCAAAGTTCAATGCAGCAAATTTTAAACTATTAGCAAGTTAAATAAGCATGAAACAAAGGAAACCATAATTAGCCCACTATATTTAATATGATGCAGCTTTTCCTAATGCTAAATCGCCATAGAAGTAACGCATTGCAACAGCAAACTAGCTGTGCACATTTACAATTTCGGCCCTAACGCGAGCGATATAATAACGATGTAACGGCTCGGTCTACAGATAATAAAGAAACACATCAAATGCGAGTAATGAAATGAGACGTTTGCGACGTTGACAAACGAAAAGATGCAAACGTGTCAGCAATAAAGAAATAGACACTACCGGCGCTGGAGATCTAACAGCAATAGCTTACTTTACAGAATATAAAAAATACATGTTCACAGGCGGCGCCGCCCCGTACATTTGTTATATTTATCCCCATTAGAATAGTCTGATTACCTGAAACCTGAAACAGCAAAATATAGTTGGATTTAAATGATTTTTGTATGTGGAAGAAAATACAACAGTGAATATATCATGGATTCCAGGGCATATTAAAAAACTGCAACTTCTTTCTGCATTGTTAGAATTTGTGAAAGAGCTATATTCTGACATCCAGGAAGCAAAGGATGAAGATGGCATTTTGAATGGGTGGATGTATGTGTCAGTGTCTACAAGCCAAATTCAGCAACATCCCATACCAAGTTTTATCTAGGTAGAAGGGTGCATGATATCTGTTAAATATCGCGGGCAGCAACAAACATGTATGAAGTTGGACATTTTAAATTCGAATGCCCAAAGCAAAAAAGATTCATAAACCCTTTGAAAATGCAAGACAGGTTTACTAATGAAGAAACATTGATAAGAAAAAATGATAAAACACAAAGTGAAGGATTGACCACTGATAACAATGATGAAAATGCAGTCAAGCGTGACAACCATAACAATGATAATACCAGTACACCAAGTGTTGTCACTTTAGCAGACTTTATGCCCACTACAGACGAACCTAGCTCAAATGAAGACAAAAGTGTTGGATCGAACGATTGTGACCTGGAGCCTTCAAATACACCAATGGAGGTCAATGAACAATCTGGAGTCAAAAGATGCAGATCGCCTGATCAGAAAAAACATTTGGCAAACATTAGGCCAAAACTCGATAGCGTAAACAACATTGATATACCAAAATGCATCATGTGTGAAGACCAACTTGAAATAACGGACGACAACGCTAAAGAAGCTATCTGCTACAACTGTGAAATTAAGTATGAAATTATTAAACAATGCTGTACAGAAAACGGATACTTTGCTGCAAGTGAAGAGCAAATAAAAAATGGAAATGTTAAATGTAATGTCTGTAACACAGCTATGTCACTTACGCAGTGCTGTAATGGTGTTGGTGAAATAGTGGAAAATGATGTTGCTAGGTGTACCACTTGTGAAAATTTATTTCTGAAGTGTAATTGCTCTGCCTTGAACAGCTTTCCTGTGGAGAATGGTTTCGATAAATGCCATAGTGTAGGCTGTGGTAGCTATATGATGCATTGTCCTTGTGGTAGCGTTTCATATACTGATGAATCGCTGGAATGCAGATGTGGAAATACTCTAAATGGCTGATATTAAATTGAAAATAGCCTCTTTAAATACAGGAGGTATACGAGAATACTCTAAATGGCTGATATTAAATTGAAAATAGCCTCTTTAAATACAGGAGGTATACGAGAATACTCAAAAAGACGAGAAATATTTTTGTTATTGAAAAATAAGGGCTTTAATCTTGTCTTTCTACAAGAAACACATAGTAAAAAGAATGACGGGAAACAATGGCTGAGAGAATGGGGTGGTTCTGGAATTTTTTGTAATTACTCGACCAATTCAAGAGGATTATGTATTTTATTTGGAAACAATATTTCATACTCACTGCACACGCAACATAATGATCCTCGAGGAAGATTTCTGGTGGCAGACATAACCATCGGTGTTGAAAGACTCACTCTAGCAAATATGTATGGACCAAATAATGATGATCCCAGGTGTTTTTTGGAACTCTTTTAGACTCTTGAGAGCCAACAAAGCCAGCAATTCATAGTTGGAGGTGACTTCAATGTAGTCCTTAGTAAGTAAAATTGATAAAGTGGGCGGCCGACTAAACCATCGAAATAAAAAATCGGGACAGATGTTGCATAATATTATGGAAGAACCAAGACTCCTTCAGAGTAATAAATCCAAGCAAGAAAGTATACTCTCATTTTCATAAACAATCAAAAACTGCCATCCGAATAGATATGGTGTTACTATCTCAGCATTTGTTGCAATATCAGTGCAAAGCCGATATTATACCTTGTGTTTTATCTGATCACTCTATAGTATCTGTGGATTGATATTAATCCTGTCCCCAGAGGTACCGGATTCTGGAAACTGAACACTTCCTTGTTGAATGATGAAAACTATGTTAATAAAATTAGACAAGTAATCCAAAATACCGTAATGGACCACTGCATGGAATACGTTGATCCAAATGTTATGTGGGATACAATGAAAGTAATAATTCGCGGGGAATCAATAGCCTATGCAAGTAGGAAAAAAAAGTTGTACGAAAAAAAGATGAACAATCTTGAACTATTAATATCTTCCCTGGAAAGCAAGTATGCCAGTCACCAATCTGATGACAATATACAACAACTGGAAATTGCAAAGCAGTCTCTAAATGACTTGTTGAAACAAAAAACTCGTGGGCACCTGATTAGAAGTAAAATTAAATGGGCTGAAGAAGGGGAGCATAATACAAAATATTTTTTTGGTCTGGAAAAAAGGCATAAACAAGGAACATCTATTGCACAACTATGTGAAGGTGATAGAACTATCTCGGATCAAAAGATATATTGGAATGTATCAAATTGTTTTACACTGAATTATATTCTGAAACATCATTACAGAATGTTGATGTGGATGAAATATTGCAAGGGATCAGAATACCACACATGGAATATGAAGTTTCAGACTTATGTCCTGGTGTTATCTCAGAGGGCGCTTGTTTCGAAGCTTTGAAATCCATGAAATCTGACAAAACCCCCGGACTTGATGGTCTTCCAGCAGCGTTTTATAAGGTGTTTTGGGAAGATATTAAACATCTTCTGATGGCTAGCTACAATCACTCATTTGTTAAAGGGACTTTGAGCAAAACACAAAAAAGGGGAGTAATAACTCTTCTTCCTAAGAATGGACAAACTGAACATTGTATAAAAGCAATTATCGCCCAATAACGTTATTAAACGTGGACTATAAAATATTGTGTAAAACATTAACAAACCAAATGAGTAATGTAATCAACAAAATTGTCGATCTTGATCAAACTGGATTTATTAAAGGGAGGAATATAGGGGATAATATTCGACTGATTTGTGATGTAATTGACCTAACTGTCGCTGAATCATTGCCTGGGGCTTTAATTTTTCTTGATATACAAAAAGCGTATGATAGTTTGAAATGGGATTTCTTGTTCAAAATTCTTCATATATTTGAAAATGGGTTAAAATTCTTTACAATGATATCAAGTGTTGTGTCACAAATAATGGTCATATTTCAGATGATTTTGGAATCCATAGAGGCTTAAGGCAAGGTGACTTTTTCAGCTGTCTTACATTTTTATTAGTAATCGAAATTTTTGCAAACATGGTCAGGCAAAACCCAAAAAATGAACCCATAAAATGAAGGAATATTTCTATGAAAATTTCTATGCTTGCTGATGATGTAACTGTAATAACCAATGGATCACAATCTAGTATTGATGCCCTTTTTCATACTGCAAATATTTTTGGAATTATATCTGGGTGCAGAATCAATATAGCAAAATGCCAAGCAATGTATATTGGCACTAAGATTGGATGGAAGTGCTAGGCCAATACTGTTTTCAAGCAATGCTTAAAGGAAAATTGAGCTCAAATTCATATGTTCTGAAGCATTTACCTCTAACGTCCATTCGAAATGTATTTAAAAACTGGTATTTCTGTAAAAATGTGCTTTTTGATTGGAAAATGTCAATTTTTGACCAACCTATATGGTACAACAAAAGTATTTCTTATGCCAGAAAACAATTTTTTATTAAATCTTGGTATGAACATGGTATAAAAGCAGTAAGACACTTATCAAATGCGGGTATTCTGTTTACTTATAGAGAGTTGACTGAAAAATATGACATGCAATATAGTGATGTAGAGTATGTAAATTATTATCGCATCACTGGAGTTTTACCTGACGATTGGTTATGCAATATTGGAAACTGTATTGATTTTAGTGTATTAAGTGACCCTGAAGAGAATGTATCTCATTTTATTTCTAAAACATTTGAATCAGAAAAAGTAAATAAAAGTATCTATGAAAGGTTGAACCTGATCAAATTTATATCCCCTGATAAATCAAGAAAAAAATGGGCAGATCTTATTATTTTAGAGAGTGATTTTAATTGAAATAAATTGTATATGGATATCTTTTATTGTACTATTGAAACCAAATTGCAATCTTTTCATGTAAAAATGTTCCATGGTGCCATAGTACTAAACGATAGATTGTACAAATTTCAACTTGTTCCATCAGAGTCATGTGAATTCTGTCATTCCAATGTTGAAACTATCAGCCACCTTTTCCATGATTGTATAGTTGTTCAACAGTTTTGGGAAACTCTAAACATGTGGATATTCTCAAAAACAGGGATTAATTTTAACTTTTCGAAGAGAGACTGCATGTTGGGATATGTTTGTAATTTTTATAACAAATTGTGTAACTGTATACTTCTTGCTGCCCGGTTTTATCTATATCGTTGTAAGATACAGAAAAAGAAACCGCTTTTTAATGTTTTTACCTCATATCTGTATGAAGTGAGGGAAATTGAACGGGTTATTGCATATAAAAATGGCAAAATAAAGAAACATGATCAAAAATAGAAAATTTTATGATACAATTACTGATTATCTCATATGATGAATTGTGTATTGTTCATGATTAGTGATTAATAATGTTGTAGATGTACCGATCAACTGTGTTTTATATATTAATAAATATATACAAAAAAAAAAGAATAGTGTGATTAGGCGCGTGTGCCAGTTTGCAGTTGTTTGATTGCGTTTCATTGATATTTTCATACTGTTGTAGCGTACCGACAGTCTATGAAATAATTATCCAAGTTCAGAATATCTTCCAATATGATCTAACGTCAAGTTTCCTCTCAATATTTACTTCAGGTTATGCTATTTTATTCTATTTATTAATTATCCTCCAATGAAACGGTTAATACAACCAAATACTCCGAAGAAACGGAAAGTAAACAACAATACCAGGCAGTGAAATGTAAGAAAACGAAATACACCATAAAAACACTAAAAAAGTTACTTACAATTTGAAAAACAGGCTGAAAATTAACTTATGACAGGCATTTTAAAAGACGATAAACAATTCTATATGTGCATAACATTTGAACAGTACTGATCATAGCTAATTCCATGATAAAACAACACTAAGTGAACTGCAATGGCCCTCCTGTATTGAAACAATAATATCAGCCCATTGTCTAGCATAAAAACATCCAACAAATCCCCATCCCACAGTCACAAAACAACAAACAAACAACCCCGATCACCCACCGGAGACCAGAGGCACTCCCTCAGACACTCAAAACCAAGCATCCAATCGAAAAACAACCACACTCAGACAACTGCACCCTGCCAACCACAGCACACGCTATCAGGCCACCCAAAAAAGAACAGATCGACAGTGTCACAGCGCCCCCAGTGTCTCCAATACCAAATATGGAAACGACATCACATGACATCATTTAACAGATAAAACAAGGGTCGTCCACTGTATTAGCCTACAGACAGAACGTCAAAATCTGACAGTTCTGGTAATTATTATTATGGTTCTATCAAGCGGAAAGTGGGGAAGAAGAAATAGCGAATCAGATCTGACTGGTGAAAGGTTCAAAGCCACAATTCCCGTTTGTACTTTTTGTAAAACTAAAATACAATACTAAAGGGAAATTTCTTTATGCTCAACTCTTAGTAACTTCATGGATCGAGTAAACTCATCCGTTTCGGGACGAATTACCGACATGAATATATAGCCTATAGCGTTGTGATGTTGCTACTTCCTGATTCAAATGACGTTTTAACCACAATGTGTTTTTGATTCTCTGTGTATGTTTAGTTATGAATAATGCAGTGCTTCCCGTGGCTTTTGCTTAATTTTACCATTTTATAAATTACCGCGTAAAGTTATGTATCAGAGTTATTATGTACATAGTAAAGACTGAATACCGCCGAACGGAGCACAGATAGTAAGTAATCAGATAGTACTGAACTCATCCCAGCCCAGTGTAATTATCTACAAGCTGAAAAGACAAGAAAGCCGCGTACTTATACTTTGTTTTTATATAGTTTTTTTTAAATAGAAAAGTCGAGGATCTGAAGCCAAACAAGTTGTTGTCGTTATATTAACATACAGTTTTATAGAAAACTTCATCCAAGAGTCGAGTGAATTTTTCATTGATTCGCTCCCGTTCAATCAGCACATTGAACATCAATAAAACTGAAGCAATATTTCTAAGCTGAAACAATTCGATTGTTTGCTAATGGACCAACACGAACTGTCAACAAGTAACACCTTCCTGTCAACAAGTGACACCTTTACCACCTATGCAACAGAGTTAGTATTAAATTATATATATATACTATTTGCTGAGTCCCCTTGATTCTCTTTCGTTCACCACACTCACTGAAGCTATTCACGATGGGTAGCTATTTTTTTAACACCGTCAATATAGTTCTTCCTTCACATATGGCACTCATCACTGGTTTCCCGCCGTATCCGGGAAATTCGCCGTAGGAAATTTCGCCGCATAGAAAAAATCGCATGTGCATTTTGCTGTTAAACAAGTGTTCAAAACAGTTATGTTTATAGGGTTAGGGTATGCTCTTAAATAAAGAATCTTTTTTAAATAAGGCGATTCCTCATATGGCGGTTTTTCTTATGCGGCGAAATTTCCTGCGGCGAATTTTCCTAGAACCGTTTCCTGCATCTCCTTCTTGGCTGAACTATTTTATTATTTAGTGATACGTTTTTATTTTTAGGTTTTATGAACGGTCTTTCGGTGATGGCTTCATCATTGGATTCGGTATTTTGGTGTTTTTACTTATGATATTTGGAATTTTATCAAACAGCTTGGTAGTTATTGTGATTCAACGAACACGAGAATTAAAAAAGTAGGTACTCCTACCCATATACGCTATACCGGTAAAAAAATCATTTTGTTCTTATTTATATAACATCTCATTTAATCTGAAAAAGGCATTTAATATTTTCTGCGCCAAATTATTATAATAATGAGTTATTCTTATGCATTAATATGTAGGAAATTCACACCATAATTTCCAATGTTTTTGTTAAAAATGGTCACTTGTTGAGGCTGCAATACAATTTAAAACAAACTTGATAAACTCAAATTTAATTTTCCGACTATTGTATTCTAAGATAGACGTTTGTTTATAGGTCTCACTTCATGACTATTATTTGTTCTCTTTGCATCTCCGATTTGATGTCTGCAATGATCAGTCCATTTTTCTGGTATCGAAGATCATTGGGTTATGACATTTGGAATCTGCCAAACTTCTTCTGTGAGGTATTATGAGTTTTTATGATTTGAATACTGAGAGAATATGAATATTTGAGCAATTTGTCATTTGAGTAATGTGACAAATCTTACTATCCAAGAAAAGTTAATTCATATTTCGAATCAGCTCAGTTAGACCGGGTTTACAATTTTGTTTGTAAATACGTGTTTTTCCAATTATTAAATTCACATAAACTTCCATCCTATATTAGAATCTACCATCTTTTGGCAAGTCCCACACGACAAGTATTCCAATCCCATGCAAAACTCTAGAAATAAAATAAAAAGAAATGTGAGGTGCCAGAATAAAAACACTTTTTGTTTATACCGTCCGTTTCATCTGTTGTGAATGTTACGATATTTAGGTATTACTCATTTATTTCCGTTTTACTTCAGCTATTTTGGGCGGTTGATATCATGACATCATTGTCAACATCTATGCATGTACTGAGTTTTGCTATTCTACGATACATTGCTATTCAACACCATTCTACGTTTGTAAAAGTCTCATCCAAAATAGTCAATGTAAGATATTATAAAGTTTTTAATGCTTTGAAATCGTTACTTTCATGGAAGGCTTGACCCTTTTTTATCTCACTATATTGAATATGATGACTAATCATAGCGTTTTTGTTTACCATTTGAATTGATCAGACTTCATCAGACATCGGCAAACTACGGCTCGCAGGCCAAATCCGACCCGTTGAGTAATTCAATCTGGCCCGCTTGATGTTGCCACAACAAAACTAAAAATTCTGATGTTAAGCTATGAAATAGCTCGAGGAATATTATGAAATTGCAGTTAAATATAGTTTTGTCAGTTGGCTCATTGTTTTTCACTTTAGCTTTTGTGACACTGTAAATATTTTTTCTAAAATGTAACTTTTTATGTCACCTTACATGGCCGTGAAGTCTAGGTCTAGGTGGGCACAATTTTTGGCCCTTGGTCCCCTGCTTCAAATGTAAAACAACATGGCAACATTACACATCCGTAGAAAAAGTAAAATTGACCTTTGACTTGAAAACCAGCTTCCTGGAGTAATAGCATTAGTCAGAAAATGTAACATGAGTTTTTGTAAATAGTATTTATCCTGAAATCTACCTGTGACTCATTTAACAAACTCTGACTCTACGACATGTTATCAATTTTGTTCTGATTTACACTTATTCCCGGGTAAACTTGCAGAACTGTCCATAGTCGAGATAGGAATTAATAACAGGGGCAGTCGATTGTGTAGGGTAGTTTCTAAACGGGGTTAAACTGGAGAACCCTCAACTTTTCATTAGGCACAAAATAAACTAGGTCAAGACTCAAATAATGCTATATCATTTTTATACTATCTTATTTCATGATAGATTTGGATTGCCTGCATCTGGCTGATTGCATTTAGCTGTGGCTTCATTCCATACTTCATTTTTTTCGAAGCTGATCCAGGCGTTGAGAGAAAAAAATCGGAGCATTCTTGGCCAGCATGTACATTAAAACTTGACTGGTAATTTGGTTGATTATTTTACGTTAAAATAGATTGAGAATTGCATTAAATATAATAAACAAGTCACGCGATGAAACTAAAACATTGTAGAAAAATTAATAACAAGCAGTATACATATAACCATGGCGCATGATTGTTTTTCCGGCGTTAAATGAGCTGATAAACTATATAATCTAAGAAGATTTTTAGAAAGCTATTTTGCATACGCATATTGGATTGGCTGTTCATATTAAATGGTTGTTTATTCATACTAACTAGATGTACATTCATATCACTCTGGTCATCCTTTAAACTAGTGCCAGGTATAAAAGCTGAGTGGTCTAATTTCTAATCGCCAGACGCGGTCAAATACTGATAAATTTGGCCTATAGTTTAAAGTGAAGTGTAAACAACATAAACGATGATTGGGTATAGTGCCTTCATGTTTGGTATTTAGTTGATATAAAAAGTAGCTCGAAATCTTCAGTAGAATATAATTTTTTTGCACAGGCTCAAGAGTTACAACATCTACGTCGTAGTCGGCTTTACTGTTTTCTTTTTTGTGCCGATGATTCTTATTGTTGTGATGTCCATTTTAATTGCTCATGCGGTTCACGTGCACTCCGTTACGTATGTGGTTACCAACGACCAATCTCTCGATAGAAGGATGAAAAAGAAGAAACAAGCAGTTTTACAATTAGTTCTTATTGTAGTGTTATTTTTTACAGGATATATACCATATGTTAGTAAGTATAATTTTTGTGGTGTTTATTTGTCAATTCATTATTCACGGGCACCATAATGACAATCTCCATTATGTATGTTCACTCAAAACGAAGTTACGACTCCTTATTTGAAGGCAAACATGTGGCTTGTACACAGATGTTGGCAAACCATTGAAACGCTGGAAGTCACACTTGGGTCCACTGGAGCAAAAAAACAACAACAGATACTTTATTGAAGACGAACAGCTTGGGGGAAATGAATTCCGCAAACGGCGGTTATGGAAAAAAGCATTTTAGGCAGTAGACATTTTAATACAAGACAGTGATTCAAACGCTTACTCGCATATTCTATACTAGTAAGGCTTCTGTATCATAATTACCTATTAAAATGTATAGACATAGTTATATGACAGAATTTTTATCAAAAATTGCATCAAAACAGTTAAAAATGACTTTACAGGTTACGAAACCTGGTCAAGACATCACCGCAAAGCTGATGCTGCTATTGACCACTGGTTTTGCATAGCGCAGTACTTGTTTTTGAGAGCATCAGAATGTTTGAACCCCGTGGTTTACTGTCTCAGTTCTTCAAAAATGCGCAAACACATCGGAGTATTCTTACAGAAAACTTGTGCATTCTCAACATCCAATATTAATACATCTACTTCAACACCAGGAAGTTCGACATCACGTTGGGGGGAACAAAAATCTCGTACTGCAGTATTTAAGAACAAATTTCTGCCGGTTCGAGATAAAAATTAAAACAATAATATTGAATGTGATCAATACGTCTAAACGTATAAGTCAACTCAATTTGATAAAATCCAGCATTCAAAACTGACAAACAGCCCGATTTAATTTGGAGGAATCCGATCACGTTAAAAAGACGGAAGTGTTATATTAAACTTATGGAACTAATGGCATGTTGCTCCACATTGAATGCGCATTTATCGTTATTTATCCTTGCCTTGGTTGATAGAATGACAAATGTGTTTTTTAAATTTTTTTGAAATAAATTAATCAGGCAAGGAGGTAAAAATTACAGCTTAAGATCACCATTTTGATAATTAACAAAAAGCAAAAGTGTGAAAAAATGCTAAACTGTATTCCGTGCATTGCTCCAAATTACATTATAGTATTGCTTACGTATAGTATTATTACTAATATTTATTCTTTATTCTTTACTCATGTATCGTTTGCCTGAAAAGTGTCGTATTTCCTGCAAAAAAGTCGCTTTTCTAGACCCAAATTTTTGGCCTGATTTGGGGAGGGATGGGGGTGGGGGGGGGGGGGGGGGGTGGGAGTCTTATTGGGCAAGTATTATAATTTTCATTTTTTCGGGGTTGACTTATTATTCAATTCGGGCCATATAAATGAATCGGCGTTCTCGCGCTGTGAATCTGGAATTTCAACGCTGTGAATATCATGTTATCATGTTTGAAGTTGCCGCATTCGCGTGTGCATCGCGACTGAACGGCTATTACCGATACACGTGGGAGTGCAATTTGTAAAAATTCCCAATTGTTTTTGTCAGCGTGATCTCTTATTTAAGCCATAAACATCTTTTATGTCAGCATTTATTCTCGCTATATCACAAATTTCTCTCAACATATGTTTTGTGCCACGAGGACACGATAAACACTTTATTGTTCCCAAACAACCATGGCACTTGAATAGCGCATGATTACCACCAGGTATATTCATATCGATGATAAATAAAGCACAACCGGTGTTAGCAAAACGATATAATTTGCCGACGTTCCGAATTTCTATTCAGAAAAACTTCATCAGGGCATGATATGGAATATTGTGCTTACCATCTCACATTATTATGTCTACAGATTGCCGTGTTACGTCGAGCACAATTAGATTAAAATTGAAAGACAGTTCGAATTCCCTTAGTTGTCATGGATTGAATATTATACCCTACAAGAAAAAGTCATTATGGGTTATTTTAACGAATGCGCAAACTCCTCGATCGCTCAGAAGCCGTTGCATGATAATTTGAGATTCCGATTTTACCGCGTCTTATTGGAAGGTTATATGCAAAAAAAAACATTTTTCGGGCTTAAAAACGGGCCTCGTCTTATTTACCGGGTAGACTTATTCGCTGGGAAATACGGTAATTCTGGAATTGTTTGTAAACTACTTCCGGCTGGAAAATAGATCTAATTCTAAGTCAGGACAGCTGTAACGACGTGTTTCGATTTGATGATAAGATTTTGACCAGTTTGTATAAATTTTTATCTTTAATCAAGGGGATTCACATCGAAAATCAGTTAAAGCTAAAAAGAATAATAAAATGACATTGCACCGTTGCATAAGTATACAACATGCTTAATGAGATCGGCAAAATTTAAAACCGCCGAGACACGCAATCAGCGTATATAATTCAATGAAATGAAAATGTTTTATCATCAAGCATCTTCTTATACGTTATTATACTCCATCCAGTGTGAACTGGGTTATCGAGCAGTGTTCTGGAAATGTCGGGCAGGAGGGCGATATAGTTGGTGCACACAAATTTTAGTTGAATTGTTTTCTGTGGTAATCAATTCCACTTTGCCTCTGCATTTTGAACAACTGCGTCGCACTTCCACCTGCGAGACTCACGTTGATAAAAACCACTATCCACTGACGGAATCTTAACACTGTGTAATCAGAATTTCAAACAAACAAGACTGCAATGCTCAAATAAATGGACGCGAAGGTCAAATGACTACGCCAAGTCTGGTTTCAACTAGTGAGACACTTTCATTAGTACTGTACGGTTTATACATGCTATATATATATATTGGAGTGAGTAAAATTCGATAAATTTTAGTCGAGAAAGAAGGTGAAACGACCATACCGACCATATAACTTCAGGTGAAACTACCTATTTTCGCCGATAATTCCGCCCGTTTAATATTCATGTGACGACAAATTTTTTCACAGTGAGACATATATTTTGCACTCACCATTTTGTGCTTGGTGTAAAAATTTAAATAGGTAAAATAAGCCGCATTTCATTTGAGAAATACCAATTTGAAATGTTTATTCCCAGATTAGGAAAAATCTGAGAAATATTTGATTTGACGACGGTATGAGGTGAAATTGCTCTGTGACCAATTTCGTGATATGCATTTTATTGCATTGGTCTGCTTACATTCTAGAACTGAAATGGGCAAACTACGACCCTCGGGCCAAATCCGGCCCGTTGGTAATTCAGTCTGGCCCGTCTGATGCTGCCACAACCGAATTGAAACGAAATTTCGATGTTTTAGCTAAAAAATAGCTCAAGGAATTTGTTGAGATTGCGATTAAATATAGTTTTGGTACAAGGCTTATAGTTCTCCACTTTCGCTTTTGTAATCCTGTAAATATTGTTTATAAAATGTAACTTTTAACGTCACACTTACATGACCAGCCAGTCTAGGTGGGCAAATTGTTTGGCCCCTACTACTATAGCAACTAACCCCCAAATGTACCCCATTTCATGTTAAAAATATGAAAACAAAGTTAATTTCTCTCAAAATTCGAACAAAGACTTTCGTAGGAATCAAATTACACCAGTTTAAAATAACATGTTCCATCCATTCATTATCAAATTAAAATTTATATTCTCAAGACCTTTGTCACTGATTGAAATAATTATATCTGAGTTCCCATCCGTACGATGTACATAATTACCCTTATTGAGATAATAGGAGTTTCTGTTTATAACGTGAATCACGAGCTCACATTTACAGTATTTAATAAGATTTATGATGGACGTATAAATACGACTCGTTATCTTTCAAGGGGAAGACGATGTAAACCATTCTAAGCTAGTCTGGATAAATGTTATAAGATTTATATTCTGTGTATCGTGGAAATCTGAGAATAAAATCAAACAGAGTTTTCTAAAGTTTCCTTCATTCACGCGGGCGTTGAAGCTGAAGGGTGTACGGGTGACTTGCAAGTCAGAGACAATCTACGAAATAGCAATATACGGTAACATCCCATTCATTTAACAACCCTTTATGCCATAAATGGTGACAAAGCCGACTTGAATTATTACCCTTCTGAAACGGAGCAGATCAACAGGGTTCAACCACAAGTACGGACAACAATCAGGACTGGCAACAATTGGACGGAATCAACCAAAAAGCTGACCAAGCGAAAGCTTTCAACAAGTGCCGAGAAACCGTCTCTACAAAACGTGCGAAAATCAAATTCGACCAACTTACGAACGTCGGGGAGATTCAAATTGCCTGGAACAACGATTGAAGTAGCAAATTGCTGACAAGCCGAAATAATCAAAAACATTATGAAAAGACAATAATTTCGATTGAAAACAGTTGAACTATGGTAACGGACTCTGGAAACGTTAAAATCATGAATATGGACTGTATTGAACATCGATCGAAATGAACTCTTTTAGAACATGATATATGTTCGAGGTGAAAAACCTAATCAAAAAACGAACTGTTGAAAACAATGAACTATATGGACTGTTTTACGGTAAATTACGCGCTCTATTCCAAACAATAGAGATATTTTCGCGCATACCTAATGGATATACAGATCAGGAGCATGTAATTCTACAATTTGTTTCATGATTTGCAGGTTTTTCTCCTCATTGAGACAGACATTTTTCATTCTTCCACTAATACTAAGGTAAAGTACTACATTTTCTTCCTATATATACATGGCGTTTCATTCGGCTTTCAATTTTTATAAATTAATTAATGGTAAAACTTTGAATATTCTAATTTCAAATACCTTTCAAGAGATTTATATTATTGAATATTTGTGGTTAGCATTCCTTTTTGATTAAATAGATTTCGTTAAAATTAAAATGCTTTCTATAAGTAGATTCGAGCGAGTCATACTTTTAATTATTTACAAAGCCGTCATATAGAACGGTGAAATAATAAGCTCGTTTAACAAAAATTGTATCCAAAAGCGTTATTTTTTCAAAAAAGCCCTGAGATGGCATAAACTTAAAGATGCGTTTTTTTTTTCTTCCCGACATGGGACAAGCATATATTGACCAACTAGGTCTACAAAATCGTAACAATGCGATAAAGCGAGTATAAGTATTTTAACTTAGCGAAATACATCAAATTGAAAATATGTTTTAACCGTCCAAACCAAAATTTTTAAAATAAAAATACGCCATCCTTCTGTAATTCTACTTTACAATCTTTACTCTTTCTATAAACTCTTCTTTATTTCAATGTCGTGTCTCATTGTAGATCATATACATGTAAATATTTTTTTTGACCTATATCATTAATTTTGGCATTGTGTATTTTTTTTTATATATTTCCACTTTATTAGAGGGTGCCAAATCTTTAAACTTCCAGTTATTAAGATGGGGAGATAATATAGCAACTAACCCCCAAATGTACCCCATTTCATGTTAAAAATATGAAAACAAAGTTAATTTCTCTCAAAATTCGAACAAAGACTTTCGTAGGAATCAAATTACACCAGTTTAAAATAACATGTTCCATCCATTCATTATCAAATTAAAATTTATATTCTCAAGACCTTTGTCACTGATTGAAATAATTATATCTGAGTTCCCATCCGTACGATGTACATAATTATCCTTATTGAGATAATAGGAGTTTCTGTTTATAACGTGAATCACGAGCTCACATTTACAGTATTTAATAAGATTTATGATGGACGTATAAATACGACTCGTTATCTTTCAAGGGGAAGACGATGTAAACCATTCTAAGCTAGTCTGGATAAATGTTATAAGATTTATATTCTGTGTATCGTGGAAATCTGAGAATGAAATCAAACAGAGTTTTCTAAAGTTTCCTTCATTCACGCGGGCGTTGAAGCTGAAGGGTGTACGGGTGACTTGCAAGTCAGAGACAATCTACGAAATAGCAATATACGGTAACATCACATTCATCTAACAATCACATATGCTATACTACTTCCATCTTCAAGTACTACTTGAAGGTTTAAACGCAGAAAAGCGATTTTCCACACGAAAAAGTAGTCTCGACAATAACAAGACCAACAAAACAACAACGATTTAGCAAAACGATCCATATGGCCATTCCGTGTTCAATAATGTTTTTGGCTATAGGTTGGCTTCGGGTTTGGTTTACCTCAAAGAATACAGGTGGCGTAAATTATAACGACGCTAAATTGTGGTCGAACATGTGTAGGATACTTCTTTGTTACGAATTTTCACCAAGTCATTGATCCGTTCAATTGCACATTAAACCACAATATGAAAGAAACTATTTATATACGTCAGACACGTCACACACGAGACAGTGGCATGTTGAAATGAACATTATCACTAGAATATGTGAACAAATGAGATTTATTATAACTATAAATAAGATCAATCAGTATCTATAATTTGGGAAAGTAAACCATTTTATAAATAACTATATACGTTGAATTTAGCAGTAACATAATTGACTTTTATATCATCAGTAATCGTTGTCCAATGCAAGTCAGAGACAATCTACGAAATAGCAATATACGGTAACATCACATTCATCTAACAATCACATATGCTATACTACTTCCATCTTCAAGTACTACTTGAAGGTTTAAACGCAGAAAAGCGATTTTCCACACGAAAAAGTAGTCTCGACAATAACAAGACCAACAAAACAACAACGATTTAGCAAAACGATCCATATGGCCATTCCGTGTTCAATAATGTTTTTGGCTATAGGTTGGCTTCGGGTTTGGTTTACCTCAAAGAATACAGGTGGCGTAAATTATAACGACGCTAAATTGTGGTCGAACATGTGTAGGATACTTCTTTGTTACGAATTTTCACCAAGTCATTGATCCGTTCAATTGCACATTAAACCACAATATGAAAGAAACTATTTATATACGTCAGACACGGTTAAGCTAAACATTACAAAATTAAATGGTGTTTGTCAAATTAATCATTAAAAATCAACTGCACGATGTTTGGTTCGGGAAACACGGATTCTTCCTGAACATGAACTGCAAATAATTTGTTTCTTGATGCCGTAAAATTGTTTATAATTTAACAAATTGTTTCAAACAAGTAACTACTAAATTTCAGTCCATTTATTTTTCTAGTTGGCGTCGCTTGAATGACTATGACCAAGCCTACACGATTTATCTTTTACGCGCTTCGTTGCCATTTTTAAGCGAACTGCCTACATTTATTCTTTTATGGTCGATATTATGTGACGATCAAAAATTTATACGCTTGAATCACCTTGAGAGCCCAAGTTGTGGATGGGCTTTGTAAGGAAATAAGTTTAATTTCTGTGCTGTAGCTGTAGAACATACAAGGGAGACATAAGCTTAGAACTTGCGGCATCATAGTCATAATCAATAAGAAGTGTAGATTCTTTTGAAATTTGTAATTTTCTAGAAACTACGCTCTGCATGCACTGCCCTCTCAAAAGGATAATCAAAAGTTATTAATTTTCAAAATTGGAATACTAGAAATTCAACTTCACAGCGTTTTAGCGGACTTGCGTTTGGGGAGGGACTGAATTCTATCGAGCCCTAAAATACAATCCCGAACTCGATCTAACATTAACTTGTTTTATGAAGATTCGAACATTTAAAATAACAATTCGATCCAAAATATCAATTACCTTAGACAGATCTACAGCCCTGGGGAAACATATGCTTGTTGAGTTGCGGGGTACATTGAGCTAAGATTTCTGAAACCACGAGAAGAAGTTTTACATTAAACATTGTTCCCCTGCTTGGCAGGCAGTACGCTAAGTATGTAGCAGCACTGATATCTAACCCGTTGTCTGGATTGCTGTCCAACTGTCTTCTACGCAAGAGTCATTCAAATAGCGATTGGAACATACATCCATACACATTCCTAACTATTAGATTGTATATTCTGCATTTCAAGTAGGTGGTGCGATAGCCTATATAATCGATTGGTTTACGCGTTGGGTTAAATCATGTTTACATTGCATGCTTTGTGTTCGTGGACATTATTAGCATCGCTGATTAATCAGAAAAGCGTACTGTTTAAAAGTTTTACTAGACTTTCACAGTAGCTTCCATGGTAATTATATTTGACCAATCGATTGTTGACCAAAACTGAGACAGTGGCATGTTGAAATGAACATTATCACTAGAATATGTGAACAAATGAGATTTATTATAACTATAAATAAGATCAATCAGTATCTATAATTTGGGAAAGTAAACCATTTTATAAATAACTATATACGTTGAATTTAGCAGTAACATAATTGACTTTTATATCATCAGTAATCGTTGTCCAATGTTTGTATGAAATAGAATTGGTATTTTGGATATTATGGGGAAAAATATTTGCTCACAGCAGTTTACTTTCAAGAACTTTGGTTTTCGATGTAAAGAAGATGAGAAAAATCTATTTTTCAGATCACAGGTAAGATATAGTTTATAACGATTGATGAAAGTACAATTTCTGCTTCATGTCTAACTCAGTGACAGCAATTATAGTACGAATAAAAACGATAAATTTGGTATACCAGTGATTGAGGAATTTTCAGTCCCTTTACTGATGCTATGTGTGACGCCGATATTTATAATAATAATATCAATTTGCTGAAGTTTTGTGTTAAACAATATTTATTCAGTAGCGAATTTAATCGACTAAATTGGAATATTATAAATAGGATTTGTAAAACTATATATTAAAAGTTATTACTGTATTATACATTTCCCAACTCAGTCAAAATCTTAAACCCTTTCGTATAGTATAGACCAGGGGTGGGCAAGGTTTTTAAAGCAGGGGCCAATTTTGCTCATCCAGACTGGAGGGCCATGTAAGTGTGACGTAAGAATAACATTTTATGAACAATATTTGCAGTGTTACAAAAACAAAAGGGGAAAACAATAAGCTTTGTGCCAAAACTAATTTTAATCGCAATTCTAACAAATTCCTTGGGTTATTTTTTAGCTAAAACATCAAAATTTGTTTTTAGTTCGGTTATGGCGAGATCAGGCGGGGTAGATTTAAATATAATTGGATTAACCAACGGGCCGGATTTGACCCACGGGCCGTAGTTTGCTCATGTCAGGTACAGACTATCAAAAGTCTAAAATGTTTATTATATTTTATACTTTTTGTATTTTCATTGCCCGGAGTTTTTTTCCAATGCCTCGTATTGGGATAACGACGCCGCGTCTGTTTTTCTATACTATCTAAATATGAATTATTTTTTTGCAGTGGGGAAGCGACCGCACACTATTCTTTTTGTATCGTCTCTTCATGACTTTATACTCTTTCGGATGGCTACTTGCATATATGATTGTCCGAGGTATTTACAATATTGGTGCTCTGCAGAGAAGTTATCAATACCTAACACAATGGTCGAACGTTATGGCTACCATATACTTCGCACTCGCATGTGGACTGTCAATTGTTGGCCTCGTCAAAAACAAGAGATCAAACCGAACTGAATCTGGTAAGAGTATCATTCTATATTGGTTTAGATCAGGGGTCACCAAACTTTTTTGACCGCGGGCCGGGTATGACTCAAATTGTGTTGAAACGGGCCGGATGAATATTTTTGTCAATGCAATACAATAAATTCACAAATGTTGGGAATATCGCAGAATATAGATCGAGAACATCCTAGGAAAAAAAATTAACAAGATTTCTATATCTAGACAACTATCCTGAGTTTAGCTGTTATCAAAACGTTGCTGTCATGAATTAGAAATGTTACAAAATCCGCGGCAAAAATTGTACGCATCACGTCTGCTAAGTACCGTTACGCCGTGTTGAAATACCGCTCATAAAAACGACTGCCTGCTGTAGCTTGGAATTCTATGAAATTTTGACATAATTTAGATAAAATGAACAACTATTATCTGGTATTTGAATTTTTTCATTAGCGCATAAATTTCCCAACATTCGACGCTTTTAAAAATTACGCTCCAGTTATACGTAGTGCAAATTATTGATATTGTCTATGGACACCAATAAAATTTATGTGGACGTGTGTATTTCTTGTCTAACTTGATACTTACCAATTTTTATGAAGTTCGTACAATCAGAACATCGTTAATTATTACCCACAATGAACCACTGTCAAACTATTATAGGGCAACTAAGATTATCTCAATATACCATAGATGTGACGCACATCGAAAGATTAGTGATTGATATGTGTTATTTTTCCATATTTAGTACAGTTCTTATCAAAAAAGTAAGACAATCATTATGGAAAAAATTGGCTGTCGGGCGGTACTAAAATTCCGATATCTCCGTTATTTCTTGACCGTTTATTCCAAACTTGGTATTGTTTTCTATTTTTACTCAGATCTTTCCACTGGAGCAGTTTTTATTTAAATCGGATTAATTTCCATTTTTTTGTAACATACCTACATGAATATCCGCATTAAAGCAGTACAAAAGTTAGTGTGTCTTTTGAAATTGGAGCAGTACGCGAGGGATTACAGTACTGTTAGCACAAAATGCACATTCGACGTTTATTTTAGCACGAAAAACAAACAGTTTCGTCGAAAGCAAGCGCCACGAGTGTACAAGTGTATCGCAGAAAACGTTACGTACTGGTAGCATTCAAAGTCGCAAAAACGAAGTTTGTTTACAACCACGACTGAAAATCTGTCAGGGTGACAAAAGTGTCTGAGCGGATGCGGAAAGGCCTATTATTACGTCACTTTTCTGCATCTTGCCGATTGGCCAATGTTACGAAATAAACAAGGACGACGATGCTCGTGAAAATCTTCCTTGGAAAAAAATTTAGCCATTTTTGCGTGTTATTGCGGACCGGATAAAATGACGCCGCGGGCCGGATAAAATGACGTCGCGGGCCGGATCCGGCCCGCGGGCCGTAGTTTGGTGACCCCTGGTTTAGATTACAGAATAATTCATAGTAAATGAAATATATGAATACGTAATTTTACTGCAACTATCATAAGTTCCAACAGAAACAATAGATTGGAGCGTATTTGACAGCCAGGTATTGTGAATGAAAAGCAATATATATAAATATACTGAAAATGATGATATTCAAATTTGTTTTGCGCTAAAGATTTGGTTTCTGCGAGACTAACTACTTATCCTTCTTCTATGTTTTTGTGCCGGCGGATCCGTATGCATATAATGCAAGGATGCTGTAGCAGGAGTAAAGATAACTAAACTAAGTAATTCAAGAGTCTTGCTGCACACTAAGACAATTATACAGAAATAGATTTGTGTTAGTGTGCAGCAAGACTCTTGAATCACTTCAAATTTATTGATCCAATATCAATTACTTCATTCATTCGAGTGCGTAATAATTTTTTCTTCTGTTAAAAAACTAACAAAAGGTCCTAAAAGTATTAAATTTACTATTGATTTGATTTTGCCACTTCCAACAAAAGCAATTATGTTGTTGTATTATAAATAAGCGTGAAAATACTATGCCTGTTTATATATAACGTTTATATATACTTCTGTCCTATATTTAGGAGCTATCAAGTTTTTACGGACCTTAACCTGGATGATTTGGACAATGTCCTCTCTCATGATACTCATAGTTGTTATTACATATTGGGCTCTATTGTGGAAAAGTGAATCACCGGAAAATCGGAGGGATCCATTCAATTTTCACCGGCATCTGGTTGTTGCCATAATGATCGTAATCGATGTGTTCGTCGCTGGATTTCCAATTCGTCTGCTTCATTTTGTTTACGGCATTCTCATTGCTTGTCTGTACTCGGTAATGACTGTGATAGTACATGCCGCGGGAGTAAACTCAGCTATATATGGATTTCTAAATTGGGCAGAGAATCCTGGTTTAACGGCAGGGATAGCAGTAGCGTTTTCAGTTCTTGGGCCTATATTACTTCATTGTTTTATTTTTGGCCTTTACTGCTTACGTTTACAAATTTACAAATGCATATGCCCTCCCGACGAAAGAGTTAAACAAAATGTCCGCGCGATAGCATACTCACATGCAGATGAACACAACGGCGCTGTCGATAATCCTGCTTTTGACCGCGACAGATTTCAGGAAAAAATTGTTTGAAACATTTGTGTTGTTTTCTACTGCCACCTGTAGTTATGAATACAGACATTGACGCATAACGCGCACTGAGTATATGCAAATGAGACAGGACTTAAAACTTCAATGTTAATTAATATCCTTCAAGTTCCGTTTGACCTGCATTGTAAGGAAAAAATAACCCTCTCGAGCTCAAACTATGAAATAACCGTTTGTTTAGATTTGAAAAACACAAAACAGATTTCATTAAAAAATACGTAACTTTTAAGGTACTTTTATAGATACCTCTGGTGCAAAGTTGCCTCTCAACACCCGCATTCACAATATGTTATATTCGAAAACAGGGAGTTGAACCTATGAGTGAATGGCGGCACAGTTTTCACAAAAGTTTAGATACTGTTACGCGCATGTCACTAACCTATTCCACCATATATATTACATATTTTTACTTTATATAGCATTTTAAAATTAATTTTGGAAATACAATGAATAGGTCAAATATAGGATTGTGCTGCAATTAATGTTTACAAAAATGCCAAAAAAGGTTGTTTTAAGTTTCGGGCGAAAATCGGTCTAATTCACAAGTAAAAGAAACAACATCAGTGTATTATTTTCAAAAGCCGGTCTAAGACAGATACATAAACGTTGCCGGAGGTGCTTTAAGACTATTTTTAAGATTAGATTATTTTTAATTATTTTTAGCATGAACGTTAGCACTTGCCATTTCATCATATGTATATTTCTTTAAAGATAATTTCATCAGGTTAGCTTCTGAAATATACAACTTCAATAACAAGAAGTCGGGGAGAGGTTAATTGCTTACTCATATCATGAAAATGAACGTGTTTCGTCTACTAATGAAAAACAATCGTTTGTTCACAGGGGTTTTCCATACGATAAAATACCCGCGACCAAGTATATTATATGTCTCATCCTACTACGTCTACAACTTCGTCTTAAAAAGCTAACCTAAACACAGATTTACACAAGAGATTAGTGTGGGATATAAACAATAGTCGTACAAACCAAACCAGTTCTGTTAGGTCAGGGGACTAACTGGAGAACCAATAGCTAATATAGAAGATTTTTCATAGATTGTTTTCAAACTGAACGTTCACATGTTGTGTTCTAATAAAATGACTTGGCAATCATATTTTAAACGAATTATTGGCAGCAATTTTGTTTTTATACCCAGCAGATGGATTTCCTGAATATCCTTGTCTGATTATTACACGTTCCAAGTAGCCGTGCTTACGCCAACCTGAAATTTCTTAAAAAAATAACTTGTGGCCTAACGCAGTAAGCACGTTCGCCGATGCCCCGGTTATCTTGCGTTGCTATTTAGCGTCCCTTCGTCGTATGGTAGTTCACCATTAGGTTTCGTAATCGGAGTCTGGATTTAGCTCGTTTCTAATATTTTGTCTTTGGAGCCAGAATCACTCTTTTGGTGAACCTAACTGGAGTAGGTAAAGTTCGACTTATGTTAAATAGGGTTTGCCTATACGCCAAAGTTTTTAGAGCAAATATTTGGGTCTGCGGAAGTCAGATTTGGAAATGTTTTGGATCCGAATATGAGGTTCACTCGACTTCGTATCGTCGTTACACGATTACGAATTCATCAATCAACTACATCCGGACATTGAAGACAATGTTACGTTCTGGTAAGTATTACCATATGCGGTGCAGAAATGAATGAATGGCATAATATAGGTAAGGGTTGGTTGTGCAGAAATGGAAATAACAATTCTAGTTTGTTACAATGATATCACCATGAATATTATCAAATATTTACAACATTCATTGATCATTTGATCATTCACGCAGCGAGGGCTCGTTTACTAACATGAATCAATTTTCCACCAAATTAGTTTCCAATCTTAAACAATTGGAGACAACAAAATATCCAAAATCAGTCACTTATAATAAAACTCGGTTATTTGTAATTATGCTAAATAACCCAATACTTTTGAAAATTTCAAGTTGGTCGTTCTTTAGATTGAACACACTCGATATCAGATTGTGTAGTAAATTTCAATAACTGGAATCACAATTGAAACTATATAAAATTTTTCAAATCCACCTTCAACTTTAATGAATTATTCATACACATTTTGTTTTGAATACATTTTGTAAGTTGTAAACATACACGAGGGATATATTACAATTCACCAAAAGTTGAAAATTACACTCTGAATAGAACTTCATGTGTCGGATTTTTTTAAATCTGACTAGACTATGATATTGCATTAGTATAGCAGATTAGTATAACTTCTAACTATTTTGCGTAAACGTTTTACGTTACGTTATTTTAAATTATTTTTCAGGCAAAAAATGAGCCGACGTACTTTTTACGCAATGTCCAGAAAAATTGGCCTACGTTACGTGCGCGTTTATAATGCGTACTTTGAGCACAAATTTGAGTTCAAAGAAATATAAGTTTAATTGCGTCGCCGTCAATCGAAATCAATCTTTGAAATAAAGACGTTTACTCGTGAAGACATTGTAGTAGCGCGAACGTTGGTGTGGAGATTCGGGGAAAAGTGTGTTTTCTTATTTTTCAAGAAAACAAATAATCCGGTTCTGGCAATAGGTATATCCGTCCATGCCTGGGGCTAATGATATTGTTTTGTTGAAATCTTGAACACTGGTTTTTGCGTACAACGATAATCTTTGGCGCCGTCGTCTGTTATACGGGAAATGAAATGGCATTTGCCATTGCTAGTTTCAGGATAAAGGTGGCCGAGAGCGTACTGTTATTTCTGTTCAACAAGTGCAGATATTTCAATTCCTACGATCATCTAACCCATCGCATATATACCCATATAAGTATCACATATATATCATTTAAATGAAAAATATAGTATTCAAAAATAGTCCCTCTCAAATGCTTTTACGTATTTGCATATAGAGTCATTCAAAAATTTCAAAACAAAGCGTACTGCTTAAAGCAACATGTATGTTTCACTTTTGCAGTAACTGTATTGCATATCCGCAATCGCGTCGAAATTGTTTTATGAGTATCACTATGAAATATGCAAATCTGGATACCGAAAAGAATTACTTTTCCATCATTTTCTAACATCAAAGTTAAATTTAGTTTTTGAGTTTAGATCAAACGGTAGGATACAAAACGAGAAAAAGAGAGATTCACGAACAAATGCTAAGGTAGCCTACCATTAGTGCGGTTTTTGTTATTGCTATTTAAGGATTAAATTTCGTGACGTAACAAGTCCGAGGGATAATTATCAGAATCACATACTATACAGTCAGAAAACTGTTGGCCAGTTATATTTCAAGCGTATTCTTAAAGATTTTGTGATTGAGGAATTCCAACCATTGGTTTAAATAAAGATATCAGCTCAGCACAGACACAAATGAAAAATCTGGGAATAGATAATAATAATATGAGGTTATGTGAACTGATTTCCATTCACATTTTAGAAAGAAAGAAATTTTTGTAAAAATATTGTTGAAATCCTGCATAAGGTAAAATCAACAAAATAAAAATATTTTATCTGTTGTGAGCGGAACACTGCAATGTTTCTGCACATTAAAATGGCTTTCAGTTGATGTATATTGTATATTATTGAGTGAATTAAAGTCTTATTTCGGAATTTTTAAACGTACATCCCCTATATTCATGCCACGACGCGTGTTACCTTAGCATTGTTACGCGCTTGATTTTAACGTTGGTGCAGAAGATTACAAATATCGATTGCAGATTTTGTGTTGCGTCACAATGAAAGTGTATTCCTAAATAAAGTAAACGAAGCTAGCAACAATGTGACGCTATAGCAACAAAAGGAGACGCTAAGACGTTGTGAGGCGCGAGAAGAGGTCATGACCCAATGGTTACTATGAAGGCGCGCCAGCAGGGGCGTATCCAGGGGGAAAGGGTTGCAAGTTGCGAAAAATCCGAACCAAACCTATTTATGATCTGGCAGTCGATGGCGTATTTTATGTCCGCAGATTGCTATAGTATTTTAGAGCAGTAATGCTTTATTTTACCATGAGTTGACGCAAAGGCGAGTTATGCTAAACACACTCAAATTAATACCCTAAGACATTTCAAATGTTGGCATCGGACATGGTTTGTATAGTTAACGCAACAGAAAAATCGTTAACCACTGAAAAAATTTGCTGTTTTAACGAGTGGCGTAATCGCGGGATCGTTTTAGAAGTTGTTACACGGGGATTTTCGAATCCGATTCCCGGACGACCCCCCCCCCCCCCTTTTAAATCCTGATTACGCCCCTGCGTGCTAGTAGTTTGCAAGCATTGCCACAAAGGCGGCTATTTATACAATTTTTTTCTACATTGCCGAATATTTCAATATGCAAAATTGGATTTTTCGTGAAGTGGATCATATCGTGAAATGCGTCGCTATACGTCGAAACTTTTGAGTTGACACGAGCAATAACGTCAATTGCTTCATGTCAAAATATGAGTAATACTGTAAGATTCATGCCAGTGAATTCATTTCAGTGACGGATTTTCACTAAACACTATTTATTTAACGTCGACCCAGTCTCAGCTATGACTTAGAAATAACGTATTTGTATGTATTTTGTAAATCCAGATCCATGGATTTTAATTGATGTTAATTTAGATACTTTTTTAATGCGGTGCAGATAAAGTATCTACAAAATATATTTGATTGCAGATAAGTTTTTATTTGAGCATCATGAAATCATAAATAACGATTTAAAGTCTTTTAAACTATGGCTTGTTCAAATAACCACGCCGCAAAGGGTATGAAATGCAGGTCCCATTCATTTGAAACATTTCCTGCCATATGCTGTCTATTTTTATTCGCAGGAAGTCAAATATGTAAATGCGCGTGTGCGTATATGAAAATATGACGCTTATCGCACGGCGTCATGTGCGGAAGTGAACCAGCGCAAACTTACCGATATCTATAATAGGCAGCTGAAGTACTTTCCAAATTTATACGTAATTCACAATGGTGACGATTTACTCACAAGAATATAATAACAGCGAGGAAAAATGAGACCAATTAGTTAAGGTAGAGGTAGGAAAGATATTGCCGTAGCCTGGAAACAAATTTGAGGAGAAAATCCGAGCAAAGTCGAGCAAATGACAGATGAAGTTGTAATCCGTGGCTTTGTAATCTATATATATGTTTTATTTCCAACTTATAATCCTGATGAAAAATGAAATTGTATTAAAAATAACGAAACTAACAATGAGTGCATTTATAAATGCATAAAATCCAGTTTTTGACGTATAAGGTACTACTTGCTTCATTCAAATTAAAATGAAAAAGATAGATTGATTTTAAAATCAATCACTTGAAAAATGTTTTATTGGATTCGGACGCTAAAATGCATTTTAGAAAGGTTGACTTTGTCTGATTGATGTCGTCTTGTGGTTCCTATTTGGCATAGTAACATATCTTACATTTTCAAACTGAAGATAAATGAAACGTTTTATCCATTAATCTGTAACGTAAAATTGATTTGTACGAAACAAATCGAATGAACTTCTGTCATTATGTCGTGTAAATTAAAGCATACTTTGAGATAATGCCAAACTCTTAGTACATGGCCTTCACTTTGTTCCGCATGTTCGTTCGCATTTATGTTTTATACAAAGATAACAGATTGATAATGCACTTGCCCTTGCGTGTCTTTGGTAAAAAAAATTGACAAGCACCAGATACTTACATCATTCGTGTTCAAAATAATGTATCGCTTTGTAAAAATTGTAGGTCTTCCTCGCATGGACCGTGGGAAGTTTGTTTTCAAGTAATGGCCTAAATACCGAACTGTTATTTGACAGAGTACAGACAAGAGAGTTACGACCTCTGGTGCATTATGCACCACAAATAGACTTAAGTAAAAATTTGACAGTAGGTCACAAATAAACAACACCGTCATTCTAATAAAAAATCTTCATGGCATATAACATCGATGAAATATGCATGCAATATCACATTATGGCTATTGTTCTTAATTCATTAAGGGAAGGAAGTCATCATAACATAACTATGTCACTATTTGCTATATGACTATCTGTATTGTATAGAATCTAGGTTACACTATGTACGATGAAAGTTGTGTTTTATTGCTTGCCTGTAAAAACGTATGTAATTCTCCATCAAACAATTATATTTTACGTTTTTTTGTGAAAGTCACTTTTTATACACTACACACAAATATTAGACATGGCTTTGTCAAATTTACGTACCATTTTAAAGTCGATAATTTTAACGATACATAGAAAACATGATTGAGGTACAAGTACTGATTAAATTACGACATATTGTTGTTACAATATTTTACAGCGTTAATCCCCGACTGCATAATACTGTAATAGATTGTAATATTGTAATTACTCTAATCAAATTGCGATAATGTTTCAAATAGGAAGGATTATTTGTGTATAGATATTAAACTCACATATACACATGCATAATAAATAAAACATGGTGGTTTCGTTGTATTCTGAGAGATTATTTTTCGTGTAATATTATCGGTCCGTGACTCTCATACGCTGTTTGATGATTGAAATGACAGGTGTGCTTTAATTGATGTGATTATCATAATGTTATTATGCATATAACAAGCTCCGATGTATACATACTACAGAAAATTCAGTATAATAGTATTTGCTTTTATCAGTATTTCAATCGATAATTTTCATCGCTTTTGGTAGTATTTCTATGAAGATTTTCTCCTTAAAAAGGTTGATATTTTTCGAAGTTAACTAGGCAAATTCAATGAAAATTTATATACACGATTGCCTCATTGTTGGTTGTATATCATATATATGATTGTGAATTGCATTTCTGTAGAAGTGATATTCAGAAAGAAAGGCCTCATTGAGTCATTAATTGAAAAACAATAACTTTTTCCGTATTATCTTTAATTTCAATCAAATGGATAATTTTCGTATATTAGCGCTACCCAAATTTTTGGTTATTTCTTTGATGCGCCCTTAGTTGAAAAAGCTTGGAAATGCTATGTAATATGCTATAGTAATTTAATAGACACAGAATTGAAATGTTGTATGAAGAACATTTTAAATGCATTTGGTTTATTCATTTAAAAAATTAAATACATTTCCATGTTTTCTGTTGCTATGCTATCCACTGCTTCAGACCATGTCCCGTGCTTGAATGAAGCAAATGATAGTTTTTTTTCTGAAATTCAATTTACTATCAAATGCCACAAAATTTACTCTATATTTTAATCCCAATTGTAAATAATAAATAAAGTATTTAATATTTTAAAACAATCGCTTTATAAAAGATAGTAGATTTGTAATCAGTACGCAGTACTAAATATTTAATATGAGAAACAACACTGAACCGTTGTTGATAAATATATGTAAATCTGCATTATTTGTTTTTAGTATTTAGCAATTATCGCATATTACAGCGATGTGCAGAATTTACAAAGCACGACATGACAAGGTAATTGTTGTAATACACATTAAAGGCGAGCCATTGTTATATTTTATGAAGAGCTTTGCGCATTCTTTTCAAACATAGATATATATATAGAAGCGAGAAAATTCACCCAAGAATAAAGTTACGACATGGGGCACATTGGCATTGAACAGATGAGTTCTTTCCAGGCATAGAGATTGACAATCTTTCAGGTTGAGAGTTGATGCATGATCAAAAAGTTAAGTGGAAAATTTTCAAACAACCGAATTGAATACTTTCAACCAATAAAACATGACACATGCGGTACTTCTTATGGAGTTATACGGGGAAGACAAATGTGTATTAAAAACAATGATCGATAATAATCTCTTTGACAGTAATCTATAAGTACCCATTAATTTTGTAAATCATTCATATTAAGCAGCACAAACAACGTATGATATTTTCAACTCGTTTTAAGCGCTTTAAAATTAACCAAAGGTCCCGGTTTGCTATAAAAGATATAACACAACACATTATCATTGTTGAAGAGTGTGTTGTGGCGCATGTACGGTTGAATTGTTGGAAAGTCATTCACTCATTAGAGTGTGTCGGTTCTCCCTTAGCTTAGAAGTTCACCTGATTTGGTAATCTAGCAATGAAATATTACTCACTGTTCTTTCAAATTAGTAAATAGCATATCGAAATGGTTAGTTTCTAGCTCTTAATTAATGCCGAGCGATTGCAAAATAATATTAACTTTGGACGAAAATCGCGGTATATTACTAGATGACAAGTTGAAAAAGCGCAATGCATATTTCGACCACTCCCAATAATGCTTGATATTTACCCAAAATCAAGAGGGGGACGAGAAAATGTAACTGACTTCAGCAAGTAGGCGAGTTGCCCTGTGATGTTAAAAAGGATCATTAGTTTGAACATTCTTCATTCTCTAATTTGATGTCTATGTGCTCTGATTTTAACGATTTGTTTATTAGCCAATTTCATTAAATTAAATCATCAAAGCCGTGCTGGGATGTGAGCAGATCGGCATAGATTTTAAAGTCTGGATTTATGCACATAATTAGTGTGTTTTGTACTCTCAGATTCGTGCAAAACCTTAATAAATTAATTAGGCCCATTTCAATGATTTAAATGTAGGATGGTGATTTATTGCCTAGGTAATTATCTCATGGTATTGTCTTATATTCGTGAGACAATTTGTTATTTCAAGTGTACGTCTGTACCATCTGGAATATTATATTAAAAATACTCCCGATTCATTAACCGGAACCTCACGAACGAGCTTTGGTCGTATAAAACTATAAACCATATAGTTATATAGAATATTGTCAGGTATATTTGATTGTTCTTGGGAACATTTATACTCGGTTCCTAGCATGTTAGTTCCTTATGTCACGAATATTTAATATACTAATTTTAGCAGTTTGCGTCCTCGTATAACGTTCAAGAGCTAATTTTCTTTCAAAATTGAAGTTTACAAAAATATTGAGCACGCGATATGCTTTTGTTGTAATGCTAAAATTCAAAATTCGCTCAAAAACAGTTGTACGGGCGAGTATCATTTTAGTGGATGTCTAAGCCAGACTAAATTGAATTGAGCTTTTTTGCCGCGACGAAATCAAACCTAATAGCAAGGCTAGCAACGTTATAAATCTGCAATTTTGCTAAGATTTTTTTTAAATAATATACACCGTCATTATCATTTCTGTGATAATTTTTATTTAGTCTGAATAGTTTTTAGCTATACTATAAGCTTGAATTTGAAACTATTGTTTCTTCACCAATTAGAAAGTTGAAAACAATGTGGATGAATTCAACGGAGGGAACAACGTCTGCATTTGGGCCGGTTGATTTCACCACAGTAGCGTGAGTATCCATCTTTTCCGTAAAAAAACTTTTCACAAATTTCTTAATATTTCGCAAAATTGTATTGTTCCGTGAGTATAGAATATGAACCAGTAATATACAAACTGTACAAATTGAATTGCAATTCACAATTTATTGATAATTTTAGAACTTCCAAGTTTTATGGTAATTGGGTCCTAACTCGTTACAAAAGTTTGACTGATTCAAAATGCTCCGCGAATGACCTTACATGGCATATTTTGCTGTCCATTGGAGGAAAATATGCAATATGTATTAGGTTTCTGTTTTAATCAAAAATAATAAAATATTCTAAAAAACACAACGCAGTATAAGACGTACGCAAGTCATTTCGGTGCCAATTATTCCGGTAGTTTAAAAATGGTTGTTTCAACACTGACCTTTACGCGAACCTATTAATTGAAAATAATTGAAGCATTCAAAATCCTCCTACCTATTATAAAAGTAAAGACTTAATTAGTGGAAACTTTCAGCCACATAAATGTTGACATTTTTGAACAAAACAGATATTTTGGGTTTGGATCTGTGTGAGATTAACTTTAATTATTCGACTTCGAAATTTGTCGTATAAGATCTTATTATTATCTACGATTCTACGTATTACATAAACGGCATTGCATGAAGGCAATTCAGATCAGCGACGTTTCCGGTATTATAGTTCAAGCAATTTTGAAATGTTAGACTCGACATTGCACACATAAAAATAGCTTTATTGTGTAGACATCTGCTCTGCGAAAACGATGAAAAAATATGTTCTATGCCTCATTCAATTAGCTGTAACTTTAGAATAAATAGTTCCTCAGAAAACCGAATGCGGCCCACAAGGAAAAGTTGTGCGGCCCGCGGAGAAGTGCCAATTTGAATTGTGTGCGACTCGCGGAACGAGTTTTTAATTTAATTATTTTAATCTGGTACGTGGGCCCAATACGTTACAATGCCATATGAGCTAACTTGTGCGAAGCGAACGCGGCATATCATAAGATCAACACCCAAAATTTTTGTGCTCGCAACTACTTTAAAGCCTATGTTAAATAAAGGTGCGGTCCGCGGGTTCTCCCAGTTATTTGAATGTGGCCCTCCTGTATTGAAGGTCGCACACCCGTTCTATAACACATTTATTCATTATCCAGATCCTATCAAAGGCCTTTCACTGATGGCGTCACGGTATTTTCAGGAGTTGTCATTTTCCTATTCATGATCATTGGAATTCTACTAAACAGCTTGACTATCACTGTGATTGAAACCACGACTAGTCTGAGGTAAGTTATTTGTTATAAGAGATTTTTTAGCAGCAACTGTACGGAAAACATATCTTGACTATACGTATGTATACATTTATATAGAAATATTCAAGCTCCTTCGTGACAAGTACCCCATCTGCCATCCGTATATAAAAAAAATTTAATTAAAAAATGGTTACTAAACGACAAATACATATGAATATAATACTGTTATAACAGATTATAAAATAATATATTTTATATTTAAAAGAATGAGTTGGTATGAAAAAAACCTGGATTTCTCAATATTTCCAGATAACTTAATTATTACTTCTTTGAAATATTTACAAACCAGCATACAAAATACTTTTGAGTCATTAAAAGTTTGTATGTAAATCGCGTATCGCAAAGTATCCATTGTTTCGAGTTAATAACAAACAATCAACAGATACGGTATTGGGAATATATAGTAATATTATTCAATATTGAAATGGAGGAAGTTATCCTATATGAATTGATAATGAACAAATAACGCGGAAGAAGAATACGATCAATAGTTTTACAGGTATCTATAGCCACAGTCTAGAGCAGTGGTTCTTGGTCTTTTTAAGCCGCGTCTCCCTTTGGAAAATCCTACAAACTTTCAAGAAAGCAGTTCATTTGCTAACAGGTATTAATTACCCATGTAGACGTTTTCCCGACCCTTGGACCCATGAAAAATTCACGCTATACCTTGCTATTGCACTGAGAGCTGCCCACGCCCACAAAGCCCCCCCCCCATTTTAAGAACCACTGGTCTATAGTTTGAATCCCTTTCTATTGAATCAAGATCTTTGGTGTAGACCAGGCCTGCTCAACCTTTTTCATCTCGCGGGCCACTTTCACATAAGGAAATTCGTTGCGGGCCGCAAACGTTTGTACCAAACTTTAATACCAACCAAGTCCTGATTTCGTTAGAATTTATATAATACATAAAAGGCAAGATTATTAACATAAAATAAATCACGTTGATAATTATTTACTGCATGGTTACTCATTAGTGCTGGCGAAATATTCGAATATGTATATGGTAACACAAGGCGTGGACATGACACTCGCGGGCCGCTGAATTCTCAAAATCAATCATTACACAACGCACTTGTGAATTTATGACGACCACACGATAATCTGCACAGAGGTACTAATAAACAAAGACGTAAAAATTGAGTCTTATATTTGAGTCATGGTGTTTAATTATTTATTTATTTTCAGTGGCTATGATATAGTCTCAATGAGCGTAATGTGCGCCAATGTCGCGGGAACATCAAGTTTTAGTGGGCCGTTTCGTGAAATTTGAAACATCAATACAAGTATTGAATGAAAAAAAAACATTACAATAACTTTTGGACGAACATACCGTATATACTAATTTGAATATGTAGAATTGTCATTAAGTCAATTTTAACAGAATTATTGACGGATACGCAGTGACGATATTTCCGGCATTTTATTTAACGCAAACATAACATAGACAAAAATACAAACATAAAAGAAAAACGAGTCCCGGAGCCAGCAGCAAAGATTATTGTTGACTATTTATTTTACGTTGGCGATGAAGACGATCAAAGCCTATACGAAAAAAGCAATCAGAATGAAACTAGTTCGAAAATTCAGGTTCCAAATTCATTCCTATTATTGCGCTCAGCGTTTGTCGCCTATGATCGCACAACATCTCTCGAGATCGTCGAACAGAACGCACAGTTCTGCGAAAAAAAACGAACGTCGATGTCCACCAGGGCGCAAGACTTCATACATAATACGTAAATAATAAGAATCGGCATCCGGATGTAGATAGATGGCAGGAATATTCACACCAAAACCACGAAACATACCTAAGCCTATTTATAACATAGTAAAAAATTGAAAAGCCTGCTTACAAAATTTATTGGGCGGGCCGCAAAAAACAGCCAGGCGGGCCACAGGTTGGACACCCTTGGTGTAGACAAAACTATAATTAGTGACTTTGAAGTTGAAGAGAGTGATTTTAATATTACCAAATTTGCCAACATGGTTGCCACCTGGCCATCAAATATTGCTTTCCTGTTTTGAAACAGTCGTCTGACATAATAAAATGGCTAAAACGCGACATGAAAATATGAAACCAATTCTTGTCATATACTCAAAGACACCGACCAGACAATCCAAAAATAGCTCACGTGATATGTTCCGTCGGGAAAGCACAAAGAGTAAAGCAAAAAGCCCATCTATTAATCAAGTCACGACTAAAATATAGTGATTTAATATAAACATTATCAGCAATAACTTTTATCGAAATTTATCACGATGAGATAGGTATGTCGGTTGACCTGCAAAAGACATATATCGATATATGTAAAATTTAAAGTAATTGTATCCAACGTGATATATTTTTATAAGTAGGATAATAAATGATTTTACTACTTTCTGCATAAAACAAATATTCTCAGAACTCTATTTATAAATCTAGGAATATCTTCATGTACTTTATCGTCTCTCTCTGTTCGTCTGACTTAATGTCAGCTCTAATCAGTCCTCTCTTCTGGTACCGAAGAACCTTGGGTTTTGACGTTTGGATGCCCCCAAACTTTTTCTGCAAGGTGAGTATCCTACAAAGTAGAAAACATAATTTTTCACTGTTCTGTAACTTTTACGTAACTTTATATTCATATATTTAATGACCCTATTCAAAATAAATTTCCTACTTTGCTCAATATTATACGTTTTCTTGTAGACTGGATTATATATTGTGGGATTTATATTAAATCCATGACGGAATCATAAATGACTTTCCTATTTAATCCATGTTTGCAAACAACTATATGTTCAAGATTGACTTGATATCAATTTACTCAAAAGCTAGTAATATTTTGTCTTTGATCAAAAGATTCATTTTTATGTGAACAGCTATTTTGGGCCATGGATTTAATGACATCGTTCTCTACTTCAATGCACATCCTCAACTTTGCTGTACTCCGCTATATTTCTGTTCAACATCCTGGTATCTTCAAAAATATCTCTAAGAGATCTGGAAAGGTAATTTTTTGCTCTTATTGCTTTTTTTATTGGAAATTAATTTTGGCATTGGAGAGTTTATACGTTGTGAGATTTGCAATAAAATTTAACAAGAAAATATTTCATTATTGAATGACTGTTTTATTTAGATTTGGATTGCAATCACATGGTTTATTGCTTTCATGTGTGGTTTTGTACCGTTATGGATTTTTACTGGTGCGATTCCCGGACAGATAAGGGATAGAAACAGTGGAGAACCAAATGCAAAATGGCCGGCGTGTACTTTATTACTTGAAACGTAAGTTAAAGGTTTGATAGTCCTGTTTATGGCTATCCTGTGTTGTACAGTGAAAAACAGCGACTCTCTCCTGCACAGAATATTGCGTAGGTATTATAATTCCGAACCAGTGTGGTAATATGTAATAGTCGCATTTTTTCTATCAGCAAAAGCTGAACAGCACAATTGCTGTTCTCAAATAATTTAAAAAAATTTACTTGCAATAAAATCTGTATTCCTCAAATTTATATGATGAAAAGTTAGTATCAGTGAAATTGTAACTTCCATTATATATATACAAGATGTACTTCCCAGATTACCAAGTTCATAAACTTACTTAATTAAATTTGACTCCCAAACGCTCAATATATATCATTTCATTTGTCATTCTAGCCTTTTGACCCATACATGATGATATTGATTTTTTTACTGCTCACAGACTGCCCCAGTACAAAACATTCTCGATTACTGCATATTCAATATTTCTCCTTCTGCCAATGTTGGTTGTCATCGTTGTTTCTGTACTCATCGGTAAATCAGTGCATAACCATACAAAGGCGTCAGTGATTACGAACGATGAAGCATCAAAGAAGAGGATACAAAAGGAAAAACAAGCTGTGTTACAGCTCATACTCATCGTTGTTTCGTTCCTCTTCGGCTACGTACCATTTGTTAGTGAGTAGTGTTTCATTGTGGATTAATTCCGTTTTATTTCCGATTCTGCGTAGTCTGACTGATATTTCATATTTTCCTCGGAGTTGTATAGGCATAATACAAACCAAGAAACTGCTCCATTTTTAAACCAAATGTTTGACCTAATGCCAATAAATTTGGTCAAAGGGATACCATTTAATCAGCGATTGATCAGTCAATAAATTGATAGTTTTTATTATATTTTCAGCATACGAAATCTGGTCTCTCTTCCCAACGGATCCAGTTGCTGACTACTGGTTTGGCTTGATTCAGTATTTCTGTCTGAGATTTTCAGAATGTATGAATCCCGTGTTCTACAACATCAGTTCCACAAAGATGAGGCGGCATACTTTCAAGTTTCTAAGAAAGATATTCAAATGCTGCCCTGTCTGGAATAAACAACCAGACGGAGTATCAACAGTGACAACCACAATGGATGCAAACACCCAAATGGGTGTCTAGAATCATGCAATATTGAATCAGCTCAAAATCAAAGCAAACGTGGAGAGGTTGTTTGTGTATAGGATGTCTCATAGAGACACAGAGAAACGTGTCGGTGATTCCTTGTCAATGTCCACATATATTCTTTATTGTATTTACTGAAGGCGTTGGTAAATGTTAATAAAATGTATTATTATATAATGTATTCTGTAAACCTACATTAGCTGAACATCCTTTACAATACTTTTATCTTGACTTATATGATTTCACGAATTTAATATCACCCTTTGTACCAAAAGCAGTATATATATATATATATACTGTTGTGGGAAAATCTTTGTGGCCAACTAATTTGAAACACAAGGGCCTGCGTGTATGTTGAATTCAATAATATGTACCGCGTTGAAACAAATATAAAAATGTAAACAAATAAAGAGTAAAAAATATTAATTTATATACTATACGTCATTGAAAATGATGAACCGCCAGTGAAAGCACTATGCAATTTCAAAATTGGATTTTTCAATGAAAACATTGTCATAGAAACAATTTACCTCTCATCACACCAGTTTAATATATTGTAATATTTACATTTTATCATATTACAACTCTTCTATTTTTTATTAAAATTTTTAAGCATGAATCATTCTCTAATAAGGTTAGATTTTAAAACAAACTTTGCACTCGACTAATGTCAGTCGTTTGGTTTCAAATTTATATCTTTTCCAATTTCTTTTATGTCCTAATCACTTTTTATTCAATATTGTACTAGTTTTTCTCAATCGTATTTTCATCTCAGTCTTCTCTGAGTTTATTCCTTTGTTGTCATTTTACTATGTTTGATATCTTTGTTCAGTCCAGAAGTTTGGTTTTGTAAGTGAGTCTGCCATAAAATAAATTGAATGATCTTACTTTATGTTATCTTTATTTCATCGTGTTATTGGAACAAACCATCGAAAGCTATGAATATGGGTTAAATATAAGCAGGCATTATGAAAACGTATTACAAGATTCTCCCATTGAAATTTTAGTAGGGTAAGAATCAGTATAAAAAGAGTTATATAAACATTTTTAAAGAACTAATAGGAATATTATATATTATTACAAGCAAGGTGTTTCACACACGAGGTTCTATATTGGTCAGGTTGAAAGGTCAAAACGCTGTTACGACAACAAATTTCGATGGCTCAAACCTAGCGATACTTTGTAGGGAATGAAGAATTTCACAACGTTGTGACCTAATATATGATATCCCCTGGTTGGAAAAATGATAATATTATTTACAGCCAGGCAGTTGCTATGAGCAACAGCATAACATTACAAATCTTTTCAATTTGAGCTACCTTTGTTTTCGTCATAGTGTCTTTAATTCCACCCTCCATCCATTGTTTTATGATTTCCATGACAACGGCAAACGTGACGATTGAACCAACGACAAAATATGCGGAAGCTGTGAACAGTCAGAACATTTTAGTGATGAACTTGAAGCTGATCTTTCTTTTTTAAATATGGCCTATTTTAGAATAATTTCTACTACGGTAGTGAATTCTATTCTATATTGCTTTGTTGCTAAATTAATATGTTGCGGTATTTGTTATTGCTTATCGATCTCAATCTAACGGACAGACACTTCCGTATGTTACGCGATATCTCACGAAAGCGAGGTTAAATCTGCTCCAAAATTTGCATGTGCATTTATTATATTACATTATATTTAGAAGAATTATGTCGAATATTTAGCGAGTTATCAATTAATTAGTGACTGAACACGTGGTGTCGCTATTGAGTCAGAGCGATTGAACATGCGGAAGATCAATAAGTAGGCGGTCTCCGATCGCTATCTAGTTGGATTCTTGAACAGAAAAAAACGATAGGTACGACGATATACATTTATAAATCCGGTTTATAAATAAAATAAATACCTTTCTCCTCACTTTCATCATTTTTACGCTCCGGCATGGCCCATGAACAAAAAAGGATGACTACAGTCAGAAAACTCATCAGAGCATTAATCATTTTCCTTTCTTATTTGGATGTGCCAGATTTTCACAAGTGAATTTAGGCTAGAAATAACTATTAACCTAAGCACTGATAATAAAATGTCACCCTTTTGTAAGTTGACACACTATAGCATTTTCATCTACTTTTGAAAATACGGAATGATCCTGCACTGATGCGTAATTCAGTAGTTCAATAAACAGAATTCTTTGATAAACTGTGCTTTAAAATATCAATTTGAATGAAATGTTAAAATGTTCGCCATCGGACACGAAGTGTTATGTATGTTGTTCTTGTCTTGTTGTCCGTATTTATTTTTTTCTTGTTGTTATGAAAAATCTCCTTTTTCTTTAATTACTGGACCAATTGCTTTGAAATTTTCAGTGATTAAAGATTGTATTTGTCGCTAGAAGGCTATCACTTATATTTATTCCAAAAATTTCTGTGGGCTCTATGGAATTCGTTTTTTGTGTGCGTTGACGTCTTCAAAATAAAAAATTGCGCACCTTGTGGTGTTTCCGCGTTGCGTTTGTTGTGAAGACTGCGTAACATATGCCTTGCCAAACCACCCATCCCTGAAACATACAGAAAAGACGACTAAGACACTCAATTTCAGTTTTGATAATATCTTTTTAAATTATGTCAATGTACAGTTCAACCAATATTATTATACAGCACTGTTTTCTTCATTTTTCTAAAGCTACCTTTCTACTACAATACGACCTGGCAGACTGTGCGATATTAAATCAAAATGCCGCTTCTAAGCAATTTCAAATAGCCTCGGTTGCCCCGTGACGCTTGCTATATGGAATATATGGAAACGTCATTAAACTCGGAGTTAAGCCAGCATCCATATGTTGACTCAATGGGATTATATACTTCTAGTCAACGCCGTAAAAAGTTAACATACATTTTAGTAAAGACTAATTACACCACGAAAATGATGATGACGCTGAGTGATCCAGTACTACGAATTTTAATTTACAAATTTTCTAACATAAATTAGTTGAATATTTTGAAATTTTAATTATATTCAAAATATAATGAATACCAGCGATGTGTTGAACAACAACAAGGAAGAGGCTTTGTTCAACAACACCTCTAGGACAAAACGTAAATGATCGGATAAGAAGACTTTTCGACTATTGCCTCTGAACAATTTGTCCAATTATACAACGACAAGACACTCCAATTTCTATATAAATCTATAGAATGCCACGGGAAACTTTTTTATAACACAGAAAGAGTAAAACAGCATGAAAGTCGAAACATATATAATTTCATGACATTTTTTAAAGGAAAATGAAATCAATCAATTTGTGGAAGAACACTGTTATTTGTCGTTATTGAAAACGAAACTCCAACATCCACAATCCCAATGTCGAAAAACTTTTCCCATTTCGTCCTACTCCCTTTACACATCATATTTGAAAAATTATTGTATTAAAGATTGCCTAATTCTGATTTTGGGTTGACCGATAAACGCATGTCAACTCGTATTCCAAACCAACCATGCTATTATGATAAAATTGACAAATGCGAGTTTGTCTGTTGTACTTTCTAAATTTGAAAAGCCATTTGACACTACGTGACGGGCTTGCAACTTTTGGTGATAAACTGTTACGATTATTACTATGCATAAGCATGACACGCGACCTTCGTAAGACCCAATTACTTTGTAACTCTTTTTCACTGAGAAAACTCCAAAACTTATTGAAATATAGGTATGCTGTAATTTGGACTAATATTCCCTAAAGTTTAAGTGACTCCAGTTATGGCACAAAATATACAAAGCTCAAGCTCTCTTCTTGCCGGACTTGTCTCAGATTATTTCTTGCCATCGCCAGCACAATAGCCTACTTAGATTGATCCCAAGCCGTTGGGCCTATAGTAATTGGAATGAAGATTCTTTAAATGCATGTACAGTTGTTGAAATTGCATTTTCACCTTCAGGTTTGCTCTTGTTCGTATATTGTATATGGTCCTAAGCCATAAAACAAGTACAAATCTAATAATAATTTCAAGAGAAGGTTAGGCTTAATTATGGAACCAAATCATAAAACCTTTCCCCTTAGGCCTACATTTCATTAACAATATCGCTACTCAATCACCAGTGTTATTTTCTCGTCCCCATTCAGCCTGAAATGTCATGTTGGACACGAAATGCACATATGGATCATTTTTCTAAATTGTTGTTGTTCTTGCTGGACATGAAGTGGATCTATGGATCGTTTTGTTAAGTTGTTATTGCTGTTAGAATTGTTGTTGTTGTTGGGAAATTTTATTTATTTTAATAGTGGACCAATTGCTTCGAACTTTTCAGTGGTTAAAGATTATTGTTGTTGCTAGAATGCTATTACTAGTCCCACTATTACTGTTCTAAATTCCTAAGAGTTCTATGATATCTTATAATTAATTCAGAATTTTACTGTTTCATTTTTATTTTGGGAACATTGTTTTATTCAGCCGAACGTGATGGTCTATGTCAAGGTTCCCCCGTTTGATTTTGCGAACGTGGTGCTCCGACACTTTTCAACATAAGTCGCGTAGGCTACTGGCACTGCGGTCAATAATGAGAACTTCGTATACACATATTTGAGCTTTGTTCTCTTGTTGTTGGGGTGATCGTAGTCTAGCTTTAATGCGCAATCAATACACTATTCTACTTCAAACTTTCAGCACTTGGGTTTGGGCGAAATCGAAATGACTTTTTTTCTTTCAAACTGTCCGAGTCCTCGGTTTTATTTTGATTTGAGGAAACACTTTTAGTAATGAATGAAAATACCTAATATATTCTATCACGCTTGCCTGCCGATCTTTTCGGTAAACTCGGTGAACAGTTGCGGCCTTACCGCTATGTGTGATCGCTCGATTTTCGTGTCCTATATTCGTGCATTGTTCTCTTGTATTTTATTTTCCATACATACGGTACGTATATTCAGCATACAGTGAAAAACTAACAATTTTGAGCGCTTGTTCTTTACTGTGTACCAATATGGAGGTAACTAATTTTAATCGCCTATTCACATCAAGTTAGGCGGATATTCACTTGGCTAACACAGGCAGTCCCCGAACTCGTAATAGAACTAAAATAGGGAAAATCGGAATAAAATTATGGGCTAACCCTAACCTGGTACACATACTACGGGAGTACCCAACTTTCCAATGTGTCATTTTTTCATGTATGTATTCATCCAAATAACTAAAAAGTATGCATAAAAATGCACTAGGTGGCGGAGATGAGTCAATAATAAAATACCATGCAACTTGAAAGATTGCGACTGACCCCTGTTGCAGGACAATAATTTATTGGACACGTAGTGGACATAACGATCGTTTCAATATTATGTTGTTCTTGTTGTTTGACACAGAATAACACACCTAGTGGAAATATTAAAAAACCGCTTTTCTCTTCGAATACTGGACCAATTGCTTTGAAATTTTCAGTGGTTGAAGATAAAGATCCCCAGTTGAAGTTGAAGATCCCCAGAAAGCTATTTCTTTTATTCATTTTAAATATTTCTGTTAGCTCTGTGAGATTTGTTTTTATTTGCTATGACGTCATTAAACGTTCTGCGGACATCGGACGCCATTTTGTGTCCTATTGTACTGCTTCGCTTGGTGTGAATATATTTGTAGACTGTGATCTGACAGTACCGTTTACCGTACCGTCAAACCGTACTGTACTGCGAACAGACGTTTCCATATATTTGGGCGTAGCTCTCTTGTAAATAATATTTTAGTCCTCAAATCTGTCATATATGATAACTCTAATACCAGTTCTTTGGGTGATACAATGTAGAACATCGCTGTAAAATGACAAAACAAAAGAAGTTGTGCAGACCAAAACACAAGGATAAAAGTTTTCATGATTTCTGCTTTCTTTTGCCGTGTGCGGCACTGTCTATTTTAACATTATGTCTACTCTTACAAAAGAGTGGACGTGCCGTATAAAACCAATATCGTCAATAGGCTAGAGATGCAAAAATCCTTCTAGAACATTTGTGAAACAGGCTCGCTGTACAGTATTCTTCCTCTTGCCATAAAACGAACACTGTGTTGATTTGTATTTTAGTTCGTCGAACAAGTAGATCATTAAGTTCGAGCGCAGATTTTTTAATATAAGTTTCAATTTCACGATGACTTTGTTGACTTGCTTGGGAATATGAAGCCTTCGTAATCTTCGTCATCTTCTTTTTGTTGTCTAACATGCATTATCCGCCGATATTCGGATTTAACAGTTGTCAAGATACATAAGATCATAATGACGACAAATATAACATCATACACGTTTTCAATCGGCTTCCAAGTCATAATTATACTTCAAATACGGATAATATATTCGTTATCCAGGGAGTGTGTCACATTTATCAGTATTAGCTTTACAAATCTCCACAGTGTTTATTTTGCAGATAACTAAATATTTGAATCTGAAGATTAGCGTGCTAAAGTCAGTACTAAAGCACACGGAGTGATTTAAAACAGCATATTATCGAGTCTTACAGAGGTCAATAGCGACTTTGTATGTATTGAATACATGTGAAAACATTTATAACCACTCTTTGATGAGCAGAAGATCACATTAACAATTTATATATATTTATATTATGAATCAGAATGTTTGAACCCCAGATTTAGGTAATTTTCTACATTCACTAACAACTATCTATCTATGCATGCATATTGTATATACAACATTTTCTCGTATAGGCTACCTTTAATTACTTTTTTTTCATAACACGATTGATTAATTAGAGATATTTCGGCCGATATAATTCTGACTTCAACAAATACCTACTTTATTATTCTGTCATTATGTTTTACAAATTTTATCTTTGCGTTATACCTCTTTCGTTTCATTATACAGGCTTTCGACAATTTGCCTCCAATAATGTCAGTTTCTAAATAAAACCCGTTCATGAGGTATTGATGCGCAATACAAGTAAACGAGACGGATTGACAAGTTTCATATCTATTGTTTGCTCTCTTCAACGCTCGAATTCAACTAATATAAGTAAAAACTGACACATCACAACAAGACAAAGTGGATAGATAGTGGGTAAATGATAGTCAGTTAGTTGATTAGACAATAATGGCTATTTCTTGCTGCGTTCCAAACATTTCGATAAAAAAAAACAGAGAGTTATGCTCAAATATGTGGGCACGGAGGGCAAACGAAACATTTCCTCACCAAATCTCCGAAAATCAAATGCGGCAACTTACTAGTACCTGTATCGGGATACCGTGACGGTACATATATATAGCTCTACAAGGTTATGTGACGATGATATCTTCTTCGTGATTCAGTGTCAACGTGAATTGAAATACCAATTGGACCGAATCACTTCTGTATTATCAGATCAGGTACCGCAGTCTACCATTCCCAACATAAACTTCCCAAATTCATATGTGGTAACTTACAATTACCCGTATCGGGGTACCCGTAACGCTACAGGGACTGCCATAGCTTTTCCAGGTCCCGTGACAATGATTCATTCTTCTTGATTAAGTTTCAGTTTCAACGTGAATTGAAATACCAACTGCTAAGCATGAGATCCGCCGGCAATAAATTTGGACAATAAATGGTCGAGTTATTGCTGAAAAGAACGCTATTTGTCCGAATTTAGCACTTTCATGGCACTTGTCGACCAGCGCCAATTTCAATTTCCAACTTTCAAATCCTAATCACTCATATGCGCATGTTTGACAGAAATTAGGCGACCCCGGAAAATCTTCACCCACTACACCCACCCATTATGTATAGAGTGATTATTAGGAATTTTCAATTATAATTTTCAATAATTTTTCAATAATCTGAAATATACAGGTATTCCTGACTTAGGAAATAATTTAGGTCGATCAGTGGTTCCCAACCCTTTTTCAAGCGACCAAATTATTTTAAAAATAATTTTGTAAACTCCGCGACGCAAGGATATATTCGCATATTAAACGTTATGTAGTGCTATTATGTCCGCAAAATAAAAAAAAGAGACTATATATACCACTATAAAACAGTCATTTTTACATAATATTTATTTCAACAGAAATTAATTCAAAGTTGCTAGTGAGTAAGTTGCGCTTGTTTGCCATCGGCGAGTTTTTGAAATCGTGTTGTAGGTTCACTTAAGCAAAATATATGCTGCCAGATTTTTATGCTGTGATATTTCTCACGAAGAAAATTACGATTGAGTAATACTATAATACCAAATATAAAATAAACAATGAAAATTTGCTAGAAAATATTTTTGTCAGAAAAACAGGCGACGCAAGAAGATTTTTAGGCGAACCAGTTTTGGGTCGCGACACATAGGTTGGAAAACACTGTAGATCATTGATTGAATAGAAGAAGACCAGATTACATTTACCAAAATATTAATTTACTTCACAATAAGTAAAATATCCACTAAAATTTATTAAATTATTCCCAGAATTTGAAATCAGAATTTCGTACTAAGAATTAAAAAATGTAATGAACTATCGGCGTGAATAGAATGCTTTATTGTGATGCGGTTTGCTAAACGTAGCCTATTAGAATTCTTGTTCCTATATAAGAATAATGACTAGAGATTAGATCATGCTAAATCAAGTTCAGATCAATTGTCAAAGACGTGGCATAATTATTTTTGTGAAGGTAACTTTAGAAGGTTATACTACTCACCGATATCGATTACTATTTCGGCTAAAACACATTATGAAACTTGAAAGCTAATTAAGTTCATATACACTCATGTACCAACTAATTATCTTTTTTTTATTAGTCGAAATTCATTTTGTGTGGTTAATTGTGGACTGTCTAAGAACCGCGTTGTTGATGTGTGTTTTATTTAACTAATTATGAAAAAGTACGCTGGAAAACGTATAATGAAATAGATATCACTATATAACATAATGCATTACTTACAAACATTGCTTTTTTATTTTATTACTAGAAATCCAAAGTTATTTATACGCATTTTTTTGAAATATCTTTGCTTGCCACAAGCAAGATGAGTCAGTGATCACTTTGATGTCAGGATGGTTCTATGAAATATAACCTCGAAGCTGTAAAAATGGTAGCTAATAATAAAAATGTTCAGTAACGTAATCGGCCCAACTAAGTTAAACCAAGCATATGGATTGTAACGTATTTCTACTTAAGCTTGTCGAGAGTTCAATCTATAACATTGACCCTATTCCAGGTAGATTAAAGATAAAAATAATACTTATGTATGCCATAAATATTCCGGACTGTTAACGATGTTTGCAAATCTGCGACACGAACTGACATATTATATTTCATCTGAGAATATGGTGCCCCAGGCAAGGCTGTGGAAATGGTGAAATTTTTATGATTTTCACGGAAGAAAACTTTAAAACCGCGCTGAACGGCACACTAACGGATAAACACATATAATAGGGTTTGGTAAGACAACGAACGACAATTGTCTTATAAGCAGAATAAAGGATGGTGTCAACTATTACGAACTGCTGTGTGGTTTAATAGCAACGTGTGTTTGATTATCCTAATATAGAGGCGTAATTATTTTGGCAATAGGTTTAAGCTGTAAAAATATGTATAAATACGAGTGCGCTGAATATGTTTCACAGATGTTGTGTATGAGAGAAAATGATTTTTATTTACAAATACCAAATTGGCGTTTGAAATAGAAAATTTGTACAACGGAAATGGACTTGATAAAAATATTAAAAGTGCTTAATAAAAAGTGAATAATTTCGTTCAATATTTGCTCAATAGTAGTCGTTTAATTAAAACAATGAAATCATTTATATATATATGATCCCAACAGGAAGATAGTTTGAGTAGACATCAGTTGTCAATTATGTAGAACCGCTTGATATTAATCGGAGGAATTCTAGAATGGGAAATAAGATACTAAAACATATCTTGTACGGTTATTCATTGGTTAACTGGTTATAACGTAGAGGGATACAAATCTGTCAAACATTGAAAGTATATCGGAAGGAATGAAGATTTTTAAACAAATCACAACGAACCCCGAACTCTAAATCACTTAGAATAAATAGACATTTTTACTCTTGCATTATACAAATACGGATTTACCAGATTCAAAGCATTAGAGAGAATTAATTAGGCTCTCAGAAACTCAATCGAAAACGCAGATTTTATTTACCGCTGTGTTTGTCGACGAAACAGTTTAAGCATAGTAGTATCGCATATCTACTTACTTTTAGAAATCAGGTTCATACTAATTAGTCGGTCTTTATAAAAATATTTACCGACAATTCGAGTGAAAGTTCTTTTTAAATAATGTTTGTAGAACAATCTTTGACATCTTGACTTCAGTTCTTCAATTCTAGTCAATATTTATAAATGGGTAACTGTGTGCTTGCGTACTGTTTGGCCTTCGCGGTTTTGCAAAATAACATGCGTTTAAATGTTGGCATGACGTATTATTCACATATGACGTAGATGTTTAGACATTTAATTCAAGAGGAAAATCTTATTTATAATGCAGAAAATATTCTTTCGCTTAGTGCGACAAATAAAATTTGGATAAAAAGGATGAATGAAAATTTGTATGAATATGCCCGTGTTGTAGTTGTTACTGTTTGTGCGTACACTATTTTGTGTCTCTTTGTTACACACCAGGATCTGTTCATTCCCTCTAAATCATCAAGGGGGGAGAGCGAGCATGACAGTTTCAGAGCAAGTTCTCTAAATTTTCGATACAAAGATATGAAGGACAATCAAAATAATATGAAAGAAGAAAGAGGCAAAATCGATTTCTTTGAGCGTCATGACACTCGAGAAAAATGGGAATCATTATTAATAGCTGACAGCGACATCGAGGCCAAAGTTCGATTCCAGAAAGGTAAATTGTTATATTAGCTTATATTATTTAATAAAAAATCTGCCAATCATTGAAGAGCAAATCTAGGAGGATTATGGTTTGGGAAATAGGACTTTTAGCGAGCTATATTCCGATATTCATTTCAATGCTGTTCATTCAAATTGTAAGAAAATTCAAAATACAAAATCATATATATACATAAGGTTACCTTTATATCCATTAAAAAAACTGTTTGATAGTCTCAAATACTGTAAAAATAACGTTGCAATTCATTCAAAAACTTGTTTTGATTTAAGTGATAACAAATTATTGCTTTGTTAATAGATGACAAAAACATGGATTCATTCAACCAGCACATGGATCGCCTAAAAAGATCAAGTTTGCAGGTTAGAGTATATCTTACTCTCTCTCTTATGAATAATTAAATTTGTTTTCAGTGAAATTATAAAATTCTAACATGATAAAACTGTATCTAGCTGGCATCTTTATAAATTTCACATTACTTACTGAACCAGAAGATTGAATATGTATATAAATTGCCTTTCATTGTGTATATTAAGTCTGGTTAGGTTTTGCACCTCAAAAAAGCTATAACTGATGAGTTCTGGCAAAAGCTGCAGATGTCTATTTTGTGTCCATATCATGAACAATGTCTCTACAGCCTAATAAAAAATGGTGAAAAAAGCCGAGCAATATAATAAGGAAATTGATTTTTAGGTGCCACACGAGGATTTTTCTTTTTCGGAATGGAGCACATGGTCAGATTGTGATTCAATCGATTGCAAAGTACCAGGATATCAACAAAAATCAAGAAACTGTTACGGAACAAATCTTGAAGAACGACAGGATCATCCATGCAAATATGGTATTTTATGGGAAAGTGCTAGGGAAGATGCACTGTCTAATATTTTATAGTGATGAAATAAAATGTTGTAAAACTAAATGTTTATCCGAAAATATTTGTGGCTGTTGAAATAATTAGTTCAGCAAGCGAATTATTTCATATATTGCAAATATCAAAAAAGTCTGTAAAATTTGACAGCACTCGAATTTCCATCATATAGAACAGGGATGGCCAACCTGCATCCGACTAAAATCTTCAAAATAGCTCGCGATCGACCGATCGGTAATAAGGTTATACACAGAAACGAATGAGTACTGAATATGCAGATAGCTACACACACGCATATAAAAATTCCACCGCCGCCTGTGGGCGCACTCTTTATAAGATTGCCCCAAAAAATTAGTAATTTTTATGTTGCATTTAATTTGTTATTTTGTGTATGTACATGTTTCATCATTTATTTAAAATTTATTTGAATTATACAATTCAGAACTATGGCCTGCCTAATTTTTAATCGTACGTGTTGAAAATTCGTATCCATGTATTATCTAAACAGCGAAAAATAAATATTCTCAAACCGTAAATGTTATATGATTGATTAAACTCCCGTGTCTAATTTGCAATTTCCTACATGTCCAATTCTTTGCTCGCTTAGAAGTAGAAAAATTGGGCCTTTTGATGTTAAACCTTTGTTACCTTCGCGAATAAATTTTATCACACTACCCTTTGAGTGACATGAAAACTTCGCATACTACATAAGTTATTGTAGAATCGTTTGTCAGTCAAGACACATGATATTCGGCACGTTCGTTTCTAAACCTCGGCAGCGAAGTAACTTGCATTTGTTATGTGAGATTATGCTCTATCGACTTGCCCACACTCAAACAGTGTATGTGTATATCATATCATGTTCCGCGCGTGTTCAGTACTGTATTCTTCCTGTTTTAAAACACACAACAGGCGCTGCATGAAACTGGTTCGAGTTAAATTAAGTTCACTCAAAATCAGACGCGTTCGACTTTTCGAGACGTGGAGATCGACCGGTCGATCGCGATCGACGTGTTGGCCACCCCTGATATAGAATATCATCGCCATATTGTTTTATGGTACATTTCCATTTTTGTTGTACATTCACAACTTGGCCTCGGGAAATGAGAGTCAATATCAGAACTAAATACTCGCAATGAATCAAGCATAATTGTTAAACCGCAAAAAGTAATTTTTGACTAATCTGTCTTTTAACTTAATATTAAACAATAACAAACTGTCCGAACAATCAAACTTTACACGCGTGTATTTTCCTCAAATATAGATAATTTGGTGAAGATACGACCTTGTTATCCTATTGAGTGCAAGAACGACACACAAGCAATAATCAGGTTTCGTTTTATTATTTACAATAATTCAACTCCGCAAATAACGTCCAAAAACGCATTCAAGTTTGCCTCTATACGGCTATAATTCATTGTTGCCAAACAGTTGTTAAGATTTATTGGTATCGTAAATGAATTCCGATAGCTTTAAATTTATTTATCTCAGGCGTGAGAACGATTTAAAGACGGTTATTTTAATAATGATTCGAAAATCTCTTCATCCACAAGCGCATGAGCACCTTTAATGCCACAGATATATCATTAAGAAATTCCAATATTGTAAATTATATTGGTCCGATAACTGCAACAAAATGGAATTAAATGGAGGTGATTTATAGGATATTCCTCGGTGCAATGTTATGTTGATATCACAGGCTAGTAGATATGACAGCTTCATCTGAGTCGCGTAAAAACATTGATAATCTTAGTTTATTATCTTCAATCCTACATATGACCTATATTATGTAAACTTGGCGTAAAATATTGTGAAGAAGCACCGAGCAGTTCTTGTATATAATATACATAATATCCTGATTTGCCTTTTACAGTTGGTCACCATGGACAAAATGGAGCGAATGCAGTATAACTTGTGGTAGAGGTGGATCGCAGACCAGAATACGAAATTGTTTCACTGAAGATAATCATAAAATACCAATAGAGTAGGTTCTTAGATTATATTCCATTTTCACCTAATCTTGTGAACTATATGAAAACTATAACGCTTTCTTCAAATAGAAAATGCCCAGGAAAAACCTCGCAGAAACGTTTATGTCAATATTCAGTGAGTTGTCCTGTATGGGATACGTGGAGTGTGTGGTCAAGCTGTTCTCAAACTTGTGGAGAAGGAGCAATGTATCGTGAAAGGAGTTGCGTGGCATACTGGTAATTTAATTAAGTAATTAACTAGTAATTAGGATTTGACGAACCAAGGATTTTCTACAACACTACAAATACAGCGGTAGCGTAAAAATTTTTTTTTTGTTAATATTATACTTGGATACCAACAATAGACCGATACACCTCTTCTCAAGTGTCCGAGAAGGTCCAGTGATTGGTTGGAATAAATATTGCGCTAGCGGAACGCGCAAGTTTTCTCGGCATACTGATAGACTACGATTCTATCCGAAATGTAATATTTCTTGAGGAATATGCAGCAGAATTTTTCATTTTTCAGCATGACTTAACGTTAACCAATACAACGAGTATACTATGATTTAGTAAGAACAATATATGATTATATGTAACTATTGTTAGCCGATACAGCTGAGAAAAAGATTTGTCAATAACACCCATAACAGTCAATAAAGAGTACAATTTCAATTTATGTTAGCAAATAACCGTGACAAAAATTAATAAAACAAAATCTAGTCAGAATTTAATATATATACTTCAGCTATCTAAAAAACATATTTTGATTTAGAAAACGAAAAACAAAACTAAATAACCCACCCATTTTTTTAAGTGATCCGCGAAATTTAATAACCTCTCTTTTTTCATACAACCAGAAATTTCGTGATAATTTATAAATACCGAAAAGATATCAGAGTCCCCAGAAAATTTGCAATGATTATTTAATTAATGATAATTTCATAGAAATTCAATTCTTCTGTGTTTTAGGTATTTTGCTATTGATGCCGACGATGAGAATGCGTCAGGTATGTTAGTTTATTCATCGAGTCTAAAACACTGAAATCAATGTTTTATTTATGAATAAAAATTTTTTTTACCTAGAAATCAACAGAGAGAATAATTTGACCGTCAATCCAGAATTCGTTGCAGAGGTAAGATTTTTTTCTGACCGTATAAAATGACATACTTCAGATAGACTCGAAAACTACGCAAAAATTTTATAGTTGTTTGAGAACAACACATCATTCATGAAATCTAACATGCTGAAACAAAATGTTGGAATGACAATTACGTTGGACAAAAATGAAGTGTTTATTGTAGATGCAATCAAGTTATCCAATATGAAAATATTAAATGTTCAAGAAGAGAGCCAAATAAAAGGTATGTCTGCATATATATCTGTGGTCATAACAGTCAGCAAACATAACGGGTTATATTGAAAACAGTTTATTTTACTCTGATAGTCAAATAATCTTCACCATAAATCTGGGTACGTCTATTCGGCATTCCCCCATATTTTTCTATTATTTTCGTCATTTGCCGTAGTTTTCGAGCCTCGCATATAATACCTAATCATTGTAACCACTTGCATCAAACTGAACACTCACCTGTACAATTCAGGGTTTTCATTTACTTTTAGTTCATGTTTGTAGCTTATTTTATCGTATATGTGATTATTTTTATGTAATTTACTATTACCAGTTAAGTTACCAGCGGAAAAATGTTCCCATCAAATGGGAACAGTTACCGACAAGATGAATTGTAATGTAAGAAATCGTTGCCCTTCAAAGTGGGGCGCTTGGAGCAAATGGACTCCTTGTCGCCCAGTCTGCGGTGCTGGCATGAGTAAAAGAGAAAGAAAATGTATTCGTAATAATGAAAACGGTGAGAAATTTTGATATGTTTACCACTCAAATTTATAATTTTGTAAATGTGTGAAAAGAAACTATCAGCTGGGTGATTAGCGCAATACGTGTATGTACTAAATAAAAATTAATATTTACAAATTGATATAAGTTCACCACGGCAACGTTTTTTTTAATTTGTATCGAGGGCATTTAATTTCTTGTTCATTGTTCCCTAAAACTTCAAGAGCCCTGTTCCGGGAGACGATTTTTGTATAGACGTTGCTATTCGTCACCGTGCTGGAGTCAATGGGTAGAAGTCGAGCCTTGTTCAGCAACATGCGGTGCGGGATTAGTCAAACGGAGAAGAAAGTGCAGTTCAAAAACTACACCACCTTACAGATGTTTTGGACCCGACCAAGATATCGAAAAGTGTAAAATAAAGGTATTGAAAATATAGCATGAAAAAAATCAAGTCTGAATCAAAAACATTTAATCATTGTTTAAAAACATTTAGCCTTGTGATGATGATTCATGGACGAACTGGTCTGAATTTAGCGAATGTACTGTATCTTGCAACGGGGGGTTCCAACACAGAAATAGGACTTGTACTCAAGAAAATTGCCATGGTTCTTCTAACGACATCAAGCTGTGCAACAGACAGGTGACAGAAATTTGTTATGAAAAGGCCTTTCACAGAGGCGATTCAATTCTAAGTACTGATATTAAACGTTTTATCATATTATATTATGCTACAGCGATGTCCCACCTGGGGGAAATGGGGACCATACACCTGCTGCAATGTGACGTGTGGTCACGGAACACGGGAACGACATCGTGACTGCGTAAATGGAAATATTGGAGATTTCGGTCAGTGTTTATCTTATATTAGATATATGGATATATATATAATATATACATATAATATTAGAATTTGATGAAATGCAGCAAAGAAGCAATGAAAAATAGTCAAATCAATGTTTTTGTGACATTATAACATTGGATGATTTCAGTATGAATATTTACTTTATTCCATTGGTTTTAAGTACGCATGTGAGACATTGCTTGGTACTCTTGAAGTATGCGCACCAAGATGTCGCATAACCTGAACCCTAACCTGGTACACAACCTGAGTTCAGGTTGTGCGCCATCTTGGTGCGCATACTTCAGGAGGTCCCATTGCTTTGATTAAAACCCATGTTTATATAAATGTGCATTAAACATCAGGGTGCAATGGTACAACTACAGCAACCCATCCTTGCTACCGACCACCATGCAAAAATTCAATGCAGATGTCTTCTACAATTGGAAACATTGCTTGCGGTATTCAACCACGAGCAACTTTGAAGAACGCCGTGTTTTTGCGAATATTTGGCGGCAAGGTAACAATACTAATATAACTCAACTAAATTTATTGCACAATTAATATTTTAGAAACGATCTTGTCCTAAATAAAGCAGGGGTATGCAACCTGCGGCCCACAAGAAAAAATGTGCGACCCACGGAGAAGTGCTAATTTTGAATGGTGTGCGGCACGCGAAACGAGTTTTTAATTCAGTTTAATCTGGTACGTGCGATTGAATCCCACCTTTTTGCATACCTGATTCCAAGTTATTATCCATGGCGTTACAATACCCACAACTACTAGTAGGCTTATTTAAATGAAGAAGTGGTCCGCGGTTTCACCAAGTTATTTTGTATTAAGGTTGCACACCTACGGTCTGAAGTGTTATGATAGTGCTTCGATGTAATTAATGTATCGTTACCCTGCTGAGTTCACTCATAACATGCAGTCATTGAAAACATCACAGATCTAATCATCAATTAATTAGACCTTAAATCTTCAAAATCGAAATGAGGTTTAGTGAAGTCAGCGGTTGAAAAAACAGTGAATACTAGGAGATGTTTGAATTGATATATTATAGTTTTAGACGTATCACATATCTCCAAAATCTCTGTTGTTTATCAATACCAAAACGTCATTATGGTACTTTTCATCCTGCAGTTATATTCCATTTATTTACATATATATTTGTGATCAGCTTTTACTTGGTATCATGGCCAATCCCTAATACGAATATAAATTCATCAAAAAAACTGCGAAGCTCATATTACTTTTTATTTTGATCAGATGTCCGTTCCACACGGTTGGCCGTGGCAAGCAAGTTGGCAACATCGAATAAGTGAGAATAATCAATGGAAACACTCATGTGGGGGAAGTTTGATTCACCCAAGATGGGTTTTAACGGCTGGGCATTGTATTCAAGAGACGTACGTTTTAAATGAAAACAACGGAAATTTTAATTAGAACCGCTCGAATTGGCTTTTATTCACATAGCGACTAAGTGTGACCTCATTTCACTAATTACTTGGATGTGGGAATGTTGCTGAGTTAAAAATATATGTGCTCTTCCGCCTAGTATAGTATAGTTGACGTTAGCTCAAAATACAACCACGAAATCCAAGTTGAGAACATTTCCTCTCACGAAGTCTGGTTTTGAATTAACTGCTTTGCATGGATCCAAATTTGGATGATTGTTGAAATTTGCTCGATATATGAGATACATTTTGCTGCCAAAAAAACGCAAGTTATGACTGAAAAAGTGAAATAAACATATTTCAGACTTTATCTACGTAGCTCATTCATTTTGTTCCTACAGCAAAAATAATCTGTAACAAATCTTGCGACATGAAAAAGGTGATAGATGTACCATGTCACAAACTCTTTGCGGTTCTATTGATATGTATTTTCATATCAACTTAATAATGTGTTTTGTGTCTACAGGGCATTTCCCGTACTGCTCAGTGATCCAGGATTGTGGTGGTCCGTAGTTCTTGGAATGGATAAGCTTTATAAAGACGGAGAGAGATATTTCGTTGACAGAATTTACGTACACGAAGACTATGCACGCGAAGTAGTGACAATAAGTAAAAGCTTTTCACGGATTTTATTATTGCTGTCAACTTTATATTTGATAAATTAATTTTTTTATTCGAAACGTTCATAATGTTTTGTTACAAGTCTTTGATGCTCTTAGTGAACTTACTTCTTTAATCATGAACCAGTAAGCACAGGCCCCTATTAAAACAAATCTTCAAGTTGGAATAGCAAATTTTATTAAACCATGAAAATCATTATATTGTTGACGACAAAATTAAGTTGACGGTACTAAAATTCAGATTTATAACTAGCTTCGATGAACTTTCTTTTTGTCGATTATTCTCGAAACAAACACAATATTAAACTATTCCAAGTACCAGGCCTTTATTTTTACATTAGGCAATTACATTAAACATACTGGGAAAAATATCTTATAGCTATCTATTTCTTGGTAGAATTATTCAAAAAAAAGTCACTCACTCGTGAAGAGCGAAACCTTCTAAGCTACAACCTCCATCTGTGGATAAACATTTCAGCGGTACGGTGCATAATTGTACCCCAAGCTTGACTATACGAGTCGTCGGGTTTGGAAATGCGTTTTTTAAACGGGAAATTGAATTAACACGTTATTCTGCATAACATCATTTTATGATATGAGTTATAACATAACCGCAATCTCTTGCTCGTAATCTTTGATACCTCGAATTAATGACACACAAGATCGTGCAGAACTGTTAATTAAATCAAAAACTATTTAAATCGTTGGCGCCATTTTGTTTGGTACTGTGTTTATCATAATGCGTGTCAAAAATAATGTGGCTTTGTTGAAATCTCTATGGAGAATGTGAACTTGATTCTAGGAATATGTCAAGAAATATTTGTTCACGAATAGATTAACAATTACATACCTAAATACGGGATCCGCCCACAACACAAAACGTGTAATTAATTTCATTTCTTTGAACTATTCAAAAATGTTATAGCGATTCTCGTTTTTCCGACATTTTGAACGATATATAAATTAAAATTTGAAATCAATCAAAGTTGTTTTTTAAACCAAAAATTACTGCTATAATTTCAAGATAAAAATAGTTGTATTGAACATTCACAAAGTAATAACAAAAACTACATTTCTGACTTAACTATTCCAAATATTCTATCTTAACTAATTCATTTGTTACTGAATGAACTTCCTATGCAGTTAGGTGAGTTTAAGATACTTTTAACGGGGTGCTTTTTGAATTTTTCTTATATCGTACCGTGACTGGAGTTAGAATTAGGGAGATGATCGAAAAGATTTAGATAATAAAAACGCGGTTCAGATATGCCAAAATAAATGGTCGTTAAATTTAGAATTTTATACAAATATAAACCATATCTATTTGAAAAAATGTAGATAACTGGAAATTGAGCGATCATGAAAAGTTTGGTGATGATAACGGTGCATTTTTTTAAGTTAATCCAATTAATGTGTTTATGGTTTTAAATACCTATTCGAAAATTCAATACTTATTTTTAGATGACATTGCACTTATAAAACTTCGTAACATGGTTCCGATCACAGAAAAAATCTCACCAATCTGTTTACCTGGAATTAGAAAACCTGAGCCAGGAGAGCAATGTATTGTATCCGGGTGGGGATTAACAGGTATTTCTATCTCCAACACTTGTATGGAAACGTCTTACATCCTGATTTCTGCATCTTTCTCATCAGAAAGGGATTATTCTGACTATACTGTAAGCAGTTTTCCACAAGTTTGCGATCCGGCCAGTTGCTGCCATATGCACCAATGAATAGTATGATGAATAGAACAGTAAATGTTTCACCAAAAGTGAAAGGAAATTAAAACTGCTATATAATTTTGACAAACCACAATTTCAGGGCCAGATGCTCGCCACTCACAAGTTCTCCTGGAAGCAAACGTTCCCGTGGTAAGCTTTGATGAATGCCAGACATTGGGAGCTTATTATAGACATTTTCTAACAAGAAATATGCATCTCTGCGCAGGAAATCCTATAGATGTCAAAGGTGATTCGTGTACGGTACGTAAACTATTATTTATTCTTTTTTTGCAGATATGTAGAACGGGATATTTTTGATTTCGATCCATGTTGCCTCAATTCAGTTAGCGATATAAAAGATGGACTTGGCAATAGATAAGAAAAATATTATGCTAATCTACTACTATATGATTTATTTTTCACCTCTGATAATAATCAAAAATACATCTAATAAAATGGATTGAAGACAAAATACTTGCCAAAGTTCCTGAACAACCTAAAAACTGTCGAAGGTTTTATCAAATCCAGGCCGTTACTCTTATTCATTGTACTGTGTGCCATCAAGCGTATCAAAACACTGCTCATGATCTTGCGCTGGTGATGAATCGTGCAAAAAAATAATAATGATTATGTACCAGAGGAATGCTGCGGGGCTATTTGCTGTTGCATGGTAGATCATACAGAATGAAATTGATGAAATTTCTCTGCTAATCACGATCAATTTTTCTTCCCTCTGATGAATATAGTATCTTATCTTGATACGAAATTTTGACGATAAATTTTATTGCCGATGTAAAGTCAGCCTATTTTATATTGCAGGGTGACTCTGGAGGTCCTCTTTCGTGCAAAAGCGGAGCATCGTGGTATATGGCAGCTGTTACATCCTTTGGTTTTGCTGAATGTGGAACGCCAGGAAATCTTGGAATTTATACTGAGTTAAATAATTATCAGGACTGGATTCAAAATATTACTCAGCTTCATACTTTCGATGAATGCTGAGAATGCATACTCTTGAAATTTTCTGCTCGTTCTTGTTATTTTTTTCTGTCATCTAGTTGTGTGCTCTTTGCAAATAAATGCCTAGCTCGATTTTAAAGCTAAACTAAGTCAGTTTGTACTCTTGTAAGATTTTATTGGAGACTTTTTGTTAAGATAGATTATCCAGTAAAATAAAACCTGACTTCTGATCGGTAAATTGCAAGCCAGAACCTCAACAGCGCGTTGATGAGGAATATAGCAAGTAATATAAAGAAAAAATGAGGGCAGAAAGATGGCTCATTGATGCCACATTTTGTCATATTGGTAGATATTTTGCAGGCCTGAAGATAGAATAATCATATTATATTTATAACTCTCCTTTAAACTCGCTAAAACCACTCACAAAGCACCAGTCAGTCCGATTTGGCAGTAAAGTTTCATGTGGAGATATAGACCAGACCTTCGATACATCTATAAATATTCATTCCATGACGTATCTCTTGCGTGGCGACCAATCGCGTTGAATTTCCTTCGACATTTGATTTGATAATCTCATTGTATTACGACTGATGGGTGAACCTTTGCTTAGTTCTAAGAGATTACGAGAAAATGAGTAAATATTTATAAAAATAAAATTTGATGATATGAAGCGGCATTCTTGCGTTATGGATCTTTTTACTGACGTAAAAGAATATATATAATAATTTGAATATGTAAAAATGACATTAAGTCAATTTTATCAGAATTTCGATCTGCAGGGACGACATTTCATGAGTTTTATTTAACGCGAAATAACATAGACACGACAGTAGCTAAGATATTGTTCATTTTTATTTTACGGTGGCGATAAGGACTATCAAAGCAGACACGATATAATAATCAAAATGCAGCTAATTTGGAGATTCGGATTGCAAATTCATTCCTATAATTTTCCTCAGCGTCTTGTCGCCGATGATCGCGCAGTAGCTTTCGAGTTTGTCGAACAGAACGCGAAGTTCTGAGAAAAATAACAAAAACTCAAAACATCGACCTTCACCAGAGCGCAAGACTCGATACATGCCTGATAAAAAGAACCAACATTTTGTTTTAGATGGCCGAAACAATCACGCCAAAATCACGAAACATACTTCAGCCTAAATAAAATATTAAAAATTTTAAAAGTCCGCTTTTAAAACTCCTAAACAACATGAATTTTTAAACATTCACTGTATATTTGTTGCAAAGCATCCAATCATATATTTATTGGAAATAGACCTATAGATCATTTTAGTATTATGTTGTTGTTGATATTGTCAGAATTTTTGTTCTCTTTATTACTGGACCAATTGTTTTAACGCCAACCAAACTGTTGATTCTCTTGAAGATGCCCCATGTGACTGGATTGTTTATCACCACCACCATTGTCTGAGCCTGACGCTATGCGGTTCCTGATATTATAGAAATAATAGGCTAAACATATATAGCCGACTTTCATATTGAATATCTATTTGTAGTAATGCAATATACGTGTAGCTTGGAAAAATTTTCCAGTCTGCATGCTCATCTGTCGGACGCCATTTGCCCATCAGTAACATGTAGAACTACATGCTTATCGTCGTCTCCAAACACCCTGGTCTGATAAGTGCTCTTTCATAGCACGAACAAATATATTTTAGATTTTTTGGTTGGGTTGTAGAAGTTTAGCATTGATCTTTATCTCTGTTTACAAATTTCTGTTTTGGTGATAAAATATATCGAATTTGATTCATTATTTACCAAGTAACTGGGTGTGTTGACATGTTATCACCTAGTTAAAGAAGTGACAATTGAAACAGCTGATTTAGAATGTACAAGCGAATTGTAATACTGGATCACTAACACATTTGGAGATGGAAAACAATTTATGTTTGAAATGTGAAACCTTACCTTCTACCAAAAAAGGATCGTGCAGTGATGGAATAGCAAGACGACCTTTGAAAGACTTTCTACAAGAAGACAGAGAAAGGTAATGATGAATGTATATATTATACTATAAAAAAAATTAATTTTTCAATTAGTTTTGATATTTTAGAGAGTTTGCGATGCTTCACTGTACACATAGCAGCATCTTACATACTAGCTATAATTTCTCCTTCAATACTAAGATATAGACTTCAATGTTTTTTTACTGTTATCATTGTACGCATTACACGTTAACTACCTATATATGTCACCGACAAAACTCTACTCTAATGCTACCAACGATGACTTTATTCGTGGTCTCCTGTACTCCAATAAAAATTGGACCACACTAGCTTATAACTCAATTCAGAATATTGTCAACATAACAGGAAGTATTACAAATCTTTTGGTGTTGGATATATGAAAAGTAACGATGTTCAAATGACTTACTTTATTGACAATTTATTTTCAATTTCACACTTCTAGAAGATATGCAGAAAGAAATCTAATCAATAAACACAACTCTAACTCATTTTCAATCACAATTTCTACAAACTCATACAAGAATGGAGCTTCCTACATGGAGAATATTTTTATTCTTGCTTTTTATTTGTTTCGCAATATTAGTTACGATATATCTTGTTTTCCTAGTGCTTACATTTAAATTATTTCTTTTGTTGGTTCTAACTTGTCCGTTGATTGTTGGTTTTGTATTTTTTATATTGTTCATAGGATTGTTAACAATATCTTTCTGTGCTGTGTTGTATGTTTGTAAATCATATTGTTTGGGTGATTTCCTGGACGAGGAAGATCAATGAAAATGACTTGATAATTGGATGGAATACGGACAATATTCCCTGATTTTCTACAAAATATATTTTATTTATATACCACGTATCATCGGGTCCACTGTATACTCGCATGTCCTAACAATTTGAATAGTGTCAGTTACTATTGAAAAATATTAATTTTGAAATATTAAATTGTATTAATTTCTAGTAAAAGTAAGAAGTCGCGTACTCGCCAACAATATATTCATCATAGTATTTTGCAAAGCCAGAAAACTTGAATTGAAAGACTTTGAAAGAAGTGCTCAGTAACATTGACATGATTGGAACTTGTTTTATCTACAGGCAGAAATATTTGGGATTAAAACTATTTATAATTAATTTATTTTTATATAATTATTTATTTATAAATATTGCATAATATGTTAGCATAAAGTTTTTAATGCGAATCGATTAATGGCGCAAAAGACCACATGAGGTGTCATAAGCGCCATAAATCAACAACAATCATTTCTATTTACGAGTGGAGAATATAATATTTTCAAAAGAAAATTATTTCTACCAGGATGGAGCTGGTTATTCGATAGGATTAGGCAGGACGTTCCTACGCGCGATGCAATTTGTCGGAAAGGTTGCTTGGCCCGCATTGTAGGGAAATCTCTATTGTGCGTTCGGACTGAGATAAATAGAGGAAATAAAAAATCAAAATTTGAAAAAGGCGTGAAAACATATAATCACATTTAAGAATAACAACATATATATTTGGTAAAAGTGTTATTCACTCGACTGCTATTGTATTTCCATCTGATGTGAATTAGCGCTGACCGATAGTGGGTTGGCAAGATATTCTAAACATATCGCAACGGAAAAAGTGACAAGCTGGCCATCGTTTTTAGTCCTAATGTTAGCTTAGTTGCTCTCAACGCACATGTATTTAATAAACAATTGATAATGCTTCTAATTCTAAAGCCTTGGGTTTTTGAAGTATTTCGAGATTGAACTTACCGTCTAATTTACTTGTGCGATTAGCGTTTGTATTTCGCATGTATCTAAACTTCCGTATTTAACAAAATGTGAAGCTTTAGCTATAACGTCATAATACATTTTGCAAGGACATATCTGCACAATATGACGTCATATCATATTATTTATGACGCCATCGTTAAAGATGTGACTCACAAATGACATAACATAGGGGCCTCTCATCGTCTGAATCCGGCCCTGTAGGCCAAGTACTCGCTTTAAAGTATGTCCAATCATGATACCGCTGTACGATTTTGGCTTTTCAGCAACTTGTAGTTACACGAACCATTCTATGACGTTAAGGAGTCCAGCAATATTCAACACATATCCATATCCCACTTGTACGCCATTTGTATATAATATAAACTGGAGTAGAGGTAGTAGTTTAACAGACATGGGCAAAGTACGGCCCGCGGGCCAAATCCGACCCGTTGGGTAATTCAATCTGGTCCGCCTGATGCTGCCAGAACCAGACTGAAATCAAATTTTGATGTTTCAGCTAAAATAGCTCAAAGAATTTGTTGAGATTGCGGCTAAATTTAGTTTTGGCACGAGGCTTATTGTTTTCCACCTTTGCTTTGTAACACTGTTAATATTGTTCATAAAATGCCACTTTTTATGTCACATTTACTTGACCCGCCAGTCTAAATGGGCAACATTTTTTGCTCCTGGTTCAAGAACCTTGCCCACCCCTGTTATACAACATTATATGTGTATGATTACAAAGAAATAATCTTCAGGAATTGTAATTCGAAACAGAACGCGGAGACAACTGCCCACATCCCATCTAATGCGCTGTGAAGTTTTTTAACAGCTGTCAAGTACTCCTGACGTCACGCATAACCCCACCCATTGCCTTATGCACTGAACCACATCGTTACGTGTTCCCATTGTAGAATAAGTCACTATTGTACTAACGTATATGTAATGTATGCGTATATACAGCTAAAAATATTAATTTATGTACTTATTTAAACAAATTAAATCAGCTAGTTTTAACACACAAATGGAGAAAATGGCTTCGTAGATAATCCAATACATTGGGAACACTATATTGCTACCAACTTTCATTCGCCGGCACAGATTTTTTCTCAAGGGAATACTGCTGCCGCTCATAGCTTCGTGCCAGTACGTTGTTGCATTCCTTTTCCGTCGTTTGCGCTGTTCGTTCTCTTCGACTCGTTCGATTTTTCTTGTTGCTTCGTGGGACTTACTATACAATACACTTAAAATGGTGAGTTTAATAGATATAATTCATAGGTCTCTAGCTTTACTTAGTCTTGTCGGATTCTGACTAAATAAAAGTGTATTATTACTTTGTGTTATTCAGGTAGTTCTCTAATTACTGAATTAGCCTATATGTGTATGAAGCTGTTATAACTGAAACAAGATCGGTACAGAGCTACACACTACCGGTATATCACTGGTATTTAATACCCGAATGCCCCAGTGTAGCAGGCTGTGACATTTCAACATTATCGTGACTAAACAACTGAATAATACGCTGATATCAGAATATGGGTTGAAGCTAATTCTGTTCATTCCCAATATGCAGCGACTGATATATGTGTATACAAGTATATGGCAGTTGCAGCCTATGCCCTCGTACTTCTGGTATTTAAAAGAACATCATCTTAACGATGTGAAATAATCATATGTATCCCATATTGATAATGTAGTCTGAAGGTACCGAGCAATTTCTCCTAGGTTTTTACTTGTCAGCTTTTATGTGAAAGTAGCTTTCATGCCCGTATCTAATAGTACATGTTAAGTTCAGCTTTTGAATATAGTATCTGGCAGTCTATTGAAAATCAATAACGCCAGTACCGTATCTAATTCTGAATTTTGAATTTTGAATAATCTAATTCTGAATTTTGAGCCAACCTACATTATGCAAATTACTGCTCAATTCTCACTGATTACCTGTCACCTCCCCATTGTTAGAATTAAATTCTCTGAATGTCCCAATGTCGCTCAATCTGTAAAGTGTGCTGTACTGGGTCAGCGAAAGCGATAAAACTATTTGGTTTTCATAGAAGGTAGTGACAACAACCCCATTGTACAATAGGATTTGAATTTCTCCTAGATTATTGTAGAACAACTTGTAAATGCTTGTTTTAATGGCATGAAACAATTTACTAGATGTAACAAATTCATCAAGACTGGTAGGCCTATCCCTTATCATCTTTATTTAACAATTTACAATCATATATAGCAGGGGTGGCCAACACGTCGATCGCCACATTTTGAGAAGTCGATCGCGTCGCCGCACCCGAGAATTCTGTAAAACACCTCAAAATATTGCTGGCGAAATTTCTTTTATCCGCGTGCGCAGTTATCTGCATATTCAGTACTCATTCGTTTTTGTGTATGACCTTATTACCGATCAGTCGATCTCGAGCTATTTTGACAATTAAAGTCGATCGCAGTCTCAAGTAGGTCGGCCACCCCTGATATATAGGATAGGATTTACATATTTATCCTGCGGGAGAGGAAAGGCGATAAGACGACTTAACCATGTGGCGAACCACAGCCTCTCGTCCGGTTACCATTCTATGTCGGGTATGGAATTAGTTAGGTATTTGTTTTTGGAAGCATGGACCCAAGTCGTTGTGATCAATGTAGCCATGGTTAGTCAAATTTGAATTGAAACCCATAATGAATGTGACTGAGGCTTATATTTAATTTATTTTCATTATTTCATTCCCTCCAAATGATTCCATTTTTGTTTGGGGGTTAGACAAAGTATTCTGAAAATATTACTATATCGAAGTATCAAAATATCATGTTGTCTTTGGTCCTATATAATATTTTACACCCCTCAGTAGGTGTAGGTTTGTGTTAGCAAAAAAATTGGTGGGTGCAATTATATGGTCCATTTATCATGCTCTATGTAGAATTGAAAGTTTAATGGCTTGCCACATGTAGAAGCTCTTTTCAGCTTTCCCCTGGGATTCAATGTGCAATTCTCTTTGTTAGGCTCAAATTCATAATTCAACCAGGCAGTTTACTTACCTTTTGTGGAAATGATTTTGATTTGTAAACGATTCTGCTTTTTATTTATGAAATAGCTTGTTATATAATTGATGTATTATATTTTCAGGCTGACTTCAGTGATGACAGAATTCAAGGTACATGACTTATATTTTTAATATCGTTACTTGCTGTATTTACTTTTAGATCTACAGGCAAATAATATACCAAATATTTCAGTCAACATGACTTTGTATTTCTTTTCTATTATAAGTTACACTGAATTGATGATTGATTGAATTGATGATTAAATGTTTCTAATATTTCTATAAGGATGTTGTCACGTACATGCTAGTGTATATGCTGAGCCCGAAAAGATAACAACGCCTATTTGATGCCTACATTATCGAATAATCGTTAATTTTGAGCCCTGGTGTTATGCTTCTGACGTAGCGCGCGTCGACCTCTCCTCAATTTTCCTTCCTTATATGGCATGACGTAATCGCTCATGCGTTGCCTTCTTTTCCGTGTGTGATCGTATTTTCTTCGGAACAGTTCTGTCATCAATCACCTTTCCTGTGTCGTGTATTTAAACCTATGCCATTATTTGAGTTGGGTTTTCGTTCAATCTATAATATGAATATATGTATGTAATTTTATGTAAATTGTGTCATAACCCGGATTAAACCATTAATGACCATAACGAAAACGTCCACATTCTGAATCTATACATAAAACGACCCATCAATATTTTGATAGAACCAAATTGATAACGTTAACGTCCTTCCCATATCTCTGGCATAACTTTCCTATTGCAAATGTATATCCTACATTCACAATTCAGATAATTACTGTGCTGTTAGTGGTCATGTACCGACTCTTCCCCGAGGCCGCGTTTATAAGGCAATTAAAATGCGCATGATAAATCAACGACGTAAATGTTTTTATTGCATTGTAATTTAACATGATATTTGATTGTACGGTATATAGAAGCATTATATATATCCTCCCAACTTGTAGAAGTTAAGTTTTATTTCCTCATCTACTTGAGACTTCATTTACTATCTTATTCTTTCTCTTCTTTTTCAATTTCAAAAGAATGCCAAGAGGCTTTCGAATTGTTCGATAAAGCCGCAAACGGAAAAGTTTTCATTAACCAGGTTGGCGACATCATCAGGTCACTAGGCAGAAATCCCACGAACGCAGATATCTTGAAAGTCCTCGGCAATCCAAAGAAAGAGGGTGATTTCTGAGTGACTGCTTGCTCGTTAAACATCACCAACACTTTGCTTCCGTTCACTTCATTCTTTCACTTCAAATGCTTTTGAATTTTCTAGTTGCTCTCAATTCTTATCCAAACTGGAACGCTTCTGATGCAGAAAAGTTTACTTCATCCCGAGAATTCTCTTTTTTTTTCGATGAAGTATTTTCCATTTATCGCGAGGAGAACAAACGCAAATATGACTGTTTTAATATTAGTGAAGTTATAATTCCGAGATACTCCTATAATATTGATAATAGAAATGTTCTAAATACCTGCACAATATTATTAATTGATATATATTTTTTGCTTGCCTCCTTCGTACATATTTATTCACGCACATTCACTTCTCATTTGTTCAATAAAACATTCCACAAATACAACACATTTCGCCTTGCTTGGCATTTCCCATGAAATTGAAGATTGTCAAGAGACTTTCGCCATGATGGACACGACCGGTAATAACAAGATCGCGATGAACATGGTCGGTACACTCTTTAGAGCTCTCGGACAAAATCCGACGGAAGCTGAAGTCTCAAAAGTTTTGAATAATCCCACTACAGATGGTAATGTTGTATTTTTTGAAACCAATTTTTAATTTTTTTTGTTTTCAACCGAGATATAAAAAACATACCCGGTTCAACTACGTTGTGTGTGGCATGCCTGTTAGATAGCGCTACCATTATTAATCGTTGAAATATTAGATCTGGACTATTTTTTGAACAAAGAATTTTCACGCTAGACAGTGCTTGCAGCATGCTATATTGTCAATCCAACTTCAAATGTCATTACGATCTCATTATTAGTCACATTTAAAATCGAATCTAGTGAGAAATAGAACACCATAGTAAAATGTTAAAATAACTTTGTAGATCTCGCAACGAAAGATGTGAGCTTCAGCGAATTCTTGCCAATGCTTGCACAAATCGAACGACAGACAGAACGGGGATCATATGAAGATTTCGTTGAAGGCCTTCGTGTTTTTGACAAAGAGAACAACGGCACTGTCATGGGAGCAGAACTTAGGCATGTCTTATCGACACTCGGTAAGTTCACGCAAATATATACATTTACAGTATTAACATTTATATAATTACGTATTTTCCTTTTTAGTTTCTCGATTGTCACAGTGATGATAATTTCTTTTTGTTCCATTCGCTGATGCCGTTTCGTTCGCTTAAAGTTTTTTTTATCCTTTTTCAAGGTGAGAAAATGTCAGAGGAAGAAGTTGAAAGCCTTTTACAGGGACAAGAAGATGCCAATGGTTGCATCAATTATGAAGGTAAATCAATTTTTTGGCTTCTAACAAAAGCGCTGCAAGATACATGTATTTAATTTTACACGGCCTATATATAACATTCTTAGACACCTTATTCGTGAATATTTATTCTTTTTTGAAGGAGTGACTATTTTGGAAGATCCTGTTTAGATAATTTATGAAACCCGCAAAATCTTTTCTAGTATCCTGAAATAAATTTGCTGTTGGGCTACATCATGTTTAAACTATTTTTCTATATTATTTAGCATTCATAAAAGCTGTCATGGAAGGATAAAGTATCAATTTTAAATGTAAATAGACAATAGTCCTAGAAAATGGTGCACACATATGTCGTTGTAGTTTAGTGCAAAATGTCTCAACTCCCATACTAACGGACTTTACTTCATCTTATCTGATTCACTAAACTACACTAAACACCCACGCGCTGCTCGTTTCTTCAATATTTTATTATTATCTTCTACAATACGGTAAATTGATGAACAAAACAGACGATTGTGCCTTACTATCGTATTTTTGGTACGTTTGGAAACTGTGTGTTAAAAATTGTGATCAAAATCATCCTATAAACACTCTTTCCTTTTCCTCTTTTTTCCCATTCTGCAATATGTTTTCTCAGCGTTCTGCAAGTATGTTCTGGAAGGATAGGAATCATATTTTTTCTCTTTTTTCTCCGTTTCAAAAAATTCTTTCTTCGGTAAGTCTTTTCGCCTATTTCATTCAGTCTTTTCGATTGTTGTGGTTCAATCATTTATAAATTCAAACTCACAAAACGCATTTGTCTCATAACTTAGAGGTTTTCAATAAATATCACTATCAACACCACTAACAAACTAATCGACTAACTATGTGTAGATTTCGTGAAAACGGTGTGCAGTGGCTGACAGTTTGTTCGCCGAAGATAAAGGAGATATTTGGACGTCATTTTTGTATAAAATGTGAGACGCATAGGAGTTAGGAGCATATATAATTTGGAACAATTTAGTTTCTCAATATCTCGGATAATTTTTATTTTTCATGATTTATCAATTATTATGTTTCGTTGATGTAAACTTGATTCAGTGTAGTAGTCTTGTCATTTTTGATCAAGTCGCACTGTCTCAGTGTCAACAAAATAAGAATGATTTAATCAAGTGAAACCAAATTTTGCATGGGGCATGTTTTCCACACAAGTTCAGGTTTTCCAAAGTCAAATCTATCACTGTCAAAATTTATGACAGTCAATTTTTTTAATCATTGGTAATATAAATGTTTGAAAATCTGGATATTTTTCCTGCAGCAGTTTTTTGCTATCAAAACCGATCGAACATGGCTAGGGCTAATATATAATCTCGTAATCAATGTAATTCTAACATTCATGATTATAATGTAACATGCATGTGGTATTTTTAATCATACTAACTGTAATTTAATTATTTATTAGTCCTAAATTTCCGTTTGTGACATGTCGTGATTTAACTAATCGGAAATTGGTAATGTATCCGGGCAAATCCGTCATATGGCGATTTCGAATATCGATTAATTCGAGTCAATTTAGTGTTTTGTTTGTAATGTAATTTAGAATTTAACAATTTTTTGCACGTTCCTATAATCAGAAAGTGCGTTATCTGTCGCATCAAGTCACATTAATTGTGAGCAGTGTCCTGCTGTATTTGTAAAGCTGAAAAAGGCTTGAATGGTGGCCTAAGGCCAGGATAGGTCGTTCCCCAAGCGATCTATCTGTCATTGGTTCATGCGTTCAATTAATTGCCTTAATAGCTTGCATTTATCAATTCCCCGGCAAAGAGCTTTGATTTGATAACTGGGAAAATATTATCTGTCTGTCAATGCTTGACAAGTTTTCAATTAATCCCATAATGTTGAATAGCGTACTTGAAATTTCTGCTTACAGATAGGCTCTGATTATGATTTATAGTGTTTGCAGAACGCTTTCTCAGTAAAATAAAGGCGAAGGCGTTGTTTCTTGTCTACTTACAAGTTTTTGTGTAAATGGCATACATTTTTGATTCGTCGTGGCTTATATTCTTTTTTTTTCAGCATTCGTTAAGCAAATTTTAAACGGTTAACCAATCAACAACCTGGACGGATTTTAAATTTGAATATACTTGGATCACCACCACTTATGACGAATGGCCGCTTGCTATGGACGTTCTTGATGACTTCAGCTTTACCCTTTTTGTTTGTGTCATATATACGAGATTTTACTCCGTGTCTTCAGCATCTTGCATTTGGTTTATTTATACGAAGTTGTAGTTTCGGTTAATATAGCATTTAAGTTTGTGTGTTCTGAATCTGAGCACGACATAAATGAAATAGCACTTTCGCCTATGGTATTTGTGTCTGTTCTATATCTCCTATTATCAATGATTGTAGTAATGATTGTATAATACAAATTTTATCGATTGGACGAATGTTTCTTTATGTATCACCACACTATCGGGCCACGTAAGACTCGTTCGCCATTCCTAATAAGGACCCGCGGCTGTTATCGTATGTCGTAATGTTGTGGTATTTTAGGAAAGGAATTCCCGAAAGGGTTCGGCGTGCCTGCATCGTGTATATTGTGCAGATATGAGCGCTGAGTCCAATGCAAGAGCGACGTGACTTGCTTTTGGTTTGTCGAGCAATTGCCTTTAACTTGCGTTTTGGTCTGGTTACGGCTCGACTATACTGCGTTTATAATCATTCCCTTCATAGGATCACTAACCCTGGACGTCTGCAACAGTTCACATAAACGTATGCAGCAAGTAATAATTTATTGTCGCAAGCCCAAGGATAATTTTGCCATAGTTATTAGGGGACTGAAAGTAAATTTTCAATTATTTTTCGGAGCCAGCGTATGTGATCGGTTGGCTGACTTTAGACTTAGCGGCCCTAAAACAACTCGCTGGTAGTACTTCGTTAATGACAGAAGTTCATGAAAAAAAATATCGAAAATTTTTCTTTAACAATATGTAAATAGCCAGGATCTGACGGTTTCCAGAGATTGGTGATCGAAAACTTCAATGGTAGGTAAGTAAATAGGGTCATTTTTATCAAATCTGCAGAATAACCCGACACGGTATTAAAACTGTGGAATCAGCAAATAGAAGTCACATCAGGTCCGTGGCATAGTCCTGGCGCGGTCAGCGCCCAATATTCTGCGTTGTTTAAACCAGTGGTCGGCAACCTTTTTTCGGTGACGGACCGGTAAAGCCTGACCAAGATGTTGGCGGATCACCTTGTACAGACGGAATAAGCTTATGTAATAAATTATATGTGTTAGGATTAGGCTTGCACGTAATTGACAAAAATCAATTCCGTAATTACGGCCAAATCGATTACGTAATGACCCCGTAATTGCGATATTTTTTCACACATTTAAACTTATCATAACAACAAATTGAATCCACTTTATTTTCGATTGGGACATCGAGTTTGGGTTTTCATATTCCTGGCAGTACTACACGCCTTATCATTACCGACACTGGTATACGGATATTTATGAAACGATAGTTGACTTTTTTAAAATTGTATTAAAAAAATGACGGGTTTCCAATTTATCAATGCCACGACGAGCGTATTTTCTCGTTTGATTGTACTTGCGCTTGCCTCGCGACGAAGACATGTTATTGCACCGTTTTTAACATTATTCGACTTTACTACCTAGTCAGCATTTTATAATAATTATTGATGCCAACTTATTGACGTTATTCCGATTACCATGCTTCATTTTACATTAAACCATTTCGCGGCCTAAATGCTGTAACACTATTTGCAACAAATTTAGATCAAATATTAATTATTTGCGCATAATTTAAATACCGTACTTATATGATATTGCTTTTCCGAAAATACAAAGTTATATCGCAAAACAATGCATTTTGTGACATTTATTTTGCACTCACGAAAAAATTAACTTATTTTTCTAACTCAAATCGACGATCCTATCAGCCAAGATTGACACAAATTTGGTCGAGTGTCGGTGGTTTTTAATAATCAAAATAAGTTGCCGCATTTGGTAAAGACAGTTAATCATATTTGGCCGAAATATTGCGAAGCATTGTGAAAATATATTGAGCAGGGACTAGTCCGGACTGATATAAAACGATGAAACCGGTAACAGAACATCAAGGTTTTGTAATTGGAAATGGTTCTCGCACAGAATAAACACACTGGCTCATACTTGATATTTGATAGTAGTTAAATTGGGAATATTGAACTGTTAAAAACAAAAAAACGATAGTCGAAATTCTTAAATCTCGTTGCCTTGGGTAAATATAATCCAATGATCAGGACATTTTCAATTAAATACTGCACAAAGATAGTTATACATTAAACATTTAGGCTACAATTTAGCTTTTTTTTAAATTTCAATCATGCATTGTGGTGGAGAAATCCCACTATTTAAATACGGTAACTATAAAAATAGAATAGGATTCTGGATTCGATTTAAATATTCTAAAACAGTGGTTCTCAACCGCCGGTTCGCGAACCGTCAACGGTCCGCAAAGGATTTTTACCGGATCGCGGGAAATCCCGTCATATTGTTGTTTCTCTGCCGTCTCAATCGCTTTACCGATGCCGAAAAGACGAAGTTGCGTTGGTTCATTACGCAATTTCTCTTCCGTCGTCATATTGCTGTTTGATAAGCGCGACATTAATTATCACGGTGACGTATTGGCAAGAGAGAGAAAAGTGAGAAAACGGCTGCAAATACTGAAGCTCTAACTTCTTCTACTTTTTAAACTTTCACTTTTTACAATCGACGGAATTGCCTGCTTTGAAGAGAGCTCGTTTCAATCGCGAAAGCGCTTGACCAATAATTACGACTTTACGTAATTCGTAACTTCCCTTCCGTAACTCGAAATAATTCCGTAAATTACGTGCAAGCCTAGAGGATAAATAGGTTGATATTAAATTCAGAGAATAAAGGTGATGTTATTCAAGTAATGTGTTTTCTTATGTTCAGCCTACTGCGATTTTGTAGTTGTCAATTTTAGAAAACCCGACTTCACATAGATGTAAAAATGCCTGTAAAGTTTTTTTGCAATGCCGGGGTATTCAGTTAGTAGTATTGCCCAAAAGACTGCCGAAGTACCCTATAAATCGCAAAGACTCTTTTCAACTAATTATTGTTTGAGTTGTTAATCAACTAAACTTGTTATTAGGACATTGTCCGTCTTTTATGCCACGTTTCTGCGGACCGGTGGTAACCTTTCCGCGGCCCGGTGGTTGCCGACCACTGGTTTAAACCTTTCGTTTTAAGCATTTTGTGTCCCATGCGCGACTGTTACGGATTTAATATGCTTGATCCAGGTACAAATCTGATCATCCATCGTTCTTCTCATATGTTCGTTCTTAAGCACGGCTTTGGTCGCCTCTGGTGCATCTGGTCTCTCCGGGTTTAGGTGTGATGAGTACAATCTCCTATACTCCTGGTAGCAAGTCAAGTGAGATTCTCACAGATTTCAAGTCCTAGCCATTGTAGTTAATTTTTGTAAATTTGAAAAACTCTACCACTTCAAACATATAAAGAATATTATTACTTCTGTGCGAGCTGCCTGGGTGAATAGAGTACGCCTCTTGTCTTGACGCAATTTTTTGAAATGTTTATGACGCCACAACGCATTTTACAAATGCCTATTTATGACGTCGCTGTTAAAGAGGAGCCTTACAACCTTTTTTTCTTTAGACGACCGCTTCACGTTTTTGTAAAAAGTCTACGGCCGCCAGCGGGATCAAAAACTATATTTATCAACTATAGAATTGGTATTTATTGATATATTTTATTTTAATGAATACGAGATTCGTATGAATACGAGATTCGTATTTGCATTTAAATTCGACCCTGACTGTGACCAATGATCATAGTGACTAACGCTTGCTTTCCACAAACAAGAAATTTTCCTTTCATATCAAGTTGAAAAATGTGTTTGAATTGGTCAATTTGGTATTGTACGCAATTTTTTTTAAAACGTTTACCGCATTTTACATGTGTCTATTTATGTCGTCATGTGTGATATTATGCCATATGACGTTTTCGTCAAAAAGAGGTCTTATAAATACTATAGCTTAGCCTAAGAGAGTCTTATTTGTTCATCATTTGTTAATTTATTCACATATAGCTTATACTTTATCAATACGCGGATTCAGCCCGAAGAAACTTTTTTCAGAAGTAGTAGAAAGTCTGCTGAATGTTTGAAACAGTGGCGTAGCATCCACCCCCGCAACCCACAGGGGCCCAAGCGGTTAGAATTTAGAAATTTAAGCCGCAAAACCAAACGTTGCATTGCAAAACCAGTAATGCACATCTCATAACGTTGATGTTAGTTCTGCTCAAATCGTTTTGTTACGTAACAATGCCAGGGAGTCGTCGATTTTCGGCGTCTTGTGGCTTGATCGCACGGGCAAAATTACGAAGGCTGTCAGAATGATGTCGAAAGCAAAACCTCTAAGTGGCGCACAGAAGAGAAAGCACGTATGAAAAAATTAAAGTAACCAAGATAAACGGCAAATTTTAGGTTACCATTGCCTTTTAATAGCGACATGTTATGCTTTTTGACGAAACAAAAAAAAACGTTGTTTTAGCTCATGTCCGAGAGTTTTTAAGTTCATTTCCACAAAATATTTTTGCGGGGGGGCCACGAGAGTCTTGCTACGCCACTGGTTTGAAACAAGCAAAAAGCACATCTCCTGTGTGGTGTCTCTATTTGTTTAGATAAATTTATTCGTTCAGATGAATAAATAATAGTATTTCGGATTATCCTTTACAAGAAGCAACGGGAAATAACACTTTTTATAGACAATGGTTTGGCTCTGCTATTCCTGTAGGCTACTATACATATTATGGTATTCAATTATAATCTTGATACAAGCATATGGAATTGCAATGTGTACTTACTACAACCTAACTTATACAATTGAATGTGAATTCAGAAAAGTTGACATAGCGCTTATTAAAAATAAAAAATATTATGTCGGCGCAGACAGAAAACGAAGCAATATACGTAAAAGAAACCACGATATCACTGATGCAGAATTCTGCTGCGTTTCGATTTTCATACAAACTAATTTGCAATCAAAGCTAATTAGTGTAAACATATCATCATTTAATCGAATGCCAGTTGAAGTGGTCTGTCGCCATCTACAGTCGTAGCGAGGTAAACAATTTGACCAAAACACATGAAAAAGCGGTCCCTCCCCTTCTTGTATAATGTACAATAATGCAAATTAAACATACGGCGTAGTATGACTTCCGAAGGTCTATGCATTGGTGAGGGTAACTTTTCTAAGAACTAAAATTAATCGGCAAGGCGCGAATGCAACATGCGTACCATTATTTAAATTTGCCCAAAGCATCCAAGGATTGATTAACATATTATAATAAAGTGAATTTTCCTCAAGAATTATCGTCATATTATGTATCCCATTGTTCAGAGAAACACCTTTATATTACACTTTTATATAACGAGCTATATACACTTTGTGTCATGCATGGCTTAATGTTTAAAATTTTCAGACACTTTTTGGTAAAAATTAAAATGTTCATTGAAATTATATATCGATTGAATAATATTCAGGCGATTCTTAATTTAATAAATAACGTTGACATTACATTGAACAATAAATGTTTGTTCATTCCAATTACGGACGCCTAAACGTATTTCATACATTAACTTCAGTAGTGCCCGAGATTAGAATGGAAAGTTTGTGCTATGTTTCATTGTGATGCTTATCTTTTGAAATTTTTTATCGTCCACCAATCACGGCTAATAGTAACCACCAATAATAATATTAGAACGATAAATTTGATAATATAACATCCGCATTGCAATCGGCCATTCGGACACTTGCGATAGATAATCACCTTTGCGGATATTATCCAAAACCAACTAGATTTAAAAATCGAAATTTAGGTATTTTATTAACGGATTGCCGTTAATATTTTTAGGGTCAGGCCTTAATTTTTATTCAGATTTTCCTTATTTTAGATTTATGACGAATCGGGGACTGTCTCTGTTAACTAAGTGAATATACCCCCTGTCCATAGGCTTCAGTACCTTTACACAATTAGATGTAAAATGGGCGAACAAAATTAGTTACCTCCATATCGGTACACACACTTTTGGAACGTCCAATGTTTTGTTGTTATTGAAACCTTCGGAAGTATAATAAAACTAATTGTACGAAATAGTTTACAGACATTTTTAAAAACAACGCTTTACGAAGCAAGGTATTTAATCTATAGCGCTTAATACGCTATTACACGATCTCATTCGCAGCGCATTGAAAGTGTTATTTTTCAAGTATAAGTCATGTGACCGGCGTAATGGCTTCGTAGCCAAAATTCTTGTGATGAACGAAGAAAGCCAATCCGTGGGACATTTCCTGTGCACAACACGTGTTCACTTCCTCATTAGTTCACACTTAAATCTACACGTTGTACAAGATTCGAAGGCGCGAAACAAATGTTTGGATTTTAAAATCCCGGATTTCACAGGTTCCACAACGATTATGGTGCACAGATAAAAGTTTATCCATGAAACTAGTATGATAAGTAAAATATGTATTAACCACGGTGGCTCCTAAATTTTATGGGGTTCGCGTTAACACGATTCACCAAATATTAATTTGCGTTGTTTCTCAAATTTACTGAAACCCAGTAATATATACGAAAACATAAAAAGAAGGATACAAATATTAGTAATTACATTTTTGAAAATTTCCTATAGTCTTCAACTGTTATATCACTAAATCTGAAATTCGAAGAGAGAATGCCTAAACACTGAATCTTGAAATAGACAACAGATTTTATTATCGTTAATCGGTGTTATTAATAATAAATTAATTTGCCAATTGTGGTCCGTAATTTGGACATCTCATTAAATTAACCGTGACCATATTGCTAATTTAGTATTTCAATTATATCCTTTATTTCACTGAAATCGAATTAATTTTTCACTCTAGACTAAAAAATATATCATATTCTGAACTCGCTAGACAGCCCAACTCAGAACCGGTAGTTAAAATATCACACGCTTATTCGATAGTTTTTGTGTTTGCTTAGGTATTGTATGGGGCATTAACGAGAGGGCCGTCTGCAACAATTTAATGAGCGTGCAAGAGTGTTATTTTTAAAGCGCGTGCCAGACCGAAGAGAAGAAGTCTCGTATATATATAAATATTTCGTTGTGTGGATAGGCAGTTCATCAGACAACAAGAGTAGACACAACAGTTTAATATAGTTGTAATATCCATTAGATATTTCTAATATGAATATTAAACTACTCTGCTTGTTTATATTTTCGTTACCAAATAATATTGCGGGATTCTTCCCCTTGAAAGCGGGAAGTTTTGAACAGTCAGGCAAAATCGGCAAAGGTACGTATATGGTGATTTTCATACGAAATATACAGTTAATTTAAGTTTGTTTTATACGAACGTAGTAGGTAGTGTAATATGTATCGGATTTGGTAGTTTAATCAGTAAACTAAGAAATATAATTGAGTCAAAGAACGACGTCTTACTGAATCAAATTGAAAGCACAAACAGCATTGATACCGTTACGTTTACCGCGTTTTAGTCAGTTTTTGAGATATTTACTTTACTATCGACAGTTTTGCATAAAACAGAGAAGTATCTAACAAGTTAATATTGCATTATTCAATTCTTTCTTCAGGTTGCACGTTTGGAGATCAACACCATTCTGTTGGGTCGTCTTGGCATCCTAACCTTGGCTTTCCATTCGGTGTTATGTATTGTATCAGATGCGACTGTGTTAAAGTAAGAATTTCATTGATGTAATTTAATTATGTTAGTTTGTTTTATTTTGGAACAAAACTAATTCCTAAACTGCTATAAATGTTAAGATTGCATGAACCTGGTAAAATTGGGTTAGAAACATTCAATATATATGCTTTCGTTGCAGATTCATACCGATAACCGAAATGGAAAAGAAATAACAAAAGTGGAATGTCATGATGTAAGGAAAGATTGTCCTGAGGTTACTTGCAAAGGAGCTAAAGTACAAAGAGGAGATTGCTGCAAAACCTGTCCCGAAGGTAAGGATTTAAAATAGCTTATTGTATATATCACCAAGCTTGATTTTGAATATACTATTATATATTCATTTATTTGTATATGTTTTAAAATCCATTTTAATTGTCAGAAGAACAAGACGATCAAAGTCAAGCAATGTCACAATCGGATCGCCTGAAATCAGAATCTAGTTTTTTTGAGAAAACTTTGAATGACGAAGAAACTGAATCGGATGAAAGTTCACCAACAAAGAGTGAGAACGTTTAATATATCGCAAAGAATAGTTATTTTTGTCACAAGAAAAAAAAAGTGAAAGTGAATATATACTAGCTATTGTGTGCATAATCAGTTGAGGAAGTCACCGAAATCAAATAGTAAAATTCGCTTTATTGATAAATCGCTTTTATAGTACATTTCATTAAACCTTATATTTCATCACAGAGTATGTTGCACTTTTGACTACGAATGAAGATCAACTCACTGGGTATCTTGCAAGAGCGACTTTTTCACTTCATCGAGGAAACTTGCATTATTCAGTTCACCATTCCAAGTATGTTCCAGTTCGTGCGCATATGATCATGTATATTGCAGAATATATTCGAAAATTCAAAACATATTTTATTTTTGTAGATATTCAAGACCGCGTTTGGTCCAACTCATCAACAACGCAGGCGATGTGCTTTTCACCCACGAAACAAAAATAAATAACGAGTTTCGCCCTATCGTTTGTGGAGTGAGTATTTGTTCCCGAACTTATGATATTAACTTAGACTGATTTTTCCTGATCATTATAATGATTAATATTATTCCGAGCTGAGAGAAACAAGGAACTTTTTAATGCCTGGTTCGTGGATTGACGTATTCTAATGTTTCAATAAATTTTAATTTGACCCACGTCGGAATTTCCTTTTGAATGTGGGAATCATGTATATCATTAACAATGACGTATATATAACAAAATCAATTTATTTATTCAGGTATGGAGAAATTTGCCTAAAAACATATTGCGTTCACTTGACGAAGGATCTCTTTCTTTGAAACTGACATTAAAAAGCGCAAGAATTTCGCTTAACAATACACAATCCCACCACAGACAAAAAACGGAAGCCTCAATTGAGAACGAGTACGCGATTGGTTCAATCCAGGCACATCGAGCCCTATATTCAGGTAATATAAAATAATTGTATTCTGTGCGAAGTATGTGACAAACAAAATCTCATATTTTATTTTATTTTTTATTAGAAACGTTCAGTTCCTTGCTAAGTTCAGAGGCAGAAGGAAGTGGCGGAGCAATAGTCATGTTAACAATGAGTAGGAACTTCAAAAGTATCAACTACGCAGTGCTATTCAGGTGAGACTTTACATTTCAAAAAATCCATTCAGCATTCTATGTCAAAATATTCGACATAGGAATACATCCGATTTTCAGTTAGGAAAGTTATTGCTTGAGCTATACCTCATTGTAATATCTTTTATTAGAAACATTGCTTTGGATAGTGGACGACGTCGAAAAACAGAACAGACAGTTCATATCAGCGTGGAACTACGCAACCAGAATGGAGACGTATTGAGAAAATCTGAAAAGAAAGTACCAGCTTCGGTAAAATATATATTTGAAATTACTCTGTTACTTTTATAATTCATAACATGTTCATTTGTTAGTTTATTGCGAATGTTATAAACGCGAATCATGTATATATATACTAATAACTAATTTTTTTTGTATATTCATAGCAAACTGAATATGCAGACGTGTGGAACACAAATTCCGACATGCTACGCTTACTTGGCAAAGGTGCTCTTTATTTGGTCATAGAAGGGCAATCTGGAAGGAGAGGAACAAAAAGCCGTTTCACGGGGAACATCACTACTGTAGCAACTTGTGATTGTGAGTCGTTTGTGCTTGAAATCAATATCTTGAGGCTTAGATTATATATACGATCAAACTGAGAAAAAGTCACTCTTTTTGCTAAATTTATCACTGCTTTTTCTTTATCATTCACTCATTTCAATATACTAATTGTTTTTTTATTTGATTTTCAGTAATTCAAGCAGTCATGTCCGGAAGCAACTGCGATCCACCAACGGACACTGGTGCTGTTGGATCCGCCATTATCCACATCAATCCAGACAATTCAGTATCTTATGATGTGAGAATATTTATTATGTATTCATATTGTAGACAAACACAAAAGGCAATTAGAGCGTCATTAAAAACCTTGTGATAACTAACATTAGTTTTAACTTTTGAGTGTCGGAGAATCGGCGCTTACCGTTCTTTATAATACTATTTTATATGAAAAACAATCTTCCTACTTCAGTAGGATTTTGATGCTGCACTGCAACTTGGCCAAAATTATAATTCATTACTCGTGTATTAAGGTCACACTATCTGGAATCTCAAGCCCTGTAAAGTCACTACAGATGACGGCATTTTATCGCAAACGAAGTCGGGTGATAACAGATTTGACTGCCCAATACCGCGATGGGAAAGCAGTAGGGCTTCTCAAAGAAATATCTGCAAAAGAGGTGAGCATTTACTATTTTGAAGAGAATCTATCTGTAATTGTTAAAAGTACACAACCATTGTGTGATATGAATCATTGTGCTTGTATTTAATGATTTTATTTATTACTAATTGAACACCTTGCGATTACTTTTAGCTGCATCTTCTTTTGAACAACGAAGCAAGGATTGAGGTATCTACCGAAGAACAAACAAAGTGCGAACTTCGCGGGAACATTGCCTTGCTGTTATATAGCGGTCATCTAGCACGTTACCAAGGTACATTTTGTGCTATTTGAACACTTCTGTACATCTTTACTTCTATAATTTCAAGACTGGAACCCACAAACGCGTGCATTCATTTCAAAAGGTGTCAACATTAAATATTGCGAAGTGGGACACGTTCAATAATATCGGGAATCGAGAAAAAACATGATCTACATAGTTAGGAATACTAAAAACACATTCTTAATTATATTTTGCAGGCTTGCCTATTCATCTGTACGGATCACTCGTTGTACCGCCGGTACAAACAGGCGCTGGTGGTCACGCTTGGGTTCACCTGGATGAGGAGTGTCGTTTGCATTATGAAATTGGTTCGTAAAACTGCTTGTTTTAATTATTAAAAAATAATTCATATTCTGTGACATCGTGAAATAAACGATAAAATATATTTTACAGTTGTATCAGGTCTTAATAAAGATATTGATCCATCAGTGGCCGCTCATTTACACGGACTTGCTGAAATTGCGGGACTGGAACCAGCGCATAAGAAACTGTTGAAGGGATTTTATGGAACTGAGGTGAGAACGAATTCATTCATTTCTTTAGAGCCCCTCAAAACATTGTGCAAATTGAGAAATAAAATTTTATTCAACAGGCCAGAGGAATTTTGAAGGACATTCCCGACGAATTATACCAGATCATGAACAATGGTTCGGCATTTTTGCAGGTAAAATTCACTCTTTTTTCTTTAATCAATAAGCTCAAGACAATAGGAAACGCCGGTATCAGTTCTGAGACAATACTAGAATTAAAAGTATTATTTTTAAGGTTGCAACTAAGAGGAATCCGTCCGGCGAAATAAGAGGAAGGTTCCGTATTCCAAACAAATGTGTGGGAACTTCTGTGGGTTCTACAGCTGATCAAGGTTTGTATGTTTGATGATATTATTCGTTACGTTCTCTGGAAAAATGCGTTTTCTTCTGCATTGATGCCATCGTTCCTTTTTAAAATGATGCTTTTATGCAAATTAGATTGTAGCCTACCAAATATACATAAAATACCTAGTACCGATTAAATAAGTATTTCTTTCTCCTGCTATTTCAGAACTTCTTTCTGGTCACTTGAAACATGATACTGCCGTTCATGACGAATCGATACCGCAACGCGTGGTTTCTGCCAAAGAGCGAATAGAAGCTGATGCAAAATCGTGCCACTTTGAAGGAAGATGGCATAGGCATAATTCCAATTGGTCGCCTCTATATGATGAGAAATGCACAACTTGTATTTGCGAGGTAACATTTTTTTTAAATAAAATCTGACTTATTTCTGCAATAGGGTAGCAAAATGAGGGAGTACAGATGGCTGGAAAACCATATAGGTTTCAGTCACATGAAATTGATTTCCATATATATACAATTATTTATATAGATAGAAGGCTGTTTGTTGTTGTTGGGTTTAACTAAGACAATTTATGTTCTCAGTTTGGTAACGTGCTCTGCAATCCAGTCGTCTGTCCGTCTCTATCCTGTCGCCGTCCAGTTATTGTTGAAAACGAATGTTGCCCAGTTTGCGATGACGGATTTTCAAGTTATATGGGGAAGCCCGAAGAGGACTCATATACGTTTGGTGAGTTGAGTGTAGTAGTTTAGTCTTAATAGTTGGTGATTTTATTTATGAATCAAATTTAACACAAACATTTTTAGATTCTCTATTCCGACATTCCAACACGAAGTTTCAAACTGAAAAACCAAGACAAGAGAAATCATACGTGAAAAACATAGGTATTTATTTCAATATCTTCAATTTGCATTCAATTATATTTTCTTGTTCATATTTTTTACAGGTTTTAAGCGACCTCCTAAGTATATGCATCAAGATTGCGAACAACTTGAACATAGTACGTGTACCAGGTTAGGGTTCAGGCTATGCGACATCTTGGTGCACATACTTCAGGAGCACCGTTTTAAGTATGTATGATGGGAATAACACTGTTTGTTATTCACTTCAACTTGGCTCTTTGAAATTATCTGTCTTCTATTGTAATCATTATAAAAATTGAGGTATTGAAATTCTTTTTTTCTTATTCTACAGGAGGATGCCAACAGGACGGAGATCCCAGAATTCACTCCAGAGGGTCATCTTGGAATCCATTTATTCGACCTTTCGGCCACGTCAAATGTGTTACATGTACATGCAGTCATGATGATAAAGTAACTTGCGAAAAAGTCACGTGTCCATCAACTCCATGTGCAAACCCGATTCGTAAACAGTCAGGGGATTGCTGTAAAGTTTGTCCAGGTAAGGATATAAACTTATAATAATTCCCAAGGTCGGATTTGTCATTTGGCAAGGCTGGCTGAAGCCTAGAGGCCTCAACATTCATAAGACGTTTTCAAATGGTAAATGCTTGTTCCATAATAAAACCGGTCAAACTTCATAAAACCGATAATTTCAATTTTTTAATCAGGTTATTAATTCTTTTCCCAAACATTTACCGTGTAAAAGGTTAGAAAACTAAAATTGGGTCAAATAAATGAATTTGTCTCAATTTGAAAAACTCCACCTCTGAACTACCTAATTCAGATTAGTTTAACAGTTTTGCTTTTATTTTTTCAAAAAGATGAGAAAATAACGATATATAGCTGTATTCATCTAAATTCTAAGTAAACAACGAATCAAGTATTATATTTTTCACTATTACGGGTTTATTTTAATAAATAGGAACCCGTTTATTTGAAAAAAATGAATGACAACTTTACTTGCCAGTAGTTAGGCCTAGGGATGGGACGAGTCCGGCATTACAGAGATTCGACGAATCCGAGTAATAGGTCAAGGACTCGAATCGAATCCTCCGTGTCCGTGACGTCATAATGTAAAAGTAGAAAAACACGTTTTTGACCATACTACGGCATCGCGCGCTCACAAACATACGTCGTAGCTCTTATTTTTGTCCTAATGGTTCCACAGATAGCTGTTGAATCAATTTAAAAAATTTAATTTTTAAATTTATTATGTCACGTGCGCAAATGGCAGATAGATGCCACTCTCTGTATTTACAATGCTTGCAATTTAGTAGTTCATGTAAACGTTCTAAAACGCTCCATGCTTTCCATTGCTCTTTTTTTTAGTAAAAAGACTGCACGTAATAAACTCTATTTAAAAGAGATATTGATGAAATTCTCCCTAGGGTTGATTCTGCACATGTTTCATATTCATTTACGCGAATCAAAATTCAAAAATATTTTATTTATATTTAAACATATTTTATTGTGTACCACATGTATACCAAAAGGGATAGATAGTTTGAAGGCGAGTGCCGCATCATTGTTATAAGCTATCAATAATTTTTAACTTGCGTTATATTATCTGAATATCTGTCGTCGTTTTTATTAGGAGTGTTTATAATACACACGAGTGATATAGTCACATAATATCTAACCTTGAGTTTAAACTAGTTAAGATATGTAGTGAGATTTATAGGGGTAAAAGTACAAACATAGGCGTAAATTAGTAAAAACAGAATTGGTTATAGACTCGGTAAAAACGACGTGGACTCGAAATCGAATCCGAGTCCAAAAAATGCCTGGATTCGACTCGAATCCGAGTCCGGATCCGAATCCCGGCCCATCCCTAGTTAGGCCACGCGATCGAGAATGTAGGCTAATAAATTTACTTTCTTATACAACATTGAGTATACAACAAAAATCAATGATAAACCTTGAAGCGGTTGAGCTACATGAATTGTCGTCAAAATATTTTGTATTTTACAATCTCCGTCGAGATACTAAATATTCATCACTTCAGGTCCTCTCAAGTCGCAACGCGGTTTCCCTTTTTCGAGAGATTCGGGCTGGATGCAGGACGGGACGAGTGAAGGAATGTGTTCATTTGGACGCGAACTTTATTCGGTTGGGTCAACTTGGAGGCCAAATGTACACCTTGTCGGAAAAATAAGCTGCCTTACATGCACGTGCGAGGTAAGACCAAATCTTAACTATTGCATTCGCTGAATAACGATGTGAATGTGCCCTTTATGGTAATTTATGTTAAATTTATTTTCAGAGACACCCGGAAAAGGGCGTAACAAGAAAATGCGTTCGGAAGTGTCAGAAGACTTCGAACGATGCCAGAGAATCTTTTTTAAATTTATCGTCTTTCAGAAGGTGAATAACGAATTTTACAAGATTTCCCAGCGAATCATTGACGTCGGAATCACATGAAGTTATTACGATTCAAATGTAATTGAGCTCACAAGTGTTTACCAAACCGCTCGCCTGAGCAGGCGTCGACGGGGTACTCACTCCATAAACTGTCCCGGGTTGCTTACGATTCTTGGTACAAATGAATGGACATTTGTAGAATCTGAAACTGTGTGAAATTTCACTGAATCATTAGGAGTCGTCACTAATAGTAGCTCACTCAAGTTTGTTTAGATTCTGACAATTACAAACTAATTCAGAGAACACATAAAAACTTACTTGCAGTATCCCTTTTGGGCCATACTTCTGTTCTCTCGGTTGTAATGGACACAAAAAAACAGTACTAGTTATGTATATGTGATTTAAACTTTTATAGAAGTTGTTATTACCTTTAACCTTTTGATGTTTATTGACTGATTTAATTTGCGGTTTCTCCGTTACTTTTGTATCTGTTAAATCTTCCGCACACGGTATGTAACATTTTACTTCTACCGTGTTTTTAAAAATATTAGCATCGTTTGTTCACCTTTGTATGCTATAACAATGACGTTTATACCAGAGCGTGATCGAGGGAGTGCTAAATGATTTTTAGGTTAGGCTAAAGTATGGGCAGAAACTTCGGGTGGAGCGCGCGTCATATCGGGTTAATTAGCACCTATTTAAGAACTGCTTTCCCACAATAATGTATGCAAGAACCTCATCCATCTCCATTTTCATGCAAAGGCGCGCGGACGTGCATCATGTGTTGGGTCTACGAATAAACCGATTCGGGACTGTATACTTACTATACTACAACTTTGCAGCTATCACCACCGTATTTCACTACGACCAACAGCAAAACGTTTGGAAATCAGACGTAATGGCAAAGTATAATAAAATGATTTATTGGGCAATTTGCAATTCATCGAATCGTGCGATAAAACTGACCTCACGACAAACAGAAAAACTATCGTGCACGCCAGACGAACAAAACAATCACGAGTTAAATGCGTGTAACATTCTCGACGAAGTTGTAATAATGATGTTGTGCTGTTACTTGCAGAGGAATATGAATAGATCGAACAAAATGCATTTCATTACATACACAATGTAACTATTGTCTTCAATGAATTATCGAGTCGTGCCAAATGTATTCCGTTTTTTAAATGAAACATGGCCTAACTAAACTACAATAGCACAACAGCATGTTTTGAAATTTATCATTACAAATGACATTATGATGTCAACTAACTCTGGTTATAACCAAACAAAGCGAAATAAAACATTAAAAATCGCACCTGAGTGAATATACAACATGGTTTCACATACATTATTCACTTTGTCGAAAGTATTGGACAATGTATAAATCGATAAGATAGCATTTTATACCGGGGAGAGGAAAGCCGACAAGAAAAATAATTCCATGGCGTACCAAGGCCCGGTTACCAGTTCATATAGGGGTATGGAAAAAGTTGGCCAGTTATTTGTTCCAGATGCATGGACTTCAAGGTGGAGGGATCCGTAACCGACCAGCTATTACATGAACCAGTCCACAGCGGCAGAGAGTCGGCTTATTGCAAACAATTATCCCCACAAGATTCAAAACCGTATATTCACACAGGGTAATCAAAGGCGATGGCAACAGTAGGCCCAACGATTCGTAGAATGAGCCTCCAGCCGAGCCATTTTGTTGAACACCAAGTGGAGTAGAAGATTGATATTCTAAAGAACAGTGTACCACAATACCACCGTTTTTCTTGCATAAGTTTCATTTGGAACAATGACCGTGTGGAAGTTGCTCGTAAGGATTTACCACCTAAAGTGAATATAACCGTGGGGTTGGCAGAAAAGAAAAACATTACGCATGATATGCACATGCAGAAAATATTTAATTTCGCGTTCTAGATTCCTTCAATGGACAACATCTCAATACAGTCTATCAATACAGTATTCATATTGCATACTACAATATAAACTTTCACACCACTGTACATTATGATATTCCAGAAATCAGTTACTTTTTGATGTTTGCAAATATTAATTTCCAATGCTTGTCGTCGCCAATATCCCCCTAGAAGCAGTTACTGTCCAAGAAGTCCACTGGACTCTATCCATGCTATATTGATCTTGATCATAAATTCTTATTCTCCTTATTCCATTGAATTATGTTCATTTTCACAGTTATGGTATCAATACCATTCACCTAAAAAAGTGAACAAATATGATTTCGTTATTGATGAAGATGTGGCATTTTAACTGTTAGTAAAAAACGAAAGCAAGATGTTATTCTTCTAATATTTGCATGGATGAGACTTTCATATTTATCCCAGGGAAGAAAAAATAAGACGACAACAAAACAATCATACAATGTTTCAAAAACTCCCCCTCAAAGTAAACATATTGAGAAAATACACTATTCTAGGAATGTAATAATAAAAGTCATCTTACAGAAATTTTTATATCATGCTGAGACCAGGAATCAGGATTATCTGATGTGATGGGATAATCTGGCAATTCCAACGCGTTTTTTGCAACAACGAGATTGTGTGCCTGAACAAACAAATTGACAATAGTAATTATGTTAGTATTGCTAATATTTCATCTGTGTCAAACTAATTTTGCACCACGGTTTTGTTGCTATATATCTTTCGTGGTTTAGGACTGCATGGTCTTGTACATGCATCCATTCTCCCTTATTATTGTCAGCTTATTTATACCTTTACCATTATGAGACGAATAAACATTCATTCATACTCAAGTAAACACAACATCTATCCATAGTGCTATGGCCTCGTACAGAGTATGATACTCTATCTTCATCCAATAATGCCAAGCCAGCTCGCCAGCTCGGCCTCACTAATCACCAGGCACCACCAATAAAAATTCGATTAGATACCTTGCCTGAAAAGCAGTCCAGTACCCAAAACAATTCAAGATAATAGCTATTCTACTTGCAGCTATATAGAAACAAATCAAACTAAGAAATAAATAAAAAAGTATAATTGCTCTTACCCTCTGCAACCCTCGTGCAGCGATTGCAGGTGTCATCACCCAACTGACATCAGATCGCATAGGACATTCTAATTGTGTTGTCCGTAACCAAAGCAACAACCTTCTACCTGTCGTTGTTTGCGGAGACTTGTTTATCTGCAAATCATGGTTTATAATTTAAGATAATAAATTCGGCAAATGAAAATGAGACTTCATGTATGCAAATATGTACCACGCCATAGCAATGTTAAGTCTCAAATTCGACTATGAAATTGAAATTCTAGATGAGTTGTATAAGAAAAGTTGGCCATATTGCTATTAAATTTTCAAACACTTCATTGTGTGAATCGAGATATGAAATTAAATGGATTGACTCGAGTGGAAATCTCACCCACTACGAAAATACTAATTTCATGCCATAAAAATATTTTGCCTATCCTTTATTAATCACCAGTGGATAATATTTTTTGTGAAATACGTACGGAATGGCTTGCAAATTTTTCTAAATTTTCCGGAGATGCATATGTAGCCTCCCCCTTATTTATCATACTCCGTCCAATCATCTTTTCCAACACTAAAACTTCACCTGCCACACCAAATTCTGAAATAAATGAATGGAACTAGAATAAAATTTACTGAATTCATAGTTGAATCGGATTGGGATGAATTCAAGCAGTTGTGAAGACCACACGAGTATTATATTGATTTGTAATTAATAAGATAGACAGCACTAGATCATTGTGTGATATATTTATCACAATAGGAAACATTGATTAGTCACAAACCTGCCTGTTTGTAACCTGTATTGTTTCCACGTTGGAAATATTCGAATTGGAACTTTTAATTCAAAAAATTTTGGTAATCGTATAAATGATTCGTATTTACACAGAAACAAAGTTAAACAAGTGAGCGTACAGCATACCTTCACTTTGTGGTAATTCTTAAGTTATGAGACATTGTATTCATTTCATGTCGCTAAAACTAGTCATAACAAAAATTGATCTAAATAAGTAGTTATCCTCAATTATTGTTGTGAAATATCATCACGAATTACCAAGAGAATCTTTTGTCAATATGACCTTCAGTTCTGTGGGACCAAGTTCCCTTCCAACAACTCTGTAAATTGAGTGACGAGCATGTAATTTACTAGGCCAGCCTTTTACATTTATTGGTGGTTTCCACTCTCTCTCAAAATGAAGTGTTCCGGTGTTCTAGAATGTGAAAATAAATGTGAAGTTTAATTGATATTGCACATGGTCCTCATCACCAAAAACGTGAATGCAAGTACAATATTTTTGTGTTTAACTCTAATTCATTAAACAAGATGCTCCACTCGGTTTCACATTAAACCTATCTCCACAGCTGATATAATATAACTGCGTAATATCATAATTCAAATGATACCAATATATAACTAGAGAAAACACTAAATCAGATAAGATTATTAATGCAACTTTTATGTAATTATATGTAATATCATAACAAATCAAAGAATATGTCTTCAAGCAGTATGATTTTATTTGTATGATTTCAATCATGTACAAAATACCTGTCCGGCAATAATATTTTGTGACCTCGTTAATATGTTTTTATCGTAATTGTCGTGAAGTAATCAATGTCATAAATCACTGAAAAAATACAGCTAGCAATTGATAAATAAAAACTTTTAATACCTGACACGTGCTTGTGAAAAAGTCACTTTTAATAATAGGTTGCCATACACTCCGATTTATTTTAGATAATCCTCTAGTTATTCCTAATTTGAGCATGGTTGTATTTTTATTTTAGAACTAAAAATGTTTTTCGTTGAAGCTTTGGAAAATAAAGTGAATTAGGTCAATCACGATGAAAGAGAAAATATGTCAAGTTTAAAAACGATGAAATAAACAAAATTTAAAAAATTACTAAACTGTAAGGAAAAAATTAACAACGATATACTAGTACATGAAATACATTGTAGTCTGTAGCCAACTATTATTGCATTGCATTTGCAAATCACTTACACAAATTTCTGATCAGAAAAAAAAAATAAAAACCTGCGTGGCTATGTAAATTAAAAGAATGAGGCTTTTTACAAGAGGCAGACAACAAACATTTCAAAATAAACATTTATCATTTTAGATTTTACCATAGAGGCCGCACAAACTATACTCCTAACTACTTTGCCCTTCAGTGACAACAAGTAAATTACTTTTTACCTCTGAAATGATAAATAATGAAAAATGGAAATAAACAGAAAATTGCTCTTCCATATGCTATGAAATGAAGATAAAAATAACATAGCGCTCTATTTAGGTATTACCACCACATAAATATTGGTACCGTATTTATGAGAATTTCGCTCTTAATTTAGAGATGCCATGAAATTCAATTCAATACATTAATTGGCGTTCTCTAATAGTAATAATAATAAACCATTTTTAAAATACAATGAATAAAATACAATATAACTGATTGACATAAGAAAATTTTTTAGGAGGGTTTTCATAACGAGAGTTTTTACCCGAGTTTGATACATCCCAAAATCATGCTAGGATAAAATTATGACTTTTTATGATAAATTCTCCAAGATTAAATTCTGAATCACAATAGCAGCGCGTCTTTTTCCGGACATGATTCAGAAATATCAGTATAGAATTTCACGTCATGAATGGATTAAATTTATGCACAGATATCGAGCAGTAAACTACCATACTACACAACCATGAATTATTGTACATTATATGCAATAAACAAAATATTTGAATCAATTCTCAAATCTAAGTTAAATACAGAAATAAGACATATTATTATTTATTCATATGTAATATTTTTGGCAAACATTCTATTTGATTCTAGTTCATTAATATTGCATATAAAAATTCAAACTACAGGTTTTTTCTTAACATTCGGCTCATTGAGTCTAAGCGTTGCTCGCATAAATTCATACACAGTGAATGCTATCGCTTGCTGAGGTACAACTCTGATATAATTAATACTAAGTCCCCGAAAAAGACCTCGTCTGATGCCATCTTTTTTATACACAGCCACCCAAGTAGACCATAATCTGTTATAATTGTGGGATTCTGGTAATAAAGCTGCAAGCTGCATTCTGCGTCTTGCAACATCACAAGGAAAAGAGATAGTCTGAGCGAGTGCACCAGCCAAACCCCCCACCAGCATGGAAGCCCATGGGCGAAGCATCAAGACTTCATCATTATAAGGGTCTTGTTTTGCCAGAAAACCAGGAAAATAGTCAATTCCAACATGCTTCAAAGTCTCAAAAGTGTAAAATGAAAATCCAGCATAAGGAATCATTCCCACTAATGTTGCTGAAATACCACGATAGAATCCTCTAACCCCTCCTTCATTTGCATAAATGGTGGTAAAAGCGTCTACAATACCTCCATAAACATGTTCACCTGTGATTTGATAAGCAAGTCTTGCACGTACCATATCCATAGGATATGTTGACAATACAGCTGCTACTCCAGCACTCGAGCCAGATATTAAATTGTTTATATGCCATTGTCCAAATAATCCAGTATAAAAGTTTCGAAATCTTTCAAATGCAAAAAACTGTATAGATGCATATGGAAATATCCTAAGCATCATCATACTGTTGCCTTTCCACAGAGCCATTACACCTTCCCTTTTCACTATTTGTACAACTGTAGAAAATACTCCATGTTTCTTGTAATATGGATGTTGGGCTTGTAGTAGGATCTTCACCCTGTCCATTGGAGCAATAATAGTTTTTGACACACATCCTGCCACTCCACCCGCAATCACTTGTTTAACATTTTTAGAAGTACCCATTCAGTCATTTCCTATTGTTGAAATATTGATTCAACTTAGTATTCTAAAAATAAGACAAATTGTAATAATTCAAAAAAGTAGTGATTTTTAAGGCTGGGATTCTTTTGCTAAAACTACGAAAAAATTAAATTTTGACTAGACTGAGAAGATCCAACCTCCTCCACTGACATTATATATTCATTCTAACCCAAATCCTTGTTGGTGGTGAGACAAACCAAACGATATTTCAGTGACTCATCAGATATTTTCTATGACGATTATAATGAAGCTGTATCAGAATTAAAATAATGACTGATTCTAATTGACAAGACTTTTCTTTTTCGAGTTTTGAAAAACCTAATATTGATCCCTCTACTTGGTAATCCAAACCAAGTCTGTTAACAAAGATTTAGTAAGTTCCAAATTCATTAAACAAGACATAAATAATTGTGTCATCAGGGCATATACAGATACAAGTCAAATGTGAATGATATTATCTGGAAGATGAAAATTAGGAGAATGTATGTCCCAAGGAGTGACCCACCAGTTGGACAATCCAGAAGATATTGGACATCAAGAACAACATTGATTTTGCATCCAGAGTGAAATGATATAAGGATAGCAAAAGTCTGTAAGTATGACCAGTTGTACCATAGTATCAAATTAGATTAAAAAGAGGAGGGTTGGCATTTTAGCCATTCACACAAATCCGACAAGATCAATCCTACTAATACTGTAATTAATAGGCGTTTTCTAATAATATCACTAGGACCAATGTAGCAATGGCAAGTCTGTTCCTAACGCTCACTCCCTTCTGCCCTTAGCACGATGCACACTCGGCGCTCCGATTAGTCAGTAAGTAGATTTCTTGGGAAAACGCAGGAACTACAGGTACTAAATGGTCAATATGACGCATTAATGATCATCTTTCAGTCCCGATAGACTGAATCCACCCTTTCTTCCATAAATCGGCCCAGTACAAAATACAAATACACAATTAGACATTGCATCAAAAGTCAGTCTGACGTCCAGCCATGTCTGCATGTACACATGTATAAAGCCGACGAATCTGCAACGGAAAAGCGAAACAAACGTACTATGGTAAGACGGTACAGTAGACCTATCAACGTGGAGTTAAAGATGGGTGAATACCCCACATTTCATATCGAACTCGACATGAAGGGAAAGGTCAATTGCGGATAAAGTTATTCCGAAAGATTGCGCCTATGCGAATCGAAATGTGGGTCACAAAAATCGCGTTAGACATAACAGAATGTGTTACACATAACTACGGTAAAATATGATTAAATATTTTACATATTGTCTTTAATATAAGAATTATTGTTGTAGTGTAATGTATATAAATCAATACATTTATTTTACCTTTATATGTCATTTACTTTGTGTTATGTAGGGTCTACCTTCATTGTTACGTAATACGTTGCTACAATTTCACGTGCTGCTGTTCATTTATTTGCTGAACCGTAGCATTTCATTTACTCGGAAATTTTGGTGCATTCGGTATTCCACGAAAAATGTCCATACTTCCCAATGGCCGGCCACATTTTTAAGTGATTTAAAAAACATATAGTTTAATCACCTGATTCAAGTTTAGTAATAATTGTATTGTCGGGATCATATAATAATATTTTGTCAAACAAGGCCAAAATAAGAATTTTCCTTCAAAATTCATGAATGTCGGTATTCCACCTCAAATTTCTGTATTGTTCAATGGTCTTCCCACTTTTAAGTGAGACATCATAAAAAAACATATTGTGAAGTCATTTCAAACCAAGTTTTTGAAAAATTGTATGTCGGGAACAAAAATAATTCCTTATTAAACATGACCCAAAAACGAAATAAAATTCGTAAATAACGATATTACATTCGAAAATTCTATAAAAAATGCTGTACTTCCCAATTGGGTGCCACACTTTCAAGCACTTTCAAGTAAGATATCCTGAAACAACATACTGTGAAGTTATCTCGCACTATGTTGTAGACAATTTTTATTTCGGTAACACATACTGTAATATGTGACCGTACATTTGAACCCATGTACATTTGAACCCATGCGTATATCCACGGGTCCAATCTATATGCGGGTGCTAAAACCCATGGGTTAGGGTTAGTAGGGGTTTAACTATCCGTGAAGCAAAAAAAATTCCATAGGTGCAATAGCATACAGGTGCAATTGTCATGGCTTCAAATGTACGTGGGTTCAAATGTAATGGAACCACTGTAATAATACTTAATAATTTAATTTACTTAATAATAATAAGTAAACGTGTCGGGAACATATAATGATATCTTGTCAAACAAGGCCCAAACAAGAATTTTACATCGAAATTCCTATATAACGATATCACACTTCTCGGTCTCTTTATTTCAAAGCTCGGCATGCCCTCCAGCTCAAGCGTCACGATATTTCATTATTTAATAACAAGAGAGCTATGCTTAAATATATGGACACCTAGCGCCACATGATTTTGATGACGTCATAGCAGAAAATAAAAGTAATAGCCTTCTGGAGAAAAATTCCATCTTTAACCACTGAAAATTTCAAAGCAATTAGTCCAGTAATCAAAGACAAAAGCGATTTCTTCAACACGTGTCAAAGAACAAGAACAACATAATATTGAAACGATCGTTATGTCCACTACGTGTCCAATAATGAGGGTTACCTGAAGTTTTTCACACAACTCGAACCTAAGCCTTCTAATCTTAGAATTTAGGTTATTTTCACAGCGAATATGGCCTCATTCGTAAAAATTACGTATATCGAATAAAGCTAATTTAGCAACTTCCAAAAGCCAGTAGCATTCTCTTTCGCCCAATAGACGTGGTATTTAATTATTTAATAATAAAGAGAGTGACCTGAATTTTTTCACACATTTAAAATCTAGGCCTTCTAAGTTTTATAATTTAGTTTGGCTCAAGTTCGTGGACTGAAAGAAAATATTTTGACATTTTTGATCTAACTCTCAATTAGGAGAGAGAGATTTTATTTTTTCGTCAACCAAAATAAAATAAGTCATCGTAATAATAAGAAATACCTAGATAGCCATCGGAGACCGCCGACTTATCAATCGTTCGCAGCAACGAAAGATAGGGGATCCCCCAAAACAAAATATGTTGAATGCACATGCAAAATTTGCAGCAGATTCAACCTCGCTGAGAATATCGCATATATATAATTCAATAAGATTCAAAAAGGGTTTCCACATTCAGACAAGGATTTAGCAGATAACTACACTGAACGAATCCAAATAAATTACCGCATATGTGATTAATTGACAGAAATGTTTCATTTCATGGCATATAGAAACACACTGCAAATGTAACTTACTTTAATTTGCCAAGTTAATGAAAACTAATCAGTCATTCGGGTCATGTCACCAAATTTTCCAAGAGTTAGGCCCAACAAGCATTATTCAGCATAATTATAATGATCAATGTTTTGTTTCCAGAGGAATGTCAAAGTAAAATATAAGACAAGTTAATGACAATTGAAATATGTAAAGAATTATAATCGTACGAACATAACATAACAGTATGAATTGTATTGTACCTGCACTGGTATTGGCATCATTTAGTTCCGTATTATCGTTATTATCTCTACTGGTTTCCTAAGATATGGAATATGTTATGGGAGAAAAGCATCATGAACGAATCATCCTTCAAGTTGATTATTGCGGATACAGTTGACACTTTATCGATAACGCTTATCCGATTTATCCTATGAGACTGGTTCACGCCACATCATTGTAACGGCACATACGTTTATGCCGATTCTATAGCTGATTTATTTTAGCGTGGAATAGATGCAAGAAACGAAGTGATAAGAAAGGTGCATGGATAATAAAGTGGCAAAAAGAATCCGAATAGTGAAAGGATTAGGAATGAGGAAAATGGTCGATTACGACAGGACAGCACCAATATAGCATATCAATATTAGCATATCAGTCCGTGTATTTCAACGCTGACAATAAATTTTTGTATATTTGTGAGAAATTGTACATGAATAGCCGAAATATCAGAGATGCAACTGTGGTGGGATTCAAATTTTTTGTCATCCGGTTCCATCACATATTTTTCAGCCGGTTCTGTTACAAAAGTCATGTTTTTCCAATAACGCTAACCGGTTCGCTGATCTTATAAAATTTCGTGAGACGGTTCTATAGAACCGGTGCGAACCGGCTGAATCCCACCACTGGTTGACATATTGTCCAAATGATTACGAGAACATTTCATTCAAGACCTAAGCATCGAATGCATACATATCTATGTAAACGGTGGTCCGAGATAGCACCACTCCATTCACCATTAGAGGTATAAATATGAAGCCATTTTGTCCCTCTAAAATTCAATCGGAGAAGAGTGCCATTATGTTCGACAACATTGTACTTTTTAAGATTTCTGGCTAATTATTCATACAAATTATTGCGGATTATAGTAGCCGAGTATAATGTCTGAGAGTTCATTGAACAATAAATCAAACTTTTCTGCGGAAAGATCGTTGTCTCTCAGGTAATAATTTGTTTTGCATAGTTATAATGATTTGAAATAATTTATTTTAAATATTTCTATAGCTCTTATTTCCCCCCACATAGATAACATTACAGATCTCTTCAAAATTAAATAGTTTTTAGAATTGCCAAAAGCACGGTATGGTGGCCCATCGTTGTCATTATTAAAATGTATAAAATAAAAAACTGAAAGTAAAAATAAAATAAAAATACAAAACAAAAAATTAAAAATAAAAACGAAAATAAAATAAAACGGAATAAAAATATAAAAATGCAAAAAAAAATTAAAGAAAACGCGATTAATATGAAAATATAAAAGCTAAGGCCAATAAAAAAACAGGAGCAAAGAAGTGACTGGAAGCATCTGGCGCCCATCAACAGCCTAAACCCAAAATCTGCAAAATTTTTCAAAATAAAAACGCTTTTTTTATTCATTTATTTTTTCCATTTTTTTTATTCCGTTTTTATTTTATTTTTAATTTCTTTTTTTTCACAAATTTTTTTTCAATTTATTTTTAGTGTTTTATTTTACTTTTTTTAAAATTTTACTAGTGACAACGATGGGCCACCATACACGTCATAGAGAAAGTAAACACCAAGCAATAATTGATGTTTTTATTTTCAGCAACATCGGCGCTCTTATGCATATTATTAAAGGCAACATTGGTGTTGGACTTCTAACGTTACCTTGGGCAATGAAACATGCCGGAATTATCTTGGGGCCATTATTTTTTATAGGTATTGGAATTTTAACGGGACATTGCATGCATGTGTTGGTCCGGTGTTCAAGATATTTTACTGGGTGAGATTTTCATGCCGCATTTTATCATAGAAATTCCCGGAATAAAGTTTTTTTTATCATTTGTTTTCGCTGTTACATGATATGAAAACTATACATTTTTATAATTCTGTGAACTATTTGTACTGAATTTACAGAAAATTAAGGCTACATTCAGCAGATTATGGAGAAGTTGCATTATACAGTGTGAAATATGGACCTATTAAGTGGATTCGCCCACATGCACCTCATGCCGAAATAATTGTAAATTTCTTCCTAATCACAAGTCAATTAGGAGCGTGTTGTACATGCGTCGTTTTCATTGGGCAAAATATACGACAGGTAATTATTATGGGTAATAAGTTTATTTTTGGAATGCATCTGAAACATTTATCCGCATATTGCGACTGTTTATACATATATCGCCTTTTATATATACCTTAAAACCGTTTTATACTTGGCTATTGAAATTTAGAGTTTGCAAAACTGAATCGTATGTATGTATGTAGTAGTTTGTCACTTATGAATTGTTACATTACCATTAACTTGGAAATGCGATCGAAAAAGAGATACTTTTATACAAAAGTTTATCGTAATGAAGTTTCGTTTTATTTGTCAACAAGTGTGCTTGATAAGATACCTGGGCTTCTACGCAACTTTGAGTCTTGATTAAACCCATAAATCAAAATGAAAAAAATCGGAAGCACTTGTTTCTGGGCAATCGGATTATTTGTTTATTCTTGATGATACTACATATAGGTTTTACCTACTTTTGTCTGAGTGTTTCTTGCTAGTTAGTTAGTGACACATTTAAACTTTTGCTGATAGATTATCGTTCCTCACTGGCAAGATGCTCCAGACGATCGTGTTTTCATGGCAATGTTCATTATTCCGATACTTCTCTTGAGTTCAATTAGAAATTTATCGTTGTTATCATGGTTTTCAACAGCTGCAAACATCGTTTTTTTAATATCGATTGGGATTATTTTAAGTTATACTATGCAGGTGAGTTTTTAAAAAACTTGGTTTTGTAACGAGGTATAGTCCATGTAAATAAATGCCTTCACAGATTAGAACAGTGGTTCTTAATCTTTTCCTATAGACACGCACCCCTGAGGTGACTGGGTATAAATATAATCCTTCGCACCCCCTCTTATTTCGTCGTTTTAATTGGCGCAAAACAGACTCATGGTGACTATGCGGGCTGGGCATATTCGATTCCTGATGATTTCAGAATCGAATTTCGAATACTTGGGAGATATATATATATATTGTATGCGACTTTTTTTATTGTAATTGGTCCTGTAAAGTGCAAACAAATAACAAATGAATTACTGGAAGCATAGAATACATCACTCAGACATATCACTGAGCCATCACACACAAAAAGAAACATGCTTTATCAATGAATCACTATACAGAAAATAGTCACATGTCAGAATTGCTTTGAAAAAAATATGGATTTGTTAAAACAAGTGGGCAATTCACCTCGACTATTGGCGAAAAGAAAAAAAAACAAGATGGCGGCGATTCGAAATTTTGATCTGTACCGATTCGAATAATTTACTATTCGGTTCGAAATGCCCAGCCCTAGTAACGACTGACTAATCATCTTGTCATTGTATATTGTGGTCCTTGAATTGCGATCGGTATAACAATATTGTAGAATAATATTACAACATCTAATAAAAATTCTCTGCGAACGTTAAAAACCTACACTCTAAGAAATTTTACCGGCAATCGCCTGGCATTACTTTTTACTGGAATGGAGTTGTGAAATCTTTATGTCATTTTAGGGTAAATGTTATAAAAAGTTTCGGTAAGAACGCTGTATATCATCTGTGGATTCTTCAGGATATCACTAGTAATCCTTACAAGTTTTTACGGTGATTATCACCGGCAATCCGTAGTAATGTTTACCGACGCTAGCCTGTGAATTCAACATTCGATAAAATTACATTCAAAATACCTTAAAAATTACCGTAAATAACCTGGCACTACATAGACTGTAATTTACTTTCAAATTCTTCCTCACAAAACTGATATATTTATTGATTGGCCTTTTAATGTTGATTTGCCTTCCTTATTGTTCCTTCAAATAGAATTTTATCACAATTCAATAACCAATATTTATGTGCATGCGATAGTTTTCTTGTCACATTTAAAATATTATCATTTTTTTTTTGCTAAATATGAATTAAGACATGCACAACATGATTGTTAATTCTGGGCATTGTTGTAAACTGCTTGACTGAGGCAGACTGACTTTGTTCAAAAGAAACGAAACGTTACAAAATTTGTATTGGGTCGCTGAGCTTTATGCTTTCCTAATTATTTGTTTAGAATTTACCTCAACTTTCATCACTTCCAGCAACTGGGATTGTGACAGAATTTCCGGTCTTTCTCGGTTCAGCAATTTATATATTCGAAGGTATTGGAATTGTAAGTACCTATAGTTGTAAAGAACGAATTGCTATTAAAAAGTATATAGAGCTCCGTGCACGGTCATCTAAAGTCACTGCAATTAAGTTTCTTATCTCACTCGGTGTTAACTACTTATCACTCACTACCTTTCAGGAGCCTTGCTTCCTGTGAATATATTACGTATATTTGACATGAGCAAAGTACGTCCCGCGGACCAAATCCGGCCCGTTGAGTGATTCAATCTAGCCCGCCTGATGCTGCCATAAATTTCCACTTCTAATCAACTCAGCATGCACTAACATAGATGTGTTGTTATTGAAATCTGTATAGTGCAATATGCCTGTCAAATTAACGTTAACAAAACTTTATGCACCCTCGCGTTTCAATTTAGTGCCGACGAGGTTTTGTTTACGTCCCTATGACGCTCTGTTAACGTTTTTATTTGTTCATAGCTTACGCATTTTCGCCATGTGATTTAGTCTATCGTTTTCCCATGGTAATATTGACGGCTAATTCATTACGCCTTACTTACATGGCCCGCCTGTCTAGGTGGGCAAAATGTTGGGCCCCTGGTCCAAAAACCTTGGCCACCCCTGTTCTATATATAAAATGTTAGCTTCACCACAAATTCATTCTTGGTTTATTAAAGTATAGGCCTATGTATTGTTGAATTTTATCAGATTCTACCAATTGAAAATTCAATGAAAACTCCTGAAAAATTTCCTCTCGTACTAAATATTGCGTGGCCGTTTTTGATCACCGTTTATTTTCTGTTCGGAGGATCTGGATATCTAAAATTCGGATCATCTATTTGTGGCGCCATAACCCTTAACCTACCTATCTGGGATCCGTGAGTATATTCTTACTATACAAAAGTGTATTTTACAATCATTTTTTTTTACAAAATGCCACTTACAATAGACTACACCTTTCATGAAACTGTAAACTTTATATGAATAGTCTAATCGCCAGTTTATTTAATGTTTAATTTAAAATCACTTTTTAATTTATTTTTCCAGGTTGTACCAACTTGTTCGTATGCTGTACTGTTTTGTTGTTTATGTAACCTTTTCTCTTTGCTTCTACGTGCCGGTGGAAATTATCCTGAAATTGATTCAAAACAAAGTTCACACAATGCATAACTTCTACAATTTTCTTGTTAGGACACTCCTGGGGTTAGCAATATGTAAGGTTTCACGCTAAACTCTATACATATTTGTTTGTTTATTTTATTCATAATTGGTCTATTCAGCGACAAATAGTCTCTATTGAAAGCGAAAGAATTCAGTATGTTTTGTAGGGTGCATAAACATCTTATCACACCCATGACACATGCTATATCGCATTGTGCAGTTTTATTGTTCAATTGATTTAAACATAGGAACAAATGGGGAAAATGGAATCATATTTAGACCATTTTCATGTAAAAAAAATGTGCCTCAACGCTCTTCTCACGCAACATTTGTTATGTGATTCAGGTGTGCTTGCTATTGGGATTCCAAACATAGGAGATTATATTTCGTTGATCGGTGCATCAATGTCAACCTTTCTTGCTTTTACTTTTCCCGTTACCATAGAATCGTTAACTTTCCATAGCAAGGCGCTGGAACCCAAATTAGACGACGAAGAGGTTCGTCCTCTAATCGGGTAAGTAAGGTTATTGCAATCTTGATTATTCTATTTTTAACAAATTTTATTGCATGCAAGCACAATAACAATGTAAATGAAATCAACAGCCGTAATATTATAAAATGTCCATGTGACATTGGAAAGTTTGCACTGAGGCGATGTGCCATAGATGAATTTGTCATTCTTCATTTAGTATTTGATAGTTGGGTGTATATTATTCCGCGACGTAGGAGAACACTGGCACACACTTTATACAGCGACAACAACGAGTAAACTTGATCGAATAGTCAGCACAGCATCCGTGTTTTCCTCATGAAAATGGCAAAAAATGTTTTCTGCATGACATTGCCTAAATTCAGATGATTCATCTAGTCTCATAAAAATTAGTGTAAAACATATTGTACATGCAATTATTTTAATTTTAGAGAGGACAGACTACCATTGAATTCAGAAAAAGATTTGACAAAGTGGAGAGTCGTAAAAAACACTTTCATTCTGATATTTGGTTTGTTGGGGGCATTTTTTGGAACAATGGCAGCCCTACGCAGTTTGATAGTTAATCTGGAACATCGTGATGTGACAGACAAATGCAACGGAGGACTTTACTCTTTGAATTTTTCAGAGAATGCGGCAACTTATATCAATAGGACATCGATTCCCTTGTGAACTCAACACTTGGCTGCTTGGGTGAAGGATCATTTGACTTACAAGATTCTAAAAATAATGTGAGTGAAGGTGATTTATAGAGAAAAAAAATAATCTGCCAAAATATTGACTTGGTTGTCTGCAGTAGAATCTCTATCTGATAATTAGTGACTGTTGTATAAATATTTATTAAATATAATATCGACGTTTCCAATTAACCTGAAAGCATTTTCGCAAATCAATCACTACAGAATTACTTTTGCTACCCTAATAAAAATATAAAAAGAAATTCTGTGAGAATAATTATTTTTTTGCTGAGTCGTCCTCAACTTCAATCTCAAAAAATATAAGTATGATCAATACCTTGTCCCATTCCCATCCCATGGCAATTATGCCTATCCCATCCCATGGGATTCCCGTTGGAACAAAATTCAATAAAAATTGTTAAATTTAGGTTTGGCGTTTACTAAATAGGACTTCATGTACAAATAGACATGCAAAACAACAAAATTTACGGACTTTGTTAACTTTATATTCATAACTATTATACATCTGTCCATCAGCTCCTTCACGAAGTATATTGTTTATTAATGCTGAATATGTTTTGCTATTTATAACTAACATGAGAGCTATGCTCAAATATATGGAAACGAAGTCCATATCGAAATGTTTTACCATCATTTCCCCGAAAATCATACGGTTTTCGTGTCCCATGGGAAATACAAATGTGTGCTGTCCCATCCCATGGGACGTTTCCCATGGACAAGCCTGGTAATACTAGATCAGTGGTTGTATGCATCCATACAATGAGGAGATTGGCGACAAAATTTGCATGCCAGAAGATTTTCTCAAAAACTTCTACCTTGCTAAATATATGAACTAGCTTTTTTAATATATATATATAATTTTTACAAATAAGGCCATATTCTCTGTGAGAATAACCCAAATTCGAAAATGTAGAAGGCTTAGGTTCGAGTTAAAAAAAACTTCATGTAACTTTCTTTGTTATTGAAAAATGAAATCTCGTGCCTCTTGAGAGAAAGGGTATGCTGCTGCTGGGCTTTGAAAATTGTAAATTTTAACTCTTTTTCATATTTGTAATTTTGACAAATAACGCCGTGTTCAATGAAAGAATACCCTAAATTCCCAGTTTTATAAGGCGTAGGTTTGATTTGTGTGAAAAACTTCAGGTAACGTTTTTTATTATTAAATATATATATATTGAAATCTCGTGCGTTTTGAGTAGATAAACATGCTGCTGGAACTCCTGAAAATTACCTCATTTAGCCTTTTTTCGATAAATGTAATTTAACGAATATAGCCATATTAGCTGTGGAAATATCCTAAATTTTGCATTTTGTATTGTGGGGAATTTTGCAATATTAGCGTATATTCATGGCTAGAGTGCACATTCCCAAATATTTCTCCGCTTTCGCTTCTAGCGTATATTGTACTTACTTAATTATTTTTATTATACAACATCTCATCCCTCTTAACCGGAAGGATATGGTAATGATCATAGTGAATTGCAAACTTTTGTAGTTTTTGGGGTGTATCATATTTTAATATTAGCGTGTATTCATGACACTATTGCAAAGGTACCAAAAATTTTTTTTTTTTTTTTTGACGAAAAAACTAATATCTCGCTCCACTGATGGGTAAGACGTGATGATGATATTTCAAATATCCAAATTGCTATATAACGATAATGTACTTACTACATGAAATAACTTGTCATCTGACTTCGCCAGCGAAACATATTAATAAGATAACAAAAACTTTTTTTACTTTCTGGTTGCTACTTTTATTAAATAAAGAATTTTCGATATTCAATAAAATGCTTGTGAAACTTCTTGCACCTGTGAACTTTTGCAGCCATGATTATTTTTACATTACAATTTGTGTTTCAAACAAAATTTCATTTCTTTGTTTTAATTATAGTTCATCAATCATGAGTTTAAATATGGGCAATTTATGGTTGTAGGGAGTCAGCATTAATTCATCAGAATTAAATTTATGTGGCATAAGATATATCCTTGTAATGACTATAAAAACTAGGCGATCATAAGAAAGATTATACTTACAATTTGTAAAAGATCCAGATTTTTAATATTTAAATACATACCGTATTTCCCGGCGAATAAGGCGCTTTTCTAGCCTCAAATTTTTGGCCTGATTTGGGGGGGGGGGGGGGGGTCGGGGGTCGTCTTATTAGGCGAGTATGGTAATTTTCATTTTTTTGGTGTCGCCTTATCATGTATTAGGTAATGTTCATTTATGGTGGACGCAATCGCGAGTTGAACACAATTAGATTAAAATTTAAAGAAGACAGTTTGAATTCCAGTAGTTATTATGGATTGAATATATGCTACAAGAAAACGTCATTATAAGCTATTTTAACCAATGCGCAAACGCGGCGACCAGTCAAAAGGCATTGCATGGTATTTTGAGATTCCGATGTTGATGCGATTTTACTACCCCGACTTATTGGCCGGTTATATGCAAAACCCCATTTTTCAGGCTTAAAAACGGGCCTTGTCTTATTTACCGGGTAGACTTATTCGCCGGGAAATACGGTATATTTGACAGTGAACTGGAAGTTTGTCTGAAATACAAATATTCGGGAGTTAAAAAAGGACTTCCCTATACGTATGTAAGCTATTTCGCAGCCTTATTGAGCTTAACATCATGTGTTGCTATTGGATGTGAAATATATATACATAAGCGAAACCATTGGTTCCACTAAAGCTGTGACTCTTGATAAATATAACAATCCCGCGTGCACGATTGACTGTGTGCAAATTCACTTCAGTAAGGGTATATATATATATATAATCCCCAAAGCCAATCAGTAAATAATATGTACCGTATGCACACAAATTCGTGAGATTAACAATGTCTTAAATAGCGTTTATAATCTGTTGCGGGCAACGACTTAGACAAAGCTTATGGTGTTTTCCGTTTCATTTTAGTATTTTATGCGCAAAATTTGGCTTGCGAATTCATTTCATTTATCTTCAACACCTAATCGCCGATGATTTTATTGTAGCGAATTGTATTGTACTGTTGTTTAATGTAATTTAACCACTTTATATTAACAGTATTTTAAATTCAATGAAATAGGTCATTCATTGTAGCCATTTTTCCCTGATAATGATTTATCGCGGCAAGCCTCAGCTCCCTCTGTATCGACCAATTATGACGTGCAGATAGGGCCATCAATCCCCTATAACACAATAACTATCAATGGATTCACAGGTACGAGCAAGAACTAAAAAGGAATCATCATAACACTGACTGAAGGTGTTTCTAACCTAAATAACATGCCACATTTACAGCAAAATTCAAAAGCATGCGTTACTTGCGACCCATCTGACTGCTTCACTGATAATGGAGCCGGAGCCCAAGTTCGGCACTAAAAAATGAAGCTCCGGAGCTGGAGTCACAGTTTGAATATACTGTACTGTTAATCCGGAGCTGGAGCCACTGTAATTTCAAACCAGCTCCCCAGCCCTGATCTAAATGCATGAAATTTCGGGACGCCATATTATAAGCGTCATTGATGTACAGACTTGTTCAACTGTATACAATGATCTACCATGACTAGACTGCATGACTTATGTTTGACTTTGAAATTATAAATGTAATTGGTAGCACATTCAGTTGAAAGTACATGGTGATTAAATTTTAGTCAGTCAAAATAACAATCTTCACCGAATGAATCCCATCTCTGCTGTACCGTTTAATTATTATGCAGATACTGTTACATTTTTGAGGCAAATAAACATACATAAAATATATATCTTAAAAATCAGGTCATCTCAGTAAAATATTGCAACATATTAGCCACAAAAATGAATTATTTGGTAATGGTAATGCCATGGATTTTCCAAATGCAACTGGTTTTGCTGCAAAGGTCTTGAACTCTGCCTATGGTATATCAATGGGGAGAAAGGTAGGGTACTATTCAATTTCATGACCATCTGCAAAAATCAGTGAAAAAAAAAGGAAAAAAATTACGAGCTCTTCAACAACATTACATGTTTTACTAAGCTTTTGACATTAAAAAAGCTTTAAATCAAAATTAATTCAATTTTGATGTATGTTGGTTGTTGACATGCATTCTGCTATGTAAGTGCTTCCTTCAGTATCAATTACAGCAGCACATTATCATGGTATGAGTGAAACATAGTTCGACGACTACCAATCATCTCATTAGTCATACCTGACACAGAAACATGAAATCAGGAAGAAAAATTGCATATAATTAACCCATGAATTACTTCCCTCTCACTGGTCTCGAAAATCGTCTTTACGTCAGCCATGAAATTACACTTGTGCAATGGAACCCGCTTTAATGAACCACCACCACCATGCGATGGGGCCATGAACCCCCAAGACCCCATCATTTTCATTACTTAATCCTTATCATTATAATGTGGTTTTAGTGTAGTGCACCAGATGCCGAAAAAAGGCAAAAGTAGCGAAATAAATATTATAAACATTGAATAATACAAAGGTAATAATGGAATTTGAACAGACAAACTAAGTAAGAAAATATTCGCTAATCAATATGATTAGTTCCAGAAGTCTCATTGCATAAGTACAAAAAAAGAAAAATTAAGAAATTGCAAGTGGTAGTTAACAATTCACAAAAATTTTTCAACGAAGCTGCGAAGCGGAGTGAAAGAAACTCTTTATACGTAACATAGCTATTCAATAAAAGCTGGTCAAATGAATATGAAGCTATATCTAGTGTAACACTGCATCAGAAGCTATTGATATAATATCATTACCACCACTACATTATTACCGTCACGTAAAACAACAATTTTTTTTATTTTCTGATATATTAGCGGAGTTTAAATCAATATCTGAGGAGTTCATATCATTTGTTGGCATGTCATGATCTGGAACATATTCATCTGCAATTCTTTGGAAAAGTGCAAGTACATTATGATTAGTTTTGCTTGAGGTTTCAAAAACAGTGGCTCCTATTTCAGTCCCATAGTCAACACAGTCATGATAATCAACTGCCCTTTGCTTTCCTTCATCGAGCACTAAATCCAACTTTGTGCCACATAGATATATTTTACAATGTTCTTCTGCATCTTGCAATTCATTTACCCAGAATCTGGCTTTTTCAAAGCTTTTTACATCTGCAACATCATAGCAAACAATTGCAGCTCTGGCACCACGATAATATATCCTGCTCATTGCTTGATATTTTTCAGAACCTGCAGTATCCCAAATTCCAAGTGTCACCCACCTTCAAAAAAATGTAAAGTTAATCAAGTATCATAATATTCCACAAACTACTCATAATTTCGGTCATCAAAAACTAGTTTCCATGAGCCCATGAATATTGTTTCAGGATAGTGAAAGAAAATATTATTAGGTTTTAATTTCTTAATCCAAAATTGCCCTCAGGGACATGTAAGCTTATGTTTGAAATTAGTCTTTGATATACCGGTAAAAAGAAAAAAAAAGATTGAGAACAGCGAGTCTGTGACTGGAGTTGAATACAATGAGAACACATTTGAATTAATTTTTACCTGCCATTAACTTGCATTTTCTTGGCTCCAAAAGCAGCACCAATTGTGTTTTGATATGCTGTACCATTGAATCTGTCATACAAAAACCTCTCAACAAGGCTTGTCTTGCCTCCACACTCTTTTCCAAGAAGAACAACCTTGCAATCAACAATATCGCTTGGCATTCTTTGGGTCATAGTATAAGAAAAATGATATCTACCTGTTATCTACTGTATACATAATAGAACCGTATATTTTCTAGAATATAATGGTATAAAAGACAATAAACAACATGAGATATTGCATGCAACATATTGACAGTAGAATCATTTTTTAGTGTGAAAAATAACTAGAGTATGCACAATCACAATTTTAGCAGGACATAGACTATTTTTATGTGATGAATTCAAAGAACTAAACCCCAAAACTTCAATTTTAGCACAATGAAATATTAACAAATTCACTACTGCTTGAGAAGGTGACTGGCTAGAGATTAAATCTAACACCAGCAATCAAAACTCATTGGGTTATGTCCTTGCCATTCAACTAACTTACGCTACAATATACACAAACGTACAACAAAGGGAGGTTATAAAATATTTCCTATGCATAGACTATAGAGTAAAGGTTATAAAAACTGCTACAATATTGAAACTAAATTAGATACAGTGGACCATTTATAATTGTTTCAGTACATGTTTTGTATATGAATGTACAAGCACATCATATTTGTGAATGGAAGCTTATTTCAAGGATTCACATTTTGGTCAAATAATTCCCCGCTGGCTTTCTATAGTTTAAATTGTATAAAATTAATATAAATTTAAAGTTTGATTTAGGGTCAACATTCCAAATATCTCCTGTAATTCCATTAATATTATTTCATCGCAACTAAATTTGATGTCCTTTCCCTTCATGCCTAACAAAATTCTTGATGGTAATGTCAAAATCATAAGCGTATGATAGTTTCTCACTCAAACGATTTCAACTATGTTTATAAAAAAAATGCCATAATAAAAATTGAAACAAATGTGTAAAAATGTGATATTATTAAAATATATTTGCAGGTTTTTCAAAAAGCAATATTGCAAAGACAAATCAGATTTGTCTTTGTTAAACCACAGAAAAACAATACAGTGGAAAATTTCATAATGAGTAAAATCATATGACATCATTCTTTGAAGTTCTTATAATAAATAAACAGAAAATAATTTAGTAAACGTCATCGAATGTGTCAACTGCTCTATTGCCAACTGACAAATATAATAAAGAAACAATTAAAACGCAATAAAAGAATGATAACTATGATTAATAACAATCGTATTGCTCATATTTAAAATTTGTTAATATTACCCTTCTTACAATGACGCATAGCTGCTACTCATATTCGTCAAGGATTTCCACTGTGATTATAGGAATTTTATTAGACAACATTTTCAGGTACTGCAGAATCAAAATTCCAAATATTTCACTTAGTATATTTGAATAAATATGAAAAGTGAGTGCTGGATAGCCGGAATCATATAATTAATATCTTTTCTGATTATCAAAACAATCATTTCAAATTTAAATGACTTTTTTGGTTGTACTTCATATTTAAAGTTGGTTAATGTAGTTTTGGCCTCATAAATACCCGGAATGAGTTTAAAAATAAGTAAAATAAAAATAGTGATTAATCATGAATACAATATACTATTTAAAAAAGAGGTTACCAGGAGTATGAATGAAAAGGAAAAAATGTAATCAAAAATTCAATACAAGTTTAATAAAATAAATATAGATGAAAACAATGGATTGGCAGAAAAAACAATTGTACAATATACTGCATGTAGAAATCACTCTCTGCCATGAATCTTTATTTTATTTTTCATAAATTAATTCAGAATGAACCAGATGATATTTCTTGAGTGTTCTCAAGTCTTAATGGAAATCAAACCTCAACATGTATATAACCAATCGACTGTAAAATTTTGAAGAAATATACTTGATATAAAATATAGCATTGACCTATATCAAATAAACAGAAAATAATCCGGAAAACGTCATCAGAATATGTCAACTGCTCTTTTGACAAGTGACAATATATAAAAAATATACAATTAAAACACAACAAAGGAATGATAACAATGATTAATAACAATTGTATTGCTCATATCTAAAATTTGTTAATATTACCTTCCTTACAATGTTGCATAGCTACTCACCTGGGCTAAATTATAATGCATTTACATTACCTTTTTGGTTGTACTTCCAATTTGTATTTGGTTAATGTAGTTTTGACTAGGTACCTAAATACCCGCAAAGAATTTGAAAATAAGTATATTAAAAATAGTGAATATTCGTGAATGCAATATACTATTGAAAAAGGAGGTTGACAGTATGATGTATGAATATTGAGTAAATAAAGTAAATATATTGAATAAAAATCAAAAAATCTAATCAATATTGAATAAAAATGAAAAAATGTAATCAATAATTCAGCACAAGTTTAACAAAATAAATATAAAGATGGATGAAGATGGTGGCAAAAACAATAGTACATTTTACTGCATGTAGAGAATACTCTCCGACAGGAATGAACCAGATGATATTCTTTGAGTGTTGCCAAGTTTTGTTGGAACTCAAGTGGCGTATCTAGAGTATGGCAGCCATCGCAACAGCAAAAAATTTTAATCGTAAAATGTTTCAATAAAATGATTTCAACAGGAAATACATGAGTTAATCATAACTCGCATTTTTACTTAACATACAAGTATCACAATTGAACAACAATCGTTAAAAATTGCCAGTCAATAATCCAGGAGCCGCATTTTTAAATTTGCCTTGGGTGCCATTTTGCATGAATACGCCACTGCACCAACCTCAACATGTATAAAACCATTAGACTGCAAAATTTGAATAAAAACACTTGATATAGAATAAATATGGCATAGATCTACACATTTCGATACATATATATGAATACACAGCAACAAGAAATTCATAGTGAAATTCATGTATAAGAAATTGAAATATATAGCATGATTAGACCAATTCACTGAAATCTTTCTGCCGCAGTAGTTATGATTATGTTGGCAATGATGAAATTTCATAATTAGCAGCACTTTTTTTCATTTTGTTTCTCAACTGCATTTACATTAACTTGAGTAGAAACTGAACTATTATTTTCAACAGGTTCCAAGTCATCAGCAATCATTTGAAAAAGCTGAAAGACATTATAACTCATCTTGCTTGATGTCTCAAAAACCTTGGTTTGAAAAATTTGAAGGTCTTGTAATGTAACAGCACGGTTTTTTATACCATCCCATATCAGATCGGCTTTGTTTCCACAAGCGTAAATTTTACAACCTTTCTCTGCATTGCGTAGTTGCTTTATCCAATATTCCAATCGCTCAAAGCTTCTCAAATCAGTCAGATCACAGCATACTACTGCAGCATTTGCATTACGATAGTACAAATTTGCAAGTGCCTGATATCTCTCTTGTCCGGCAGTATCCCAAATTTGCAGTGATACAGGCCTAGTATGCACATCATGAAAAATGAGAAAAAATATTATTAATCAATTATTATTACATGGAGGACAATATTGACAAGTGAAACATAAAAATCTTGGTTAGAATATTTACATTTTTTTACAATTGCAATAGGGGATAAAAATACAATTTTCATTTGATTAGGCAGAATGAAGTATCTCCTCACATCTCTGTAATGACAAAAATCTATTCAGATCTAAAGCTGAACCAGCCCTTTAGCAGAAGTTCACTTAGCTATTATAAATAGAGAAAAGTGTTATACTGTTATATGAGAAGGTTGCCTAAGCCTTCAATTTTATTATGCTGTAATGTCATGCTAATCTAATACCTGGATACATTAACATGGAAAAATCTCATTTCTGCTCCTGAAAGTAGCATACTATGGTACTGTACTACACTGACAGTACTAACTTACCCATTATTACTTGTCATCACGGTTTTTGTTCCGAAAGCAGCTCCAATAGTTGGTTGGGTTGATGCATCAAACATATCATTCATAAATCTTCGAAGAAGACAAGTCTTTCCAGATCCAGCATCACCGAGCATGACAACTTTACAAATAGAAGATTTTCGAACCTGCAATCTTTTATCCATGTGTGTGGTAGGCTACTATTACTGTATTAAGAAAATATTTAATTTCAAATTCATCAGAAACAAAAAGATGGAATGTGAGTTTCTTATTACTGTATTATATTATTGTACACTAAAACTGTAAAAACATGTATCAGTATTATACCAGTATAATGAACCGGTTTAGGGATAAATTCGTTATTTTAGGTAAAATTCATAAAAAGACTGGAAATTGCTTATTGCAAAATTGTAAATTAGATCAATAAAAAGCCTATTTTAAATTAGAAAACAGATGTCAACCAACATGTTCTTAAATGCTACACTGTTTTTATTGGCTAAAATGTTCTTTGTAGGCTAAACCGGTACAAACCATATTACATACTGGAACTGGACCGCACTTTGACTCAATTACAGCAGTAGCAGATTTACTGCTAATTAACACAATACAGCAATAACGCAGCATAAACTCCACTGTGTTTAACAACTTGCGCTGTACAGCAGAAGGCGTGATGTAAAAAGTAAACGTGCACCACTTCTTTTTCTGTTTTTGGCAAAACCTTCCGACTGATAATCTTAAAATCTGTACATTTTAAACCTACCGGTAACGCAGGGTTTTGTTGCCTTTCCTGATACCGTACTATAATCCAGGGGTCGGGAACCTTTTTGGTCAAGAGAGCCACGAAAGGTACATAGCCTACATATTTTCAATTGCATTTCGGTGCGAGCCATATACACATTTTTACTCAAAAGTTGACACAATGTCAATATACAATTAATGTGACTTCTGGTGCCACATGCTGTCGCTGAGGGTCTTGAACGACTGCTCACATGCAGCACAAGTTGAAATCCATGATCCTCATCATGAATGGTAATCGGACGAGAGGCCGTGGTTCGCCATATGGTTAGTCGTTGGGTTGAGCTTTGCTAATCCAAAAAATTAGCTTTGCTAATCCAATCTAAATATTACAAATATACAGTATAAACGGACGGAATACTTTTATTCCTTTATTGCTCCGCAACTCTATCGCTTCGTAATAACGGTGATATCACAAAATATGTGCCTGTCTGGTGATTGTCTCGCATAACATAGACAGACATGTGCTGAGCACTCGTTCCCGAACTTATTGGCAAATTTGGCTATAAAAGAGAAATCTGGTAGCAATAGTAAGCTTAGGTTCTTAGTTCTTAGCCTTAGAATATTGGATTTTTCTGGGAGCCATATGCCGTCACCAAAAGAGCCATATATGGCTCGCGAGCCATGGGTTCCCGACCTCTCCTATAATCAGTTTTTATTTATTTTTATCAATTATTTCAGGGCCCGGTATTACTACTTACTGAATACAGCGCGAAACAGCGCAGAAGAGATGAAACATTGTTCGGACCTCATGAAGTATGCGCACCGGTGGCGCGGCGGTGTGGCTCAACGGGCTAAGCGTTAGGAATACGCTCGCCACCGCATCTCTAATTACTCTGCGTGGGTTCGCAGGTTCGAATCCCATGCAGGGATGGTTATGTGCGAGAGGATTGCTGGACTCCTCGCCGTCGTTGGGTGGTTCACGTAACCGCTGGTCGGTTACGGCTTCCTCCACCACCAAGTCCATGCTTCCGAAAAAAAAAACAAAAAAACAATACAGTAAAAAACTAATCCCATACCCGACTTGGAATGGTAACCGGACGAGAGGCCGTGGTTCGCCATATGAATAAGCCGTCTTATCGGCTTTCCTCTCCCCCGGGATAAATATGTAAATCCTATCCTATCCTATCCTACCAAGATGGCGCACAACCTGAACTCAGGTTGTGTACCAGGTTAGGGTTCAGGTTATGTGACATCCTGGTGCGCATACTTCAGGAGTACCCATTGTTCTTTCATTATATATTAGCGTCCGTGAAATTTTAAACAATTTGATGGGAAACAGTATACCTTAAGGAGAAACAGCGCATAAGAGAGGGAAACATTTTTCGTTCATTATTCATTAGCGTCCGTGAAATTTTAACAATTTGATGGGAAACAGTATACAGTAGTAGGGAATGATCACGAGTTTATATCAGTAATCTTCAACATATTTAAATAACCTAACATGACCCAATTCGAGCACACCAATAAGCAAAATCAAAAAAATTTTGGAGTTCCAGAAGTATGTGCACCAAGATGACGCACAATCTGAACACAGTATGTGTATCAGGTTAGGTGCGTCATGTTGGGTTATTTAAAGATGTTGTATCTTGATGAGAATATCCTTATTGTGAGTGATGTAAATCTGCCTGATATTAACTTTTCTTTAAAAAGAGTTAAATTAGACAGACATGAAAACGAATTGCAAGCCCTTCTATGGTTTTATCAGGTCAAAGTGTAAATTAAAAACGTCTGTCTGTGCAGTGAGAGACGGTAAAGCAGTGGTTCCCAAGCTTTTTTAGGACAACCCCAAATACAACTTTCAAGTAGGGTTGGGACCCCAGGAAATCCCGACCCCAAAATCCCGGGATTTGGACTGTTTTTTTCAGTCCCGATCCCACAATTATTTCCTAAAAATCCCGAGATTTTAAAGCTTTGTTATCCACATAGGTTATACCGTTTATTGTGATACTTATTTTGAAAAAAGCCGTCCACGCTTACACTTTGAGTCAGTCAGACTAAGTCGCGGTCTGAAATTACAATGGACCTTTCCCCGAGCATCGACTTCCTTGTTTACTTCGTGAAATCGGCCAATCAGCAAGATGAAAAAAGTGACGTAACAATGCTCCCTTTTCGCATCCGCTCAGACACTTTTTTTACTCAGACACATTTTCAAGCGTGGTCGTAAACATTACTCGTTTTTGAACTCTATTCGTTAGTTTTCAGTTGTGTTTCGGAAACTTAAATATAAATCAGATAATTCAATGATCGCTCTTGATAGCGTAGAAATAGCTGTGATAGACTAGGCTAAAACTCTTTACCAGTACTTTTAAAAAACAGATTGTTGTATACGATGGATCATAATGATGGTTTAAAACAGATAACCCATTTTACGGGCGCCAACTCGCAAAAGTACTCTCAAAATAGCCCCGAAAATTTTGCAATGGTAAAGTATATGGAGAATTTTTCTGGGGTCAAAGGTCGGGAAAGGTCCATCGGAACAATCCTCAGTATGAAGTTACGTTTGGAACAGACCACAGTCTGACCAATGACATTAAACAACATGATGCGCAACTCCGGCATTTTTGGCCGAAGATCGTATCCGATAGCACGCTCCAATGCACATACTTGACGAGACGAAAACGAGCGAATGTGTGCTGCTTTCAAGGCATAGCACGAATGGTGTTCGTGCCTGCTTTGACAGTTGTTGTCGATTTTAATGATATTTTGGAAAGTTGAGGTAAAAAGAAATCGGAAAAAAGTAAGGTAAATACTATTGTTGTATATCACACCCGGGCATCGCACTGTTAAGTACATGTGGGAAAGCCAGCTTTTGTCAAATACTACGAAGTTATTAAATCAGTACGGTACGTAGTTGCCCATTTGCCGAAATTGCTTATTTACTTACCCCTTATGGTTTCAAATAGTTCATACACCTCCATTTCGATTTTTTTTAATCAGTGAGGATATATACTCATTGCTGTAACATACTATTGCTCATTCACTTTTATTTGCGTATTGAATCAAAGGGTTAACAAGTTCACCTAACATTTCACTCATACCGGTCTATATTGTATATAGTCTGATCTCTCAAGTATTTGGAGCCACCGATGCTTGTAATTTTCTGACTAAACCCCTTTATTAGTTGGTTTTTATACCAAATTCAGTAAAACATTTTTTACATAAAACATGAGATATTGGATTTATTAGCTTTTCCAATCTAAATCATATAGACTGCTTTATTTATTCTTAACGAAAATTATTGAATCTCCTCTCTTTCTTCAGATGTGAAAGTTTTGGAAAAACCTGTCTAAGCATTGTGGGACTCCTACAGCACAAGAGGCAATAGCAAAAATAGTAAGTATATCAATCAAGAAATTAAGCCGACATAAAGCAAAACTTTTAACTATTCGTCCAACCTCAATTTCCTAATATTTTATCACAGGACAACTGTAGCAGAAGGGGATATTTCAGAAGACTGGCGACATATCAGTGACAGTGTGATTCCAAGAAATACAATCAGAATACTCCATAAATGTTTGCAATAGAAGAACAACCTATGGAGGCATGCTAAGACATTTGAACCTCCGGTAGAGTTGTGTATGGCTCCTACATCCCGTAGGGCTTGAGGAAAATAACTAAAAATTCCGAAGCGTAAGATTGCATAAGCGGTCTTCTTTGTAAAAAGGCACAAAACATGCCAGACATACTTAAAACAGCTCTGGAAAATGAGGATTATGGGTCACTCACTACACCTGTGTTATATTTGATTCATCAACTTTTGGTAGTACTAAAGAAGAAATTCAGGAAAGGGTATAATCATGATTCATGATAAAATACTGTTATATATTTTGGACAACTTCAATCTAGACCAGGGATCTCAAACTCGCGGCCCCAGAGAACTTCCAGTGCGGCCCTCGAACGCTTAACAATAATTGTAATAGTATTTTGGAAGTTTTTTTTTTATCTAAATGTAATAGATTTTTCAACCTTTTAAAGTGAAATTGATTATTCACACAGAAACAATTTACTGAAAGTAGTTTTGGAATATTAATTTTTTTTGTCACATTTTGACCCAATTAAGAATACACATCAAGCTAGCAAAAGAATACTTGAATAAAACACTTGAGTGATTAAATTAAACGCAAAGTACATGAAGAAGGTGGCATTTTCGAAGAAAATGGGAGTTGCAACATTTCTGCATTTCACAAAATTCTGAAGCACATTGTTTAATTTGTCATATTTCCATCAAGTACAATGAAAAACACAATTAAGCTCAGCAGTCAATATGACAATTTCGAAGACCAACTTCGAACAGAAAATTTCCATGTGTTTGTATATTAATATAAATATACAACGACTTAGTTACTGAAAATCAATATCAATAATAATTCAAGCAATCCTATGCCACGCAATGTGGCGCGAAATGTCTTGTCGAAAAAATCTGTCATTTGTTTTTTTACTGATCTATACATGAAATGATAAAAGTAACTTTTTTGCATTACTGGAATTAATTAAACATTCGCAAAGATCC